CAAGATTAGTTGTCTCTTGTAGTCAGTAATACTCTTGATGCAATGATCACCGGTGTCGAAGCAATGATTCTTCAACATCAACTTCGTTGGACTGGTCATGTTGTGAGGATGTCTGATTATTGTCTTCCAAAGCAACTTCTCTACTTCAAACTTGAAAATGGAATGTGTAATGCTGGTGGTCAACAAAAGACTCTCTCAAGGCAAATCTTGAAAAAATGTAGTATAAACACCGACAATTGGGAAACACTGGCCTGTGAGCGCTCCAATTGGAGAACAGCCTTTACCAAAGGTGTCATGGGCTTTGAAGACACTTGAACTCAGGATGAAAGGGAGAAACATGCTAAGAGGAAGGCAAGCTTGGCAAACCCTCACTTCCACCCGGAAACCTATGCCTCCACTGTGGAAGGACGTGTGGATCCAGAATTGGCCTCCCCAGTCACTTACGAACTCACTGTTAAAACCGTGTTTATGGAAGGCAATCTTACTCAGCTATGAGCAATCCCCAAAGAAGAAGAAGAAGAAATACTCTTGATATTTAGTGTGCTCTTTTTCCAAACTCCTCTAACAATGTTAAGATTAAGGACTTTAAAAACCGAAATAGAAACAGGTTTAACTTGTTTACATAGCACACACCTGAAACAACAGTGAACAAAGAGTACTAGTCCCACTTCTCTGTTAGCCAACAAACAACTGAAATCCAATACCTAGCTTGTGCTTGTGAGCACTGGATCCCATGTCTGCCATTGTGGCATAAAAGGGATTGCATGAAGGATTATGCTATCAGTGGCTGCTAGCCACAATGGCTATCTATGTTCTACCTCCACTATTGGAGACAGAGTGCCTTTGAATGCCAGTTGCAATCAGGGAAAACGTGCTGTTGTACTCAGGTGCTGCTTTCTAGCTTCCCATAAGCATCTGGCTGGCCACTGTGAGAAGAAGAAGCTAGACTAGATGGGCAATTGTCTTGATCCAGCAAGCTCTTCTAATCTTCTTAAGTATTTGCCTCGACTTTCAGAATCCCACTTGCTGAGAATCACAATTAGGAAGAGTGCTGCTGCTCTCAGGAGGGCTTCCCACGAACTTTGCTTGACAAAGAACAGGGTACTCAATGGATCTTTGGTCTGATTCATCAGAGCTCTTGTAATGTTCTTACCAGACTTCTGGCCAAATCCAACTTTGTTGTTGTTGTTTAGTCATTTAGTCGTGTCTGACTCTTCGTGACCCCATGGACCAGAGCACACCAGGCACTCCTGTCTTCCAGTGCCTCCCACAGTTTGGTCAAACTCACGCTGGTAGCTTTGAGAACACTGTCCAACCATCTCGTCCTCTGTCATCCCCTTCTCCTTGCTTGTCTTTGTCCATGGAGTTTTCTTAGCAGGGATACTGGAGTGGCTCGCTGGTTCCTGCTCCAGGTGGATCACGTTTGGTCCAAACTCTCCACTATGACCTGTCCATCTTGGGTGGCCCTGCACGGCATAGCTCATAGCTTCTCTGAGCTATTCAAGCCCCTGCGCCATGGCAAGGCAGTGATCCATGAAGGGGCAAATCCAACTGGAGAGAGTTTATCATTATCTGGATCAGCAAACACTTGTTTCTTTAAAAGCTAATATTTGCAGATCACTACTTTTCATCACCATCTAGTTTGCTTTAAAGCTGGCAGTTTTTCAAGAGACAGTGGTCTGGAAATATATCTGCCGGTCAGGTTTCCTTGTAAGATTAAATTTATATAAACAGAAATAGTTTGCATTATTTGAATAAACATCCACAAATTTATGAATAGAATATATGACAGATAAGGTAATGATGGAGACAGGAGTGCCTGGCGTGCTCTGGTCCATGGGGTCACAAAGAGTTGGACACGACTAAACGACAACAAAGGTAATTATATGTATAATTTTTAACATGCAGAGAATAACAAGTGCAAACAAATCAGAGTAGGGAGCTGAGGGAAGTCTCGGGAGAGAGGGAGAGGGAGGGATGGGGAGTAGGGGGATAAAAAGGGGAAGAAAATGATGCAATTGATTACTTGGATGGATAATTTGTTTTGTTGAAATTGTTTAATAAAAATATTTTAAAAAGAAAAAAAAGAAATAGTTTGCATTGAATGTTAAGCTTACAGCGTTCTGGGATTCTGCAGCAGCCAATTACAATTATTTGGCACAGTTCAGAAGTCACAATTTAGCGTAGCACATCAGTGCCGTGTTCAGATGTGCAATGCTACCCAAATGCCCACCTGCAGGAGTGAGCAGAGCTACTTGCAGGGATTATGTGGAATTGCACCTCTTTGTGGAGCCTTTACTCACACAGCTGACCTCTTCAAAATATATCCTGTCCCAGTTCACACAATCTGCACTTCTACATGGTTTCCTGCTGGACTGAAAGGCTGACCGGAGCTGTTCCATTTCTCCCATCCCTGTCACATGGCTCAAAATATCACCTTACCCAGGAAGCCCAAGGAGCTATCCAGCAGACCAAGAAGTGCTTTTTGTTAGGAGTGGGTGGCAGGCTTCAGGCTTGCAGGGTCTATTGTTCTTGTGGTTTTGGACTAGAACCCTGAGATCTACCAGCTAGAGCCAAGCACAAAATGTATATAGACATGCACACACACACATGGAGAGTTTGGAATGGTCAACTTTTAATAATTGCTTTTGTTACCATGTTATGTCATGAGTTACAAAATAGCTAGAAAAAACTATGATGTTCTGAAAAGGCTTCAGTTTATTTGTGTGTTTTTTGATTTTTTAAAAAATTCATTACAAAAATGCTTCAGGCACTTTGTAGGACTCCTCTGGATAAAAGCCCTTCTCAGGAGTCCTCAAAACTGCATGATCCACTTTTGGATCAAGACTCTCTTAATTAGGCTCCTTATGCTTAGAATATGCAAACCTCCAAAAAGAGAACGGGAAAACCAGCATGTCAGGAAGGATGCCACACAAAGTTTACAGTAGCTGATCAGCAATCTGAGAAGAAAAGCAATCAGAGAAAAGAATTACAATGAGGTCAGGGAATCTGTTTTTTTCCAAGTACCAAAACAGAATGGAGATTGCACACACACAAATCCTTTCCTGAAGACTGCAAACATTGTTCATTTCAGCTACGTAATTTAGGGCCATGTTGTTGCTGCTGCTGTGGTTAATTGGGGGTTGGAAATCCTTGCTGAACCACTGCAAATCACCCAGAACCCAGCAGCTGATCCCCATCTGCTTCTCTGTCCATCCTTTTCTAGATAGTAAGGAAGCTGTCCAGCAAAAAGTCTTAGGGAGCACAGTAGCTGCTCAGCTCCCTGTCTCTTACAGGGCTGTTGCTGTTGCTCTTTCTGGGCAACCCTGCAAAGTAAAAGAATGCTGAACCGCTTTTCAAGGAGGCTGCCAGCTGCTCCACCCTCTTGGGAATGGGGAAGGCTGCAGCTCAGGGACAGAGCATCTCTTTGCATGTGTAATTGCCCAGGTTCAATCCCCTCCAGCATTACCAGGTAAGACTGGGAGTGTCTCCTGCCTGTGGCATTGGAGATGTGTAATGCAGCTTCCTATAGTCCTAAGAATGAAGGAAAAGCTAGTGGTGGCAGCAGCAGGACTGCTGGGGGTGGTGGTAGGATTGGCACTGAGGGGGCACCAAAGGTGGCCAGCCCAGCCCCCACGCTATCTATATTGTGTAGTGGTTAGAGAACTGGACTAGGACCTGGCAGAGTTGTTGTTGTTTAGTCATTTAGTCGTATCCGACTCCTGTCTTCCACTGCCTCCCGCAGTTTGGTCAAACTCATGCTGGTAGTTTCGAGAACATTGTCCAACCATCTCTTCCTCTGTCGTCCCCTTCTCCTTGTGCCCTCCATCTTTCCCAACATCAGGGTCTTTTCCAGGGAGTCTTCTCTTCTCATGAGGTGGCCAAAGTATTGGAGCCTCAGCTTCAGGATCTGTCCTTCCAGTGAGCACTCAGAGCTGATTTCCTTAAGAATGGATAGGTTTGATCTTCTTGCAGTCCATGGGACTCCAGGTGATCCACCTGGAGCAGGAACTGGCAAGCCACTCCAGTATCCCTGCCAAGAAAACTCCATGGACAAAGACCTGGTAGAGACCAAGGGTCAAATCTCCACTAAGCCATGAAGCTCACTGGGTGACCTTGGGCTAGTCCCTACCCTCTCAGCCCAGCCTACCTTACAAGGTTGTTCTGGGGGTTAAATGAGGAAGGGGAGAACCATGTGCCTCAAGCTCCTTGGAGAGGCAAAATGTGGGATTGAAATGCAATAAATAAATACAAACAAATAAAAATTGTGTGTCATGTTCCTGCAAATTACCATAGTGAAGGGCATAAAATCCACCCTCAAAATGTATGATGCAACTACAGTGGTACCTCGGGTTACAAATGCTTCACGTTTCAGACTCCGCTAGCCCAGAAATAGTACCTCAGGTTAAGAACTTTGCTTCAGAATGAGAACAGAAATCCTGCGGCGGCGGCAGGAGGCCTCATTAGCTAAAGGTTAAGAACAGTTTCAGGTTAAGAACGGACCTCCAGAATGAATTAAGTTCTCAACTCGAGGTACCACTGTATTTGTTGAAAGATGGCAGACTTCAATCCTTTAGAAATGGAGGCGACTGGGTTGGCAAATTCCATGTACTTCTTCCATTAAAAAATAAAATAAAGTATGGTAGTTACAGGCGTGTGTTGACAGTACTGCTTGTTCTCAACTGATTTCTCAAACACCTGCGATCTCCGCTTCGCTCCAAGATGAAAAACTTCCTTCCTTGGAGGTTGGACGGGCCATCCGTCATGGATGTTTTGGTTGAGATTCTTGCAATTGGGGTGGACTAGATGACCCTGGGTGGTCCCTTCCAACTCTACAGTTCTATGATTCTAAGACGACACCGCGCGCTGCTCAGAGAAAGAAGTGGGCGCAAGAGTCTCCCTCCCCAAAACAAACCGAAGCGCCCCTCGGTTCCCTCCCCGCGGCGCTTCTGCCCTCTGCCAGGAGGCGTCCACGGCTGCAGCAGCGCCAGGCAGCCAAGCGGACCAGGAAGAAGCAGTCGGCGGCAACGGCGGCTCCACGTGTCAGGGCGGGGCGAGGCAGCGCTCGGGCTGGGCAGGGCTGGAGCTGCTGCGCGCTAGCAAGGGAGCGAGCGAGGCAGCGGCAGGCAGGCAGGAGGGCGAGCGAGCGAGCTAGGAGGCTGCTGCGGCATTGACGGCGCCTCGCCTCTGCCTCCTCCCCTGGTCAGCAGCTCTGTGCCCCGCGCCACCTCCCACCGCAGCTGCGTCGCCGGGTCCAGGCGGGATGGGACCCCTCCGGGAAAGCAGCAAGGTGAGCGCACGGCGAAGGGGCTCGCAGGTGGGACGGGCTAGGGACGGGATGGGACACCTCGGGGACAGCCGCCAGGTGAGGTAAGAGGGCTCACCGGTGGGGCTGGCGAGGAGGATGAGGAAATCAGGATGTGCGTTTGTGGGTGCAGGTCCGTGCACGTGCAGCCCCAAAGACAGGCGTTCGGTGTGTCGCGTGTACGTGTGAATGCTTGCCCTAATGTGTGCGGGTGAATGCGGGGTGTTGTATGTGCTGGCACCGGAGTTCAAGCTTTGGCTAAGGCAAGAGCGGTGTTTAAGACTAGGAAACACCAGCAGAAAAAAGTGGGATGATGAATATTTTCACTTTCCCCTCCCCTCCACTCCTCATCTCTAAAATGCCCAGCAACAGACGCTAAAAGAGCAAACGCTGCTGAGTCCGCCCCTGATGGAGTCTGACATCATTAAGGCAAAATTTGTGGGATTCAGGGTGTGTGCGTTTATTTGAGGAAGTGAAGTCGAATAGGGTGGATGGGGATGTGTGGGGCAAGGGATCGGGGTGAAGGAAATTCATAAGTGGGGGTCCCCAAGCAAAGGGGAGATGAAAGGTGTCTCTCGCCCTCCCCACCTTCCTTGCAACAGCATCACCCAGAAGAGTGTCCCTCGAGTCCATCTCTGATGGAGTCTGACATCATCACTGCTGCTGTGCCCCTGCCGCAGATTTTTCTCTGGAGTGGAGGTTTTGCGGGGGGGGGGGCAGGGAGAGACCTAGCTCACAATTACGTCACCCCAAAGCTGGGAAGGCTGACCAGAATCCCCATTTTCTCTGGGCATTCCTTCCCCCATCCTCTTTGCATTTGCCCGAACCTCTTGGGGGCTGTAGCCCTGCCGATACAGGTGGCAAAGATGCTGCAAACGGCTGCGATAATTGCCTTTCAGTGCTTTTCCAGCTGATCCAATTTTAGCACAGTAATTGCAGTGCTGGTACTCGGTTGTCTTTGCATAGGATCTGTGCATCTCCAGTCTGGAAAACCTTTCGCTTTTAGCTGTTGACTTCTGGTTTTTTCTACCTCTCCGGCAGGGGAGTGCACTTCTGTGTGGATGCTCACACACACATATTGATCGAACAAGGCTAACCCGCATCTGCTAGGTGTGGATACAAGAGGAGGCTTTTTATGGCGATATGTTGGACTGTTGCACAAGAGCAAAACTCCAGCATTTACAGATTGCTGGAAAAGCCCTGCGAGCCATTTTGCAATTACGATGGAGTTGCCTCAGCAGCAGCAAATCGCATCTTCCTAGCAAGTAGACCATGTGACGAATACATATGCTTGCAAAGATGCTTGCCACATCAATGTCTGCATGTGACATTTCCCACATTCTCGCCTCGTTTTTAGCTCTGCTCAGTTCAGCAGTGGCATAACAGCCGCTGCAAATCGCTTCCGCATGGGCAGAACCACAGTTAGGCTGTGTGCACGACAAACATTTAAAGCACATCGTCTAACCTGCACAGAGCTATAATTCCCAGCACCCTTAACAAACTATAGCTGCCAAGATTCTTGGCGGGAGGAGGGAGGTAATGTGCTTGGCATTTATGGTGCACAGAACCTTAGTACAGTGGTACCTCGGGTTACATACGCTTCCAGTTACATACGCTTCAGGTTACAGACTCCTCTAACCCAGAAATTGTACCTCGGGTTAAGAACTTTGCTTCAGGATGAGAACAGAAATCATGCTCCAGTGGCGCGGCAGCAGCAGGAGGCCCCATTAGCTAAAGTGGTGCTTCAGGTTAAGAACAGTTTCAGGTTAAGAACGGACCTCCAGAATGAATTAAGTACTTAACCCAAGGTACCACTGTATCATGTTCATCATTAGTGTAGTTTCAGTCTACATCAAGGAAATAAGATAAGACATATCCAGCCAGTCCATCTGGCTTTGTACTGCGTCCAGAATTTTAGGTCCAGGATTTTAGCTACTAGCCATGATGACTATGATCTGCCTCCACAGTTGGAGGCCAGCAATGCTTCTGAATACCCATTTCTGGAAACCACAGGATGGGAGAGTAATCTTGTGCTTGGGTTTCTTGCTGAGGGTTTCCTACAGGCATGTGCTTGTCCACAATGAGAACAGGATACTGAACAAGATGGGCCATTGCCCTGATCCAGCAGCTCTTATGTTCTTACGTTGTGCCATTGAGATGGCCCTTCCATGTGGCTCACTGTGGCCAACTGGAATGCTGTCCATGGGCAGCTCCACCTGAGCAGAAGCAGTTTTTGGTGGGGATCATACCATCATAGATTTGGGAGGGATCCCAAGGATCACTGAAGTCCAACCTCCTGCAATGCAGGAATAAGCAGCAGTCCTGTATGGGGATCGAACCTGCAACCTGGGCGTTATCAGCACCATGCTCTAGCCAACTGAGCTATCCAGGGGTGTTAGCTGATCTGCTGACTCCATACATTGAGCCAGACCTTTGGGTGGGGCGGGGCTGGGAAATACGTATGGACTGATGTGCCCATTGTCTCTGTCATTGGAAGGAGCATAAAATGCAGGACAAGGAGATCTGCCGCAGCCGCATTCCTCGCCTGGTCCTCCGGCCTCATCTCCCCCAGCAGCAGCTCCGCCACCAGAAAGTGTCCCCGGCATCTGAGTCACCCTTCTCGGAGGAGGAAAGCAGAGAATTCCACCCCCTCAGCTCTTCTGGAGGGTCTGCAAGGACCATCAGCAGCAACAGTTTCTGCTCAGGTAGTAGAAGAAACAGTGTGTCTGTGGCAATGCTGATATTATAGTCCAGAGATGGAGAACTAGTAATAATAATAATAAATTTTATTTATACCCCGCCCTCCCCAGCCAAGACTGGGCTCAGGGTGGCTAACACCAGATATAAAACAATTGATTAAGACAGAACTTTAAAAAAGATTAAAATACAACATTAAAATGCAGCCTCATTTCAATAGAAACTCAAGTCAAAAACTTTTGGGGGATGAAAACGTCAAATCTTCACCAAGGCCAACTATCCAGACTGGTCCTACGTGGGCCAGGAAAAAGCCAGGGAAGTCCCCAAATAGGAGTTCCATCACAGAAGGAGAAAGGAAAAAGGAAATAGGGGGAGGGAATCACGTTGATTCCAAGCCAAAGGCCAGACAGAACAACTCTGTCTTACAGGCCCTGCAGAAAGAAATCAGATCCTGCAGGGCCCTGGTCTCATGAGACAGAGCATTCCACCAGGCCGGAGCCAGTGTTGAAAAGGCCCTGGCTCTGGTTGAGGCTAATCTAACTTCCTTAGGGCCCGGGACCTCTAGGGTGTTGCTATTTATGAACCTAGTAGGTATGATAGCCATGATGACTATGTTCTGCCTTGACAGTTGGTGGCAGTGGAGGGCAGAGTGCCCTTGTACTCAAGTCTTGCTTGATCATTTCCCACTGGCATCTGGGTGGCCACTGTGAAAGCAGGAAGCTGGATTAGATGAGCCATTGGCCTGACCATTAGGTTCTTCTTATGTTCTCCAGATATTGTTGAACTGCAAGTCCCATCATGCCAGGCCTTTGGCTATTTGGGAAAGGATATGGGGTATTTATTGGAAAATGAAAGTAATAGACACATTATAATTGCATGTTCAAGGGAATGTCCTATCATTGTCAAGTAACTGTACAATCTTTAGAGGACATCTGAAGGCAGTGCTGCATAGGGATTTTTAAATGTTTGATGTTTTATTATGCTTTTATATTTGTTGGAAGCCACCCAGAGTGGCTGGGACAACCCAGTCAAATGGGCGGGATACAAATAAAATTATTACTATTATTATTATTACTATTACTGGAGGGGGTTGGGCCTCCACTCCTATCAGCCACTGCCATCATGGTCAATGGTCAGGGATCATGAGACTTGTAGTCCAACAACAACTGGAGGGCTATAGATTCCCCATGCATTTTAGCCCAATTGCTTTTCCTCTCTACCCAAGAAAATAGAATAACTTCCTAACGGGGTCAGTGGTAGCAAATACACCAACTGAAACCTGTAGAAAATTAATCAATTTGCTGCATAATGGGAGCCTAGGAAGCCAGGTCCAGCTATATCAACATTGTCTACACTGAATGACAGCAGCTCTCTTTAGGATTTTAGGCTAAGTTCCCTCCCAGCCCTGCCTGGAGGTGCTGTGAGTTGGACTTGGGATCTTTTGTATGCAAAGCAGATGCTCTTTCACTAAGCTGCAGCCCTTCTCCAGTTACTTTGTCAGAAATGTATCCCAAGAGGCACCAAATATATATTGCTGTATTTTTCCACATTGCCAATTGCCTGGCTCCGTACAGTGGAGCTTTAGAGAGAAATAAAGTCACTGTCAATGAAACTCAGCTCGGAGCACATGAAGCATGTGCTGCTGACTGAAATCAGATGTTTCTGTTTGGATTAGTAAGTGTTTATCTTGAACGCTGCATGAAAAAAAAATTGGCATGCCCATTTTAAACAGAGCTGAGGTTTACACACTTGGAGACTCTTGAAGGGTGAGGTTCACCCAGGAGCAGCTTAGATCTGCGAATTTAAGTTTGCATGTGAAACGAGAGGGGTAATTGGTTCAGGAGAGTTCCGATTTACAGTTTCAAAAGATGGTTTCTAAAGAGAGCTTATATCCAAAGGTGTTTCTAATCCCTGTCTCAATTAAAAGTGACCCAGCAGATGTCATGCAACAACACTGATTTGTGACACCCAACCTCCCACTGCTTCACTGTGTCACATGTGTGGGTCAGTAATCAAATAATGACCATCTAATACAGGTGTATGGAACTTTTGGCTCTCTAGATGCTGCTGAACTACAACTGCCATCATCCCTGGCCATTGGCCATGCGTGCTTGCTGGAGCTGATGGGAGTTGCAGTTCAGCAACATCTGGGGGGGCCAAATGTTTGCTGCACCTGGTTCCATATAAGCAATGTTGAGTGTGGAAATTACAGCATGCAAATGAAAATACAGTCTTGCTCCACCTCCATCCCCTGCAGATATTGATACTAATTTGACTAGTGGGAATTTTCCTATAACCACACAGTGGCTTAGTGATTCAAGTCCAAAGACAATTTGGAACAGCTCAGCAAGGGAGAGTGTACAAGGAGGCACAAGGGATTTCTTAGTTATAGGGGAACATCTACACTGCTAATAATGTACATTGGCTTTCTAAGAACTCAAGTCAAAGCTGTATGCAACATCACTCTTCCCATTTGTGGTTCCTAGCAACTGGTTATTTAGAGTCCTACTACCTCTAACAGAGAGGGATGCAGGTGGCGCTGTGGGTTAAACCACAGAGCCTAGGGCTTGCCGATCAGAAGGTTGGTGGTTCGAATCCCCGCAACAGGGTGAGCTCCCATTGCTCGGTCCCTGCTCCTGCCAACCTAGAAGTTCAAAAGCATGTCAAAGTGCAAGTAGATAAATAGGTACCGCTCCGGCGAGAAGGTAAACAGCGTTTCCGTGCGCTGCTCTGGTTCGCCAGAAGTGGCTTAGTCATGCTGGCCACATGACCCGGAAGCTGTACGCCGGCTCCCTCAGCCAATAAAGCGAGATGAGTGCTGTAACCCCAGAGTCAGCCACGACTGGACCTAATGGTCAGGGGTCCCTTTACCTTTACCTTACATCTAACAGTGTGCTAGATCATGGCTGCTAACCACTGATAGCCTTGTCCTCCATGAATTTGTTCAATCCACTTTCACAGCTATCCAATTCAGTGGCTATCGTTGCCTCTCCGGGGAGTGAATTCTGTAGTTCAACTTCATTCTGTGTGGAGGAAGTACTTATTTTTGCCTACCACTTTAACTTTCACAGTTTCCCCCAGTAGGACTTATAGTTCAAAGAGGGTGACAAGGATTCTAAGCAGGCCTCCGGCTCTGTCTTTCAGAGGAGAGGGAGCGGCTGTTAAATATACCCCGAATGACAGTGCACGGCAGTCGCAGAGCCGGGACTCCCGTCATAATTGGTGCCAAAAGCAGCCCTGCTAAGCTTTTCACAATTGGGCAGGAGGAGAGCTGGATTGGCAGGGCTGCTTAAAGAAAAGACTTGCTGACTCATAAAGTATAACCACATGTGTGGAGAAGTTACAGCCACCCTCCCTGCTGTACCCATCTTTTTTGCTTTAAGTGCTTCCCCAGCGTGCTCCCATTGAAAAAAGGGGTATGATAGCAGACAATTGCTGGCTGGTTGTGGTGGGGGTGGACAAGTGAAAGTGGGGGCAGGGCTGTGGTTGTCTTGCTCTTCTCCCTTCTTATGACTGCTCTGCTCCTTTAGTTGGTACCTTTTGGGTCTCTGCTGTGCTGCTCTGCTCTTTCCCTAACTCCTTGACTGGCTAGCAGGCAGGCTAGATATAGTGAGGAGATGAAGAAGAGTTTGGATTTGATATCCCGCTTTATCATTACCCGAAGGAGTCTCAAAGCGGCTAACATTCTCCTTTCCCTTCCTCCCCCACAACAAACACTCTGTGAGGTGAGTGGGGCTGAGAGACTTCAAAGAAATGTGACTAGCAGCTGCATGTGGAGGAGCGGAGACGCGAACCTGGTTCCCCAGATTACGAGTCTACCGCTCCTAACCACTACACCACACTGGCTCTCAGTGGCATAGCTCAGTGGTAAAGCATTGGGTTCAGAACATCCCAGGTTCAATGTACAGCAGATCTGGGGACCCCCAGTACAGTCATACCTTGGGTTACAGACGCTTCAGGTTGCACATTTTCAGGTTGCACACTGCACTGAACCCGGAAGTACTGGAACGGATTACTTCCAGGTTTCGGCGCTTGCGCATGCGCAAAAACACTAAATCGCACTTTGCGCATGCGCAGAAGTGCCAAATCATGACCCGCGTTTGTGCAGACGCGGCACTGTGGGTTGCAAATGCTGCGGGTTGCGAATGTGCCTCCCACACGGATCACTTTCGCAACCTGAGCATCCTCTGTACTGGGAATGTCCCCAGTTTGAAGCCTTGCAGAGTGACTGCCAGCCAATGTAGACCACAGCTTCTCAAAGGGTGTGGCAGGAGAGAATGGCAAGTGTGGCAGGAAGATTCAAGGAACATCAAAGAAGCATTTAAACATTTCAGTTTATCAAAATATTATTATTATTATTATTATTATTATTATTATTATTATTATTATTATTTTGCAGAATATGGATAGATATCTTTTGAAAATGAGAGCAAGAGCAAAGATTCTTTCTGTTGATGAGGAGATGAGAGTTTGTTTGTCTCAAATTAGGCCTAATATAAATGAGATTATCCAGCAAAAGCAAGTTCACACTTCTTACTGAGTTTGTATACATACTTAAGGTCCATGTTTTTTTCCCCTTAAAATTTTTTAGGGGTACTCTCATTTTGTCTTAAGAAAATCACAATTTTATAGTTCATATCAGGAAAAATAAATACAGTAAATGGACAAAAGTACAAAGATTCACAAAATGTTTAGGGGTATGCGTCCCCTTGTGTCCCCCCAGAAAAAAAGCACTGCTTGAGGTAAATATGTAAGAGGATCATTTATAATTATATTTTGGGAATGATTTGTGTTCTTATGTAGCTGCATTGTTCATAATAATAATAATAATAATAATAATAATAATTTATATACTGTCCTGTACCAGCGGGTCTCAGGGCTTTTCACAGGGTAAAATAACAATATTATAACACAGAACACATAATCAAAATAAAAACAGAAACAACTGAAGAACACCCCCACCCCAAAAAAACCCCACACCTTAAAAGGGCAACCAAAGGCCTGGTTAAAGAGGAATGTTTTTGCCTGGCACCTAAAGGTACATAATGAAGCCACCGTGTCCCATGATCATATTATAAAGTAGTTGTCTTCTATGTTATAAATAAAGCACTTCTTGTTGTCCCCCTGCCTCATGTATTTCTTATCAATTAAAAATCAGCCTGGCACGAGCAAATTTTTAATGTGAAAGGGTTGCCCAGAGGAAGGAAGTTTGAGAACCACTGATGAAGACAATATTGAGCTATATGGACCAAGACATATAAACGACCCCAAGTGATGATAACATAGCTCTGTGCAGCTCAACCTGTGTACATCATATGTGAAATCGTCATATGTGCACTTTTTTACACACTGTGGTACAGAGTGGGGGAACCCACTTGGACTACTGCAGCGTGCTCTCTGTGGACCTACCCTTGAGGGTGACTGGGAAACCACAACTAACCCAGAATGTGCCTGCCAGACTGGTGCCTAGGAGCAGACTCTGGGGCCATGTAAAACCAGTCCTAAAGGATCTACAGTGGTACCTCGGGTTACAGGCACTTCAGGTTACAGACGCTTCAGGTTACAGACTCCGCTAACCCAGAAATAGTACCTCAGGTTAAGAACTTTGCTTCAGGATGAGAACAGAAATCATGCTCCGGTGGTGAAGTGGCAGCTGGAGGCCCCATTAGCTAAAGTGGTGCTTCAGGTTAAGAACAGTTTCAGGTTAAAAACGGACCTCCAGAACGAATTAAGTTCTTAGACTGAGGTACCACTGTACATTGGCTCCCAGTACGTTTCCGAGCACAATTCAAAGTGTTGGTGCTTACCTTAAAAGCCCTAAATGGCCTCGGTGCTGTGTAGCTGAAGAAGCATCAGCCCAGACATTGAAGTCCAGCTCTGAGGGTCTTTTGGTGGTTCCCTCATTGTGAGAAGAGAGGTTACAGGGAACCCAGCAGAGGGTACTTGCACCTGCCCAGTGGAATGCCCTCCTGCCAGATGTCAAACAGATAAACAACTATCTGACTTTTAGAAGACATCTGAAGGTAGCCCTATATAGTTTTTAATGTTTGATATCTTACTGTGGTTTTATAATTTGTTGGAAGCTGCCCAGAGTGGTTGGGTCAACCCAGTCATATGGGCAGCAATAAATAAATTGTTATTGTTATTATTACAGTGAATGCTCCCTTGGACTCACTAGGACTTATTTCCCCAAAACGTTGCATATAATAAGAATAAGGATGCATAGGATTCTCTGTGGAATAGGATTTATGCATGCTGCATAAACATCCTGCAAATGTTTTGAAATGAGGCTAACTCTGGATTAATTCATTTGTAAGTGGCATCCTTGGTGATAAAATGAGAATAAGATTTCTGCGTCTGCATTTTTACACATTTTTTAAGAGAGAGAGGGTATGGCCTGTCGAACTCAGTGGGGCTGCAAAAGTCACAGGAAGGTGTTGGGCTGTATCCAACTAAGTTCTACTCAGAGTAATCCATTGGCATTAGACAGGTCTGTTCATTTCAGTGGGTCTACTCTGAGCACGGCTAACATCGGCTGCCCCCCATTATTTCTTCTATGAAATTATTGATCGGCGGGGGGGAAAGCCAGCTTTCAAAACCCGCATTTGTTCCAGCCAATTGCATGTGGAGCTCGTTATAAAACTTCCAGCTGGATGCTAGGCTTCGATAAAATGAAACAAATGCTTTGGCGTGCGTGCTGTCTGTCATCTGACATTGAAACAGGCACCCTCCTGCCTTCCCCCTCCAGTTTGGATTTCAGCTGCAGGGCTCATATGTCAAGCAGAGAGAAAAACATTCTCCCAGCAGCAACGCCTGCCTCATCAGCTGCCGAGTATTTCACCACATCAGGTCTGTTTTCCTTGTAAGTTGCATAGTAGGGGCTCCTTGGGAGCGGTTCTCCACTGAGCGCTGCATTTTACCTTGTCAACCTGGGAAAGGGGATGTCCGCAAAGCAGTGTCAGCTATTCAGCTTTGAATGGCCCATTCATGGCCTGGGTGTTCCAGAGAAAAGCAACCCAAAAGAGTGTCTCCTGAGCACTCTGGCGAACATAGGCTGTGGAGAACTGCCTGCAAGGTAGTAAGACATGTGTGGCACTCATAACAAATGGGGCATCTTTTTCACACCAAGCACTACATTCCCTTGTGCACGCCAGTGATTGGCAGTGCAAGAGGCAAAAGGTTGGTAGAGTATCTGTGGGAATGTTCAGGGAGGCAGGAGAGGATATATTGTTTACTATTATCCTTCCTAACTTGCGTTAGCAAGTTTCTTTACTTAGCAGAGTGCATTCCCTTCCCCTTTACACAGCACAGCAGATAACTGGTTGCAGGCTCGTGTGAGCCTCTAACTAGTATACAATTCAATCTGTCTCAGATTGAATTGTACGTTCCTGGTAAGCTCCCTTGAATCCCTCCTAAAAGAATAAAGACACCACAGTCTTCATAAGTAAGAAAAAGAAAGTTTCTTCATGATCAGGCAGAGCACAGTGTGATCCCTGAAGGCAGGCTTAAGGCTTAAAGTTACAAATATGTACATGTGGATCTACCCCATATGGGTGAATAATCCCAGTGACTGCAAGATCCAGCACTTCACACAATGAAAGGAAGGAAAAGAGAGAGGGGGGTGCTGTGTGACTCGTCCTTTTGTTACCTGGACAGGTTAGGTCACGCCCACCTTCTGTCGCATGCAAAAGGGAGGATGTTCCAGCCAGGAGGACAGGAAGTTTCGACTGGCTGGACCAAACATTCCCTCTCATGTCTTCTCTAGCATTACAAGGAATGTTGTACTTGACTGCTCCCAGCAGATTACATCCCGCAGTATACAGTATGGCACTTATCTTCATATAGTAGCCTATATTCCAGGAAAACATCATACACCTCCATTCTTCCATCCAAGCAAGCAGCAGACATCAGAACAACTCAAGGAAACAGGAGATATTCACATTAATCGCTCCACCCACTTTGCCTCTCGTCCTGCACAACACTGTCAACTGGCTCCTGGGTGGTTGTTGAGAACAGAATATGGCCCTCAGGCTAAAAAGATCCCCACCTCTGATGTATACCCTTACTACTACTACTACTACTACTACTATTTTAATTTATATCCCACCCATCTTGCTGGGTTTCCCCAGCCCCTCTGGGTGGCTTACAACATATATAAAAGCACAACAAGGCATCAAACATTAAAAAAACAAAATATCCTATACGAGTAACAAACAAACCAATAAATCAATAGAAACCAATAATAATAAGAATACAGTGGTACCTTGGTACGTGAATGGCTTGACTCCTGAACAAATAGGCTTCCGAACGCCATAAACCCAGAAGTGAGTGTTCTGGTTTGCAGACATTTTTCAGAAGCTGAACGTCCGGCGCGGCTTCCATAGCTTCCGATTGAGTGCAGGAAGCTCCTGCAGCCAATCAGAAGCCGTGCCTTGGTTTTTAAACCGTTTCGGGAGTCAAATAGATTCCCAGAACGGATTAAGTTCGAGAACCAAGGTACCACTATAATGGCAATAATAAACAGTTTACAGTTATACCCAAATTAAAACAACCGCCAACCCCAACTGAACATTTAACCTTCGGAATAAGCTCCATTGAACTTAGTGGGGCTTGTGTTTCTGCAGATGTACATAGGATCCCACCATTAGGCGGCAATTCTTGTATACTTTTGCTCAAGAGTGAGCCTTGTTGAACTCAGCAGGGTTTGTTTCAGAGTGTGCATATGCCTAGGGTCAGAATGCACATGAATTAATATGGCATTATCTTGCCTGGCAACTCCTGGAAAACTGATATAGTCTTGCAAGAGCCCTTCTTTTCCCTCATCTCAGTGCTCGGTGCACCTGCTTGAGAAGTCACTCCCGATGACTTTCGCTTCTGTCTTCACCTGCTTTGTAAATCAGTCACCACAGTGAGCTGGAAAAGAGGAGCACCTGGCAAAGTATGCCTCATCCTTCGCCGCTTTAGTTCATTTCTTTCTCAATGCATCTGCACATAGGACTCGGAGCAAAGTTACACTTTACAATTTCTTTTAAAGGTTTTGAAAGCATCCTTTGGCACTGATGGATGGTTGCAAAGCTCGTCAACATTAGAAAACAAAAGCACACAATACATTCATTGCAAGTTAGCTCTTAAGGGCCTTCATTACAAACTTAAAACTGGCTTAATATTTATTTTTCTTTTTTCTGTATATAATTTTTATTAAATTTTCTGCTTTACGATTTAAAATACTCATTTTACATCCTTAAGATATCAGTGACTTCCCTTCTTCTCTTTCCGTGGTTCATTTTACATGTCATAAATTCCTGCATATTTTACAAATACTATACCCAGTTCTTTTTTCCTGGGGGGACGCAGGGGTATGCATATCCCTAAACATTTTGTTTGGCCTCATTGAGGGGGCAGTATTTCAATATGAGTAGGAAAATGAGAGTACCCCTAAACATTTTTTTAGGAAAAAAAAAAACACTGACTACACCATTCAGTATTCCATTATTGCATCGATCAAAACTTATTTACACTGTTGAATTTATCTTAATGCTGCCAGCGATTTCTTTTCCCTTTCTAGGGCACCATGAATTCTAGGGTAGGGAGACTAGGGATCTGTAAAGAGCTCATTCTTAGTGCAGACCTTCCAAGTACCCCTAATTTCTAGGGGCAGTCCCGGATTCACAGAAACCATCCTGGTTTCTGATTTGATCCCAGAATGTCTCACTTTTCCTTAGGTAAAGGTACCCCTGCCCGTACGGGCCAGTCGTGTCCGACTCTAGGGTTGTGCGCCCATCTCACTTAAGAGACCGGGGGCCAGCGCTGTCCGGAGACACTTCCGGGTCACGTGGCCAGCGTGACGAAGCTGCTCTGGTGAGCCAGCGCAGCACACGGAATGCCGTTTACCTTCCCGCTGGTAAGTGGTCCCTATTTATCTACTTGCACCCGGGGGTGCTTTCGAACTGCTAGGTTGGCAGGCGCTGGGACCGAACGACGGGAGTGCACCCCGCCGTGGGGATTCGAACCGCCGACCAGGCGATCGGCAAGTCCTAGGCGCTGAGGTTTTACCCAAAGCGCCACCCGCGTCCCACTCACTTTTTCTTAGGACGTCCCTATTTTCATTGGGAAAATGTTGGAGGATATGGAGATATTCAACCCCCTGAGCCAAGCAGATAAGTGATTATGCATCATGTTTGAAGCCACCCAGAGTGGCTGGGGCAACCAGTCAGGTGGGAGAGGGTATAAAGGCGTTGTTGTTGTTGTTGAATAAGAGGTCCCTATTTTCATCAGAGAAATGTTGGAGGGTATGTTAGTGCCTTCACCAGACTGCAGTTCCAGGATTCTTCAGGGAAAGCCCTGAAAATTGCACTGGTATAATGCCAGTTTCAGTTTGTCGAAAGCGGTTTCATGTGCTTCCTTGCACATACAACCAGTGACAGAACTTAGGCTGGATCTAAACACATCAAAGAGGCATTTCTGTAGCATTGTAAATTTAAACAGGGAAAACAGGTAGAGAAAAACAGGACTCCACATCGCCATCTGGTGACACAATGTTATATCACATATACAACACACATAAATCACTTTTTCTTTACCAGTCTAGTTGAGCCCTTAGTCTTCATTCTCTTGTGCATATTCCATTTTCTTCCATGATCACATTATCATAGCATTATAGAGCTGGAAGGGGGCTGCAGTCCAGCTAGTTCAGCTCCCTTTTGAAAGTCAATGTTTTGACTGTGAGTGCTGGAAGACCTGCTCCCTGCCTTGCAAACCTTTTCCCACCTGGCCTGGGAGGGTGGAGACCTGACTGACTCTAGCCCAAAAAAGCTGAGGCTGCTGAACAGACTCTCGGGCTATCGCCCCCCTTGCCGCACTGATTCAGGTAAATCTTGATTGCATATTTACTCCATCTTTTCCTCCAGTGAACTCAATGCAGCTTACACAGTTCTTCCTCGAATTTATCCTCCCATCACCCTCGTGAGGTAGATTAGGCTGAATTATAGGAGCTGGCTGAAGGTCATGCAATGAAGTTTATGGGGATTGGAATCTGATCAGTCATCCTCTGGCACTGCTTTGCACTAGCTCTATACATGCACATGGTCTGTGCATTGCAAGCAGATCCAGATCTGGATTGGGATGCTAGGTTTGGATCAGATTGAAGCTTCATATATGTTAAGAGAGTTTAACTACTAGGAGCAGTAGCCTTGAGCAGGTTACTTTCTGTCTCGGTTCCCCACCATTAAAATGACGGTGTCGTTTAGTGATGAATGCACTTTTCTCATTGCAATTCACTACTTATTGTTATACTATTCATTCTTATAAAATAGTTTGAGGGCTGGCATCCATGAGCAACTTCCAGGACCCTGACACTGCCCATATGGGCAAATGTCCGTTTCTCTCGGTTTCTCATTTTTTTCAGTGTTAAGTTCAGTTCACCACAAGAGTTTGTGATTTTTTTTTTAATTAAAAAATTCTTATGAAAAGTCATCAGCATTTTGGTATGATTTTTACCTACTACAGTGGTACCTCGGGTTACATACGCTTCAGGTTACATAGGCTTCAGGTTACAGACTCCTCTAACCCAGAAATAGTACCTTGGGTTAAGAACTTTGCTTCAGGATGAGAACAGAAATCGTGCTCCAGCGGCACGGCAGCAGCAGGAGGCCCCATTAGCTAAAGTGGTGCTTCAGGTTAAGAACAGTTTCAGGTTAAGAACAGACCTCCGGAATGAATTAAGTACTTAACCCGAGGTACCACTGTATATATATTTTATATGCATTGTCACCTAATCATAGAATTATAGAGTTGTAAGGGACCACTGAGGATCATCTAGATCCTGCAATCTCTGCAAATCAGGAATGTGCAGCTGTCCCTTTCGAATCCGTAATCAGCGTGTGAGCCTTGAAACTTGCTTTTGGAGTTCCATTTGGGCCATCTTCATTGTCAACTCAACATCATGCCATCTGTAAGCATCATTTTGGTGGTCTGGGGAAGAATAGGGCCTGTTCTTAATTCCCAGGCAAGTGAGGATTTATTTATTTTTTATGTGCTTGTTCTGCAAAGGGATTAACATCCTGCCTGAGTTGTCAGCCAAGTTATAGCTGACGTCTGTTAGAAACTGTTTGTAACAGACGGCCTTCTGAAAAAAGGCGGGGCAAACATTTTGTGCCATCCAAGATTAAGACTTGCCAAGTCATGAAAGCAGAAAGCTGACAGAATGAACCTTGCTTCTTTTCTTTCTTTTTTTAATAACAAAAAATGCTATGTCCAAGTGAACAGAGGAGTAAGAGCTGGTGCTAACCAACTCGTGGTTTGATGGTACCACCAAGTCCCATCCTTCCCTTTTCCTCTTAATTTCTTCTGCGCAACGATAGTCATAGCCTCGGGGAAATGTTATCTCCGGTTACGAATGGACGACATGGAAATTTCCTCTCCGTTCCGGTCAGGACTCTGGCTGTGCCTTCACAATCTGGTAAATGCTTCTTACACTGCTATGGAAGTGTCTGTAGATGTGTCGCTCTGCTATATTTTATTTTTACATAAAAATATATTTTATTTTTTAAAAGAAAGTGATTCCCCACCCTGTAAGGAATCTTGTCAAATTGCTGGACCTTGAGCAGAGTTGCTAAGTTGGCAGTGTGGAGATGCATGAGGTCTTCAGGATACTCCAGAGGTCAGCCCACTGTCCTTCTAGTGATTGATCTGGCAGTGGGATGATTTGTGACAAGGCAATGGAGGTAGGCAAAGAAAATGCATAGTCCACGGTCAGAGGTTAGGTAGTCATAAAAGGTCTGGAGGGGCACCAGGTTGAAGAAGGCTGATTTATATATGCAGGGATGTAAGCTGTGTCCTACATCAAGGAATGACTTTGCCTCTTGTGATGGGCAGTGCACTGCTGCTATTTTGGGTGACGGCGAAAATTTTGATCCTGCAAAAGATCTTGAGTTCAAATGTACATCTGATATATTTATATGCATTGCTGGGGGGTGGGGAGGTGGAAATGTCTCTGGCAGAACGAGCTGGGTCCTGCAACTGTCCAGATGTACCGTATATTTTCCATGTGGCTGCTTTGTGGGGAGGGGGGTATATTAGGTATATCGTTTATTTAGAAATAACAGAAGGGTCATAGGAAAGAGGATTGCATGCAACAAATCCTTTCATTGTCTGCAGCTGAATTCAAAAGCCTGGCTTAGTTATTGGTATGTCTAAAGGTCATTAATGTTGATAGGAGCCAAGAGGAGGAATTGTTGTCTGTGCCAAGTTCAGTTTGTTCCCATGATAAGCAGCCTGATGTCCGTGAAAGCTGGAGAGCTTAAGCAATTTCAGTTAAAATGGAGGAGTTGTGAGGCTGAATTTAGCATTCAGGGCTGGAGCCATGTTTGAGAGGGCGCAGGAGAAAATGCAGCAATTTCCCCCTTCTCTGTTGGTAGAACATGGTGAGTTTACCAGCCAGTAGGAGGAGGTAGCAGCAGACTGCACTGATCCAAGCAGTGATGGGTCCATGCAGCCCACCAGTTTGAATTTCCCAGAATGCCGTGGGCTGCTGCTATGTTGAAGGCTTTGTGGAAAATTAAAATGGCAGCTTAGACCCATGGTCCTGCTTGGTGTCTAAGCTGGGGGGAGGAGAATTAGAAAGGGACACAGTGAAGATATCAGTGGTGTGCCCTAGCAGGGCTTGGAAGCCCTGGTAGCTTCCCAAGGGAGTTGGGAAGCTTTGTGAAACGTACGTAGACATTATAATGTTGTAGAATTGAATCCCCTTGTGAATTCTTTTTTTTTTTAATTTTTGGAGTTCAGGATTTTTACATACATTATATTATCTCCTTCCAATTTTTAAATTTCCTGTATATTTTTTTTCCTTCCCTCCCCCCCCCCCAATATCCATTGGAAGGGTTCAAACAATTAGCCTCAGCCATGGGCATAGCGTCTTTAGTTTCCACCAAATGTATTTTGTTCCAGTAGTTTCTATCCATTGAAGATAGGGGTTCCATCTGTTCCTTATCGTGGTGGACTTGACCTTCCACATTGTTTCCTGTGACATGACTGCAACAATGTCCGACTGTATAAATTCAAACAAATTCCATGCCTCTATTGTCCATTTTTCTCTATCTTTCCAACCTAAAGCTATCGTTGCCTTTCCCGCTAAAATCATAGCTTTGAAGGTAAGCTGGTCACCTTTCACTATAGCCGTGTTTCCAAGTATACCCATAGTCATGAAATTAAAGTTTATTGAAAGCTTCACTAATAAATTAATAACATTTAGGGTTTTATTCCAGAATTCCAGTACATATGGGAAAACCATCACTTGGCTATCCCCTTGTGAATTCTACACTGCATATTTCTGACTATAAACTATGCATTAAGTTTGAGAGAATGTATCCCCTGTGGGATGTGATACATAAGGAGCAGTCAAGTACAACATTCCCATCTGCAATATGGGGACAATAAGGATTGCAACATGGTACTGTTGAAACTCTGAATAGGCTAAGTGTGGATCTACCCGGGGGGATGACGCTATAAATAGGTCAGAAATTAAATCATTATAACCAAAGAAAACCGCTATGTAAAATCTCAAAGAGGGTTTTTTTGCTCTCCAGCGCCATCTGGTGTTGCATGTTTATAATGCATTCAAAGCACTGGTTTTTGACTAATGTAGCTGAGTCCTAAATGTGTTATATGAAGTTTTATTTTTTATTTTTTATTATTCATGATGAAGCATTATGAAGTATCATGAATTATTATGAATTAGTATTAGTAGTATTATCCAAACAATAAGGATTGCAACAAGGTACTACTGAAACTCTCAATGAGCTATATGAAGTATTATTATTATTAGGACAGGTGGCACTTGATTCCTGCATTGCATGGGGTTGGAGATACTTTGCACATGCTTTATATAATATTGTTCCTTGAAAAAGAGGGATATGAAATTGGCTGCCAGCGTTCAGTGCTTTGACCAGATTGTCAGGAAGCACTTCTAGACTGAGTATGAATATATTCTGCATTGACTCCTGCAGATTCTCTTTTGAAGGTCTTCTGCCCTCCCCACTGGAACAAAGAATCCCAGTCCCTCCTATGAAAGAGAAACCTGGAAAACTGTGCTGTAGGTCTTGAAGGCTTTCCCTTTTGCTAATGAAATATGATTCCCTGTAACGCAGCAGCTTGTTGCCAACACCTGCTCTGTTTACTTTGACCAGGCTGTCAGCAAACGCATCTAGCTTACAGCTCTCCTAAACCATTTCCAAACTTTGCAGGTTTCCTAAACTTGGTTGCACACCAGTGAAGCTTGTGCTTTAAAAACAAAGCAAAACAAAACTTGGCTAGCATTTTGGAGACATAGAGAAATCGATGTGAATTCCACTCTTTTTTGGCATTTTCCCAAACTACTTCTGGGAATGACTTGCCTTTTAAAATAATTGGATGAAGATGAACCATAGTAGAAACTTGCCCCTTAGGCCAGAGGTGGGGAACCTCAGACACCAGGCCAAACCCGGCCCTCCAGGGCTGTCTTATCCGGCCCCGGAGGCTCAGAATGTAGGTATTGCACAACAACTCCTTTAACAGAACTGGGAGGACCCTGTGTTGATAAAGGAACATATCTGTGGTGTTCGATATCATTTGTGAAGAATTGTGGGATGATATCAATTTAAATGGAGGCATTGACCAGATTTGATTCTAGTCTTCTAGCCGCCTTCAATTTGTAAACGAAATTCTCTCTCCCATGTCCCATTAAGATCAGAACTCCACCTGAATTCATTCTCCAATAGCAATTTCTGTATTGCTGATTCTTACCCTTTGGAGATGTCTCCTTCCCCAGTCACTGTTTTCTCAAATTGTACCAGTTGCCTTGTGCCATCATCAGCTTTTCTATGCAGAGATAAATACTGGCTTGATTGGAAAATATGAATGGGAGAATGTGAATGATGCATTAGAGGAGTCATTCCCTATATTAGGAAAGTGTCCTCCTTCCAGCAACTCTTGCAGCCAAGCTGGTGCCAAACATATTGCTCTGCTTTCCTTTGGACCACGTCAACAGGAGCAAGACTTGTCTTGTCGTCTGGGAAGCCCAAGACCTCCATACACACTGCCCAGGCTTGCAACCCAAGGAAGGTCACTTAGCTGCTGCTAACACAGCAATTTGACTTTACCCCAGAGGCACACTCCAGTGCCTCTTGAGAGATATGGATGCCGATAACAACATCATATCCAGATTTGGGGATCCAGAATGCCTAACTGGAGGTGGTGTAGCAGAAAGGTATCAGGGATGAAAAGAAAAGCTCTTTGCACCATCCCCACAATAGGTAAAGGTAAAGGGACCCCTGACCATTAGGTCCAGTCGTGGCCGACTCTGGGCTTGCAGCACTCATCTCGCTTTATTGGCCGAGGGAGCCGGAGTACAGCTTCCGGGTCATGTGGCCAGCATGACTAAGCAGCTTCTGGCGAAACCAGAGCAGCGCACGGAAACGCCATTTACCTTCCCTGTTTATCTACTTGCACTTTGACGTGCTTTCCAACTGCTAGGTTGGCAGGAGCAGGGACCAAGCAATGGGAGCTCACCCCGTCATGGGGATTTGAACCCCCGACCTTCTGATCGGCAAGTCCTAGGCTCTGTGGTTTAACCCACAGCGCCACACGTGTCCCCACAATAAATAGGTGGAAACTGAGAGGTGCGCATGCTGCTCTGATGCTGTCAGGGAAGAAGAAGAAGAAGAAGAAGAAGAAGAAGAAGAAGAAGAAGAAGAAGAAGAAGAAGAAGAAGAAGAAGAATAGGAGGAGGAGGAGGAAGAAGAAATTTATTATTTATACCACGCCCATCTGGCTGGGTTTCCCCAGCCACTCTGGGAGGCTTCCAACACAATATTAAAATACAATAGTCTATTAAACATGAAAAGCTTCCCTAAACAGGGCTGCCTTCAGATGTCTTCTAAAAGTCTTTTAGTTGTTCTCTTTGACATCTTGTGGGAGGGCATTCCACAGGGCGGGTGCCACTACCGAGAAGGCCCTCTGCCTGGTTCCCTGTAACTTGGCTTCTCACAGTGAGGGAACCGCCAGAAGGCCCTCAGCGCTGGACTTCAGTGTCCGGGCAGAATGATGGGGGTGGAGACGCTCCTTCAGGTATACTGGACCTGGAATCTCCCCAGCAGCTGAGAGTAGCAAGCTGCTTGGAGGCTTGACCAAGTCAGTTTGCTGCCTGAGGAAAAGGACAAGATAGCACCACATAGACACCTCCTTTCCGCTTACAGAATCCCACCAGGCAGGCAACTGAATCTTACTTCTCAAATGGCAATGGGAAATGGTAGAATAGGAATCACATGGGGAATGATGGAGAGCCCCACCCTCAGCACCTGCTGTTTGGGCCTGCTGCCTCGTATGCCAAATGGTAGGGCTGTCCTGGGAGTGACAGCCCCACCTCCACCCCACCCCCGGTCACCTGCTTATTTGAGAGGCTGTCGCTTTTCCCCTTCCAGGCTGGGGATGCGTGAGGTGCAGACACGTGGCGCAGACACATCCCTCAAAACAGATTCTTTCCCCTTCCAAAATCCTGTCAGTGGGTGAGGGATTGCTACAGAGGCATTGCCACTGAAAGGAATGAAGGTTGGGGGCAAGAGAACAGGGGCATGTGTCACGAGGTGTGTGTCCCTCTCCCCCAAAAGCCAAATCTACACTCCTAATAATATGCTCTTGGAGATTAAGGAGGCTTGCTCCCTAGCCTATTCAGTGACAAGTCTCCTTTTTCACTCTCTTCTTATTCCCTCCCTGTTACAAGGCAGAGGCTTTTTTGTGTCCCTGAACCAGATACCGCTCTTCTTGTAAATAAAAGCTGTATATGAATCCACAGTTCAGCAGGTCTCCTTTGACATCACCAGGAAGCAGGAGGTTAAGGAATTCATGGTGGCTTTTTTCTTTCACGGTCCTTAGACGTCCAAGGAACCAGCTGCTGTCCCGAAAATGTGCCCCCTCCACGTTTTTCAATACAGGCACAGAATTCCCCCCACAGAAAGCAAATATCTTCTCTATCTAGCTATTGCAGGATTTACACACATGCTTCATTGGTTGTGGGATATACTTAACAGATAGTCATAATAATTAAAAGAGAACAGTTCTCCATCATCTGTTTTCAGTCGGATGAAGGATCTCTCCTGTGTCGCATTTTGGTTTTATTTTTTGCTTTTGGTCTCCTGTTTGCAGATGACACAGGTTGCCCCAGCAGCCAGTCCGTCTCTCCAGTTAAGACACCTCCTGATGCTGGAAACAGTCCAGTTGGTTTTTGTACAGGCAATGATGGAGGAGACTACACAAGGAAGAAATTTAATTCGGGAACAATGGGGGATGGAACTCAACAGCCGGCTCGATATAAGAAGGAAACAAAGGCAAGCTTCATAAAGCCAGGTAAGATCCCTTTTGGGTCTCTGGATTTGTCAGTGGTACTTTTGCTTTGTCTCATGACAGGTGATGGTCAGAATGTCTCTAAAATTGCATGCAATACCCACTGCTTGTAAATCAGACCCTTTGCCTACATTTACATAGCTATGTGGATTGCTAGATCTTCGCAATTGTTTAGATGCAATGATGCAAAATACTACGAAGTGTTGTTTTTAAAAAAACAAACAGAAAATTACAGACGAACAAAAAGGTGACAGTGTCATCCTATGGGGCCTGGTGCAGTAGCTAGAAGATCAGGAAGCATTTGAACACTTTGATTGATATACAAACTTCATTTGAAGCCTTCTAGGAACTGCCTGGGTTTTTTGTCATTTTGTTGTCATTGTCTCATCATTCGGGGGTGTTTTGCTGCTAGGATGAAAAGATGTTTTCTTTCTGCTTTGAAACGTATGATACTAGCTGACAAATGGTCACTTGTTTGGTTTTTCTCATCTGTCTATTAGTTAATTGCCTTGGATTTCTTCCAAATTTTGTATTGTGGTGTTGGTTGGGCTTTGGTCGACCTTGTTACAGCTAAGATCACTAATCTCAGTAGAAAATTTAGTGAAAAAAGACAGCTTCAACCCGTTATTATCACTGTTCTTATTACGATTGTTTAAATTTATATACCACCCTTTGTCATAAGACCACAGGGCAGTTTACAACACTGAACACAAATGTCAAAATGTAACATAATATCTATATAATATAAAAACTGAAGCAGTCAATTATAGTCAGAAATACGTAACAGAATGCAGATTCTAATAAAAGACAGATTCCCATAAAAGCAAAAACATAAAAAATAAGCAGCAAGAAAATCAGCTGCAGGGTATCTGAAATACCCCCCACCCCAAAGTGTAGAAATATACAGAATTTTCTCTCTATCCAAGGCTTAATCCTGGCTCCCACAGAAAATGACAAAGCTTTCCAGGTCTCACCTGTGATCTTTTCTTCAATCTCCCAGTCTCTCACTCTAGGAAATATTCATGGGTGCATACTGTTCTATTTTTGAGTTAACTTTCTGCAAGTGCAGGGGAGATAGACAAAAATGTGTTATTGTGCATGTGTCCCAGTTTGGCTGTATCATGTACAGTAAGTTCCATGTTTCTGAACTGGGGTGGGGGCTGGGAATCCTCCTGGAACCGCTCCTAAGTCTGGATGCCAGACGTTTCTTCACTATATTGTGTGGCTGTAAACCACCTGTGATGAATAAAGTCAGGGCAGTAGCAAAGCAAGCACCCTTTTAAGTATCAAGAATGCTTCCCGTAGAAATTGGTTTTCCCCCCTTTTATTTTAAAAAAGTTAAGCTGCTGCTCAGCTAAAAGTATTCAAAGCAGCTAACAAAACACATGCTAACAATGATACAAAGGCAAACATAATGCTAAAACTCAGGGGTTTTTAATTTTTTTTTAAATGGCAACCTATAAATACTAACTAGCAGAAGCAAAAATATGAAGCGGTTCCAGGTGCACTTCAAAAAATGAAGACTTCCAGAAAAAGGAGGTATTTGCCTGCGTCCTAAAAGGAACAGAGGCGGAGCTAGCATCCCAGGGGTGGGGTGGCGATGTCACCCCCACCCCCACCCCCAGGGATGACACCCAGGGCGGATCACACGTACCACACCCTCTGCCTCCTCCAGTGAAAAGGAAAGTCCCTTAGTGAGGGAAATAAGTAGCTTTGCTGCTGCTGTAAATAAGGCTTCTTCCATGTCTTCAGCTTGCTATACTTCAGACAACACTTTTGTCAGGCAGGTAGGTCCATATGAGAGCTGGCAGCTATTAAATTATCCTGTGCGCAAGGCGTTCTACCCTTTTCCTCTGCCTGCCTGTTCCTCCCCAAATCTGCTCTGAAACTTCCTTGCACTGATCAGCGGCGGAGCAAGCCAATCAAGCGCTTGTAACCTGTGCCCAGGGGCAGGACCAGCCACACACGGGGGCGGGGCAAGCCAGGGCAGGATGCTCTGTGGGGCCTTGGAGGAGTCTGCCTGCCTCCTCCCACTCAGCCACCCTACAGCTGAGGGGGAGGCGGTGGGCAGACCGTTTGGGGCAGAGCCTGCGGGCACCCAAGCCACCACATCACTCCCGGGAGAGACGTGTGTCTCAGGCATGCAGCAAGCCCTGCGGTGAGTGCCACCAGGCATTTTGTCACCTCCCTGAGAGGTGACACCCCGGGCAACCTGCCCCCACCGTACCCCCTTCCTGCGCCCCTGGTGCTGATGGGACCCTGACTTAGCACTACACCAAATGCCTGGGTCCTGTGTTTAATGGCTTTTCTTCTTGGTTTCACACTATTCAGCGCAAAGTCAATCAATGTGAGATTAAGCTAGAATTACTTGAGATTTACAGCACAATGCTATCCCTGTCTGCAGGGAAATTAGTCCCGTTCAGCTCAGTTGCATTGCATTGCATCACAGCCTTTTCCCTCTTTGCGGAAACTCTCTAGATGTTGCTGAACTACAACTCCCATCAGCCCCAGGAAACGTGGCTTATGGCTTGGGATGATGGGAGTTGCAGTTCAGCAATATCTGGAGGGCCAAAGGTTCCCCACATCTAATTTATTAGGATTTGGACTTTGATGTGTGTGTTTGGAGACATGGTTTGGTACTACAGCTCCATTGGCCTCGCCAAACAGAATGAAAAAATTATGAGAAAGTTGACCAATCACTTTAAAGCACACTGATTGGCATTTAATGCTTTCCTGTTTAAGAGACACGGACATGACTTTGCAGGAAGAGCTTGTGATCTGTAGGAAGTCACGCAAAGCATGGTACTTCACATTCATCCAAAGTAAAATATTCTGTTCTTGGAGGAAAACACGCTTGGCAAAGTGTTTTATAAAAATGACATTTGTAATGTTTTGCTTGGATCGCTGCTCTTTGTTCTCACTTTGCTGCAAAGATCAGCAAATTGGGGGGAATAATGTGTTTGCTGTTCGGACACAGATACAGAATGTGCTAAGCTGAATAGTGCCTTTGTCATGGGCATGGTTGAGTGGCTTTTGGGATAACAGTTATGCATTGACCTATTGTCAAAGTGAAAATGCTGCTTAGTCCATTCTTACTGGAGATTAGATTTTGAAGATAGGGTTATGCTGTTTCACCACTGATACTGAGAAAGTTGTGCTTTTTTGAGAGGTTGTGTGTGTGTGTGTGTGTGTGTGTGTGTGTGTGTTTTCCACTTCATTTGTTCTTGAGCAGAAAAAAAATGTTGGCCCTGCTTTCATTTCCATGGAAAAGGGGGTTGATGATCTTACCAGTTACTTCTGTTGCCACTTATTTTATAGCAACTGTCTTTGCCTTTCTGCAGAAAGAAAACTTTGGAGAAGGCACATCTATATCTACTGTATGTGTATTGGCATGTGTGTCTTGTTGTTTGCTGTCATTTGCTCTGGCTCACTCAATTTCATCCTACAAGTCCAGTTCTATTTGTTCATACACGACACTGAACACAGGGACAAGGTATCTCTTCATATGTACAAATGCTTGTGTGAAACAGTATACACTTGTTGATTCATTTGTACAGCTCAACTGTTGTGTACAGAGGTATGCAAACTGTACATTTGCGGAACTTTAAATGCAAATTGCTGTACAAGTGAACCACTCGATGGTTTGTCTGCACAGGTGCACAAGATTGCCACACATTGGAGGCAAAATGTGAACACTCCTTGTTTCAATTCAAGAACACCACTTTTTTCAGTTCTGCCTTTTGGCTGTTGCCTCCAGGATGCTAGTGTGATGCTTAACTGCTTGTCTTCTCTTTCTCCAATGGAAGTTGGGCTCCGAATATACACATGTGGCAATACTTGACAAGATTGGTATTAGGGTGGCCATGTGGCCTAATTTACAGAGGACCGTCCTCTACCTGAAGAGTTATCTGGTCCACCTCTGATGTAGAACCAGAAGAATGTGCCTATCAATGCTAAGCACCTTGACAGCACACTGAGCAGGCACATCACCCATCTGCCTTCAGTCTTTCCCCCAATGGAGAGATGAATTGCATTTCTATTTAAATTACAGGCACAGTTTCTATTTTTTTCTGTTAAATAATTTTTATTAATTTTCAATTACAAAAATCCATTATGTGCCATATTATATTAATACCAAATAGCAATACCAGTTCAAATACAAATCAATTACATAGCCAATTGTAAATTTCATGTAGCTTCCCACGTGCTGTACTTCAAGGTCTGATTCCCTTTAATTCTGCCTCCAGACTATTGCTCAAACCAAATACAATCCATTCTTAATAAAATCCCTTATACCATAGGCACAATTCCTTGAGTTGCTTCTATATACCATACAGCTGCATCTTTCTGGGCGTGGGCCATAGCTTTGCGTGAATAATGCCCCAGACTCAATCCCTAGCATCCCCAAGTAGGACTGGGAGAAAACCCTGTCTGGCATCCTGGGAGATACTGATCTGGATAGAGCAAAGGTCAGACTCAATATAAGGCAGCGCCTTGTGTACCTACGTAGATATAAATTAGCATGTGCAAATTGCATGCAAATTTCTGTCCCTTTTTACTTCCTCTGCTTTTTTAACTGCTGATACGTAAGTGGCCACCCTGAGGGATATGTCTTGCTAGATGGAATGACACTGGTCCTAAAGGCAACAGAACAACCCCCAAGTGAAGAAGGACTCTGAGATGAGATGGACAGATATTCAGAGCTATATGCATTTTCTAACATCAATTTGCCTCTTCCCAGTTACTGTATTTTGCAGAATGATGCTGCGTCTACCACCAGTTGCTCCTAACAAACAGCATTGTCTGGGTCCTTACACGCCGTGAGCCTTAAGGCAATGGCTTCCTGTTCAGTCCTTTGTTTTCCTTTGCACCTTCTTGAAATGGGTAGTGCCCCTTTTGGTAAGCCAGCCTGTGCATCGCGATAATGTGCTGTGCAGAGTCCCCAGAGAGAAGGAGATGCTGCTCATTTGCTGATAGGCTCCCTGTTCCTCTCAAGTCTGTTGCCATGGAGCTGGATAGCTTTGCTTACTTGACCTGCTAACTTGAGGAGTTATTAAAGGATCTGTCTCCATGGATACGCCTGCACGAAACTATACTCCACAGAAGGCATAAAATACACACATCTCTCTGCAAAATGTGCTCTTGTTTTTTTGTGGGTTTTTTTTGTACAGTGATATACTTTCACCTTTTTCTGAAAGCTTAAGTAAATACACCCCCTGAAATGTAAGCAATGAGATAGACACTGTTTCGGGTATCTTCCATTTCGTGTTGAAGGAGCCACTGGTGAATATTAAAATACTGTGAAATGATGAGTCTAGAGATGTTGAAGCTGAAAGTTGCCTATTGTGAGTGTGTGCCTGGGTGGGGTGGCATATTGGGTTTGTCACCATATACTGTATATAAATGCCAATTTCTGTGTTCTGTCTTTGAGACAATATAAAATGAGCAGAGAATGGGAATTAGGGTAGAGCTAAGCAGAGAGAGATGGTGGAACACCAATAGAGAGGAGATCAGGGATGTAATGGCAAATTCAGAAGTGCAGGATCAAATCATGATAGCCATAGCCATGTCCCCTCTCAGCTACACCCCTTCTAAGATCTTGAAACCTCATTATACCATTATACCATAATAATAATAATAATTAGGATTGCCTTGCAACAGTTTCTCCATGCCTTTCAGCTAGAACTACTATTTTCTGGGCCTGCACATGGGCAATGATTTGGAGTGCTCTGATATATACGTATGTAAATTGCTTTGCAAAAAAAAGTGTTTATTAGGAGCAATTAGCATCGAAACGCTGATGAATGAGGACTTTAAGAATATTTGTGTGTTCAGACCCAGAGACCTCCCCCCTAAATAAAGACACATTTGACTCAAATTTTAGTTTTGGTTTTTGGCAGAATTTAGGCCACAACTTTATTGATTACAGAAAAGTGAGTGGTTGCATAGGCTCTGGTTCGACTAGCTTCCTACATCCTTACAGGTAGTGCTTACCCAGAGCTCTATCATAGGTCAGCCAAGAGTGAACACCTGAGGCAGGTGAAAAGCCTGGGAACAGACTCTGTTCACTCCCCAGATGCTCCCCTGGACTCAGGCATGGGCACAACCCCCTTTCAGGGGTTGACCAAACCAAGTTGAGTCCCTGGATTCCTTTAACAGAATACCCTTCACATAGGGATGGCGAGACCATTCTCCCATCTGTGCCTATCCGCAACCATTCTCCCACCAGTGCCTATCCGCAACCTTACAAGTCGTGACAAATTGCTATGTGGCAGGTGAAACCCAAATGGCTACAGCCAAGGAGCCAAGTGGGGGAAATTCCTGCCGTGCCCCTGTCCCAACGACAGATGACACACAATGGCATAGCAAGGTCAATTGTAAAATGCCCTAAAATTAGGGAGAAGTGGGCAGGTGTTCCGATGCACAAGCCGAAAGAGGAAGTTCTGGGACACGTGCATGGGTTTATATAGGTCGCTTGATCCATTTAGACTGCACCCCATTGGCCAGATTAAACCCAGCAACGAAGGACCTACCAGTCGGGTGTTGTGGCTATCCAATAGACCCACCCACAATCAGGGGGTCCGTCTCCAGGTCTCATCGCAACACGTGCCCTCTTGGAGGACATGATATATCACAAACTGATGTGGAAATGCAGAGAACTGAATTTAAGGTTGGGGGGGGGGAATGAGGAACCGAGATTAAACCAAACCTGACAGATTCACTCATTCCTAGTTCCAAGTGCTCAGCTCTTTAAAAAGAAAAAGAAAAAGGGGAAAATGGGACCAGATTATTTATTAACTTGTCGGCATACAGCCCAGCTACAAAAGTACTTGGCTTGAAATGGCTTGGAATAGCTCCTAAGTACATCTGTTATTGTTAAAATGTCCTTATATGCTTGCAGCGGCTGCCTACTTGAAACTGGCAAGAGAGGCCGTCGCGCAACAAAGTTGAAGGTAGCACACATCACCTCCAGTTGTGGTCCATAGAAGAGACCTGCTCAATTTCAACAGAGTGACAATTTGCGATTTCATGCAAGAACCTCTGTTCATAGTGTGTATCCCTAGCAGGGAGATTTGCCTGCCGTCCAATCTCTGTTGCAGTTCTTTGGAATTAGACATGAATGTGACGCAGTCCCTGGGACAGCAATACTGTTTGGAAGTACAGCAACTTCCTCTTTCCCCTTCACTTAGCTGTGATGACACTGAGCCAACAAAAATATGTAACCGGTGCCATAAGCACTCCACACAATCTGCCGTTTATTTTAGTAGGTGGAAAAGGTTGACCTGGAGCATGGTTTTACAGCTCGTCTGTTTACTTCCATTTTTTCTCTCACCTCCTTTGCTGAAATCTCCTCCTTTTGGCCCCACAATGCATCCCCCCCCATTGTTGTAGAAGACACCTAGCCCATATTTAAAATGTCATAATAAGTCTAAAGATGGAGAATTGAGGGGGACTAGAACTACTTCTTCTATCAGGTACATCAGAAATGGGGGACCCTGTGTCCCTCTAGATGTTTTCAGACTCTATCTCCCAGCCAAAATGGCCTACAGCCAGAGATGAAGGTGTTTGTCATCTCAACAATATCTAGAGGGCCACAGGTTCCCTATCCCTGAAGTACATCTTTATGCATGTTTAATACCCTACCAAAGTGAGAGAGATTTAAAGCTCAAAACCCATACCCCTCAACTGTCCAGCTTTGAGTGGGACATCCCGGAATTACAGAAGTCATCTGGCTTCTGACTGGATCCTGGGATGTTCTGTTTCGGCTCCCACAAGAGCACATCCTCCAGAGATGCCTGTTTGGGAGGGCCATTCTCTCGCGCAAGTCACCTGGCTTCCACAAGAGTGCAGCCCCGAAAGATGCACACCCCGATTTTTCTCTGCAACATGTTGGAGGGTATGCAGATCCCATGTGCGGTTGCATGAAAGTGGGAACACTGTGGGACTTCCTTACTTCTCAGCAATCATATAGGAAAGAGCAATCCAGAAGTGAGAGGAAGAGGAAGAGCTAAAGGCAGATTGACCCCCTTTTCATATACCCTTCTGGGTGTTTGTTTGTTTGTTTGTTTGTTTGTTTGTTTTAAACAGTTTTCCCCTTATTCATTCCAATGGGAGGGAATTAAACCTCACAGACTCCAGGGCTGGCCTTCATTACTTTCCAGTGTTTATGTGTTGGGGGCTGGGGGAAGAGAAGGGCTTGGGATACTGCAGACCCACAGCCTCTCTTGGCATGCCCTCAGAACATTTCCCCTTTGCCCTTTCCAATGTTGAGGCGCTGGTTGCAAACTTTTTGCCACAGGGACGGGAACCCTTTTGAGAGTGAGGGCCACGTTCACTTCCTGGGGCCACGTACTGGTGGTGGGTGGGGCCAGAGACAAACATGGGTTGGGCAACGACTCTACCTTTCATACAGTAGACTAGTTTCTTCACTCTGACAGATCCCTCTCTATCCTGAAATACAGGCCAGAGGCTCCCCATCTCTGTTTTATAGCAGTGGCAGTGTTCCCAGTGTCGCTGTGGCCCCAGGGCCATAGGATTGCTCTCCATGTGAATATAACTCTGAACTGGATTGCAGCTATGGCATTTGCAGATAACAAGCCATCTAGCAGCATGTCTCAGGTGTTTTCTGAAACTGATCCAGCAAGACAGTTGGTTAGTGCTGCTCCTGCCGAAATGAATGGAATCTGCACCAACAAATTACTTCACACCTTGGAACATATTCAGTATCTTATTCCATCTTAGAATCATACAGTTGGAAGGGCCCATGAGAGTCATTTAGTCCAACCCCCTGCAATGCAGGAATCTTTTTGCCCAGTGTGAGGATCAGACCCACGGCCCTGATATTAAGAGTCTCATACCCCACCAACTGAGCTATGTTAATTGTATATTTTTTTTAAAAAATGTTTCTTCCCGCTTTTGATTTTTTGTTCAATAAATGGCTCAAAGAAAGGAGGAAATACATGGGCTAGTAACCAGGGAAGATTGTTTAGAACCGGTGAGAGGTGTTCCACCAAGTGGTCCTGCCCAGAAATATGCAGCTGTATTTTGAGCTAGTCGGAGTTTCTGTACAGTCTTCAGAGGCAGCCCCCATCTACACTGCACTTCAGTAATCTAACAACAAGGTTTACCAAAGCTCTAGTTGGTGTGCAGGCCTCAGATGGTAAAAGGCCCTCATCCTGCCTTGGAAGATGAATTTTGATATTTCTTCTTGTGTGCTTTTGTTTCTTATTGGTCTTATGTGTTTTAAGCTTGTATTTGTAAACCACTGTGGACTTTTTTTGGGAGAAGTGGTATACTTTAAATAATAAAGGAAATGAATGCTATAGTCAGCCTATACTTATTGTAGACCTGGTGGAAAAGTAGATCTCGGCTGTTTAGCTTTTAAAAATCTCCAGAATAACATTTGCATCCTTTTTCTTGGCTCATCAGTTTTGAGGAAATGTGAAGAAGCTGAAACGGATCCACCCTTAACATTTTGCAAAACTGCAGGCTTGGTTTCCAAATTCCAGTGGGAGAGGCAAGGAAGGATGGCAGTGATTCACCACATCAATCCTTGAGCTACGGTTTCCATCAGACATTTACTCTTCCCTTTCCTTTTCCAGGAAGCGAAGCTGATTTTAGCTCCTCAAGCAGTACAGGCAGCATCTCAGCTCCTGAAGTCCACATGTCTGCTGCTGGAAGCAAGAGGTCATCCTTTTCTCGCAAGTACGCAACAGCATCTTTGCCCAACTCCCAGCCTGTGAATGTAGCTTCTGTTGAAGATTGGCTTGTTTTGTTTTGGGTGTGGAGGATAGAAGTTGGAGGTGGAGGTTGACCAGGAGCCCTCCCCCAATTCATTTCTGTCTCCTCGTGTGTTTGCAGATGTGTTTTGTGGTACAAACCAGAATCTGACATCTAGGTGAGGGCTGATATCTAATGCAGACATATTGCTTCCAGGGGTGCCCAAACCTTTTTCAAAGAGGGCCGGATTTGATGAAATGAACATGCGTGAGGGCCAACCAAAGTTGAAGTTGTTGAGCTTTTTTTAGGATTTTACCCCAGGAGATAGACTGCCATAGGGGCTGGATTAGGCCCCCAAAATGTACTTTGGACATGCCTGGCTTAATACCATCGTGTCTAAGCAGCAGTGGCGTAGCGTGGGTTGTCAGCACCCGGGGCAAGGCAAGTAATTTGCGCCCCCTAACCCGTGGATTTTAGCACTCGAGTCTCTTCCACTAGATTAGTTAAAGAAACCCTTACCCCCTAAGCACATGTATTGTTTGTTATGAAAATACACCAGATTCTTTTTTGTATGGCATGATATAGGTGTAGTATTCTGCTAAAATTCTAAAAAAAGAAAAAAAAGAAAATCACTTTCTTGCCTTGCTGCACTTTTAGCACCCCTTCATTGTATAACCATTTCTTTACTCTTAACATAATGTTTATTCACCTTCATGCCTATTGCCTTACTCTTTCAGCAAAAAAAATAAAAATAAATTAAAGGTTGCTAGACCCACTGGCTTACATCAACGTATGTTGAGCTAGAGCAGCTACATATGGATCAAAATCTGTCTCGTCACTGTTGAACCAACCAAACTTCAATCCATCTGGTCAGCTCAACATGCAGAATGACCAGTGTGCCCCTTTTCATTGCAGAATGACCAGCGTGCCCCCTTTCAATGCAGAGAGACTTACCTGCAGCGGCGGCTTCTACTCAGTTCCCCGCGTCTCCTCGAGTCCTCCTGCCTCCTGCTCGGCAGCTCAGCCAATTGCATGCATTCGCCTTTCGGCCAATGAGGAAGTGGATCCCACTTCCTGATTGGCTAGGAGGAGGATCCGTGTGACAATAGCGAAATTTTTGCGAAATCTGTGACAGCGCTGAGAGAGAGTGAGTGAGCCAGGTAGGGGCAGAGAGCTGCGAGTGTGCGCGCCCCCAGATGTTGCGCCCGGTGCGGCCAGCCCCCCCTGCACCCCCCACACTACGCCACTGCTAAGCAGTGCACGGCAAGGCTACAAACAAGATAAAATCTGTTTACATCAATCATAAAATGTGGGGGTTCAACACCTGTTGAATGTTGCTCAGCTGCAGAGAACTGGCTAAAGGACAGGGATGAGGAGAAAAGATACCTCTAAATTGAATGGCAAATCATAAAAGGCAGAAGTCATTTAAAAACAGCAGTGGAACTTAGCATCATATTTGGTTGGATAGAATTGTTTTCTGCTTCTGTCTAAAAGACAATAAGGAGGCAGCCAGGCAAATCTCTACATGAGGGATAGGCAACTATCTAGATGTTGTGGAACTTTAACTCTAGAGTTATGAGCTCCAGCCAGAATGGGCCAGTGGTTGGGAATGATGGGAGTTAGAGGATTCCAGGTTCCCCATACCTGATCTAAATGTTTTAAGTATGCCACAAAAGAGGCTGTTCCTCAGTATTCAACACATTCCATTTTGCAAGCCAGCAAAGCAGATAAAAAACACACAATTAGGATTCAAAACCAAGGAAGCAGCTGGATGTATAGTCCCTTAACTGTAGCCTGTCAAAGCAATTAACCTTCGTCCTCTCTGGTCAGCACACATTTTTGGCAGTAATGTTTTGCCAGTGCAGCATGGGCTTTGCAGTCGGTTGAAAAGTTGTGACACTGGTGTAATACCTCTGTTGTTGCATACTAAAGGCTACAGGAGCCTCTGATGATTGGTTGAACTTGCCTTGTGTCACAGAGCAGGGAGAAGAGACTTTGGCAGAGTCAGAGGGTCAGGCCATCTGGAAAGGGCTAGAGGAGGACTAGAAGAAAGAAGAAGTAAGGTCCTAGGGATGCAAAGGCCCCAGATGGCATTGGAGGAGGGAGTTCAAACTTAAAGAAGATACAAGATTTGGAAAAGCAGTAGCAACAGAGTGGATGGGCACTGCAGCTTCTTTTGCAGCAGTACTGCTTTATGGCAGACTTCACTTAGGGCAATTTACTACATTCTGCAGTGCGCAGTCTCCATGTGTGTATCATGAGATCATGATCTAGTAAGTAGGGTTGGATGATATCTGATTTTCAACTTTGTGATATATCACGAGCTAAACATTGCAATATACTGACATATTACAATGTCTGAAATAAGGATGGAGTACTGTAGAGGCATTGGCTGGCTGCACGGTTTCCCCCACATTGTGATTTTTGCATAGCACATTCACAATATATTGCACATTCACAATATATTGCCAAGTCAAAAATGGTGAAACCAGTATCATGATATGGACTTGAAACTGGTTTTGGATGATATATCACCCAGCCCTAACACACATCATGATTCGCAATATATTGCCAGGTCAAAAACTATGAAACTGATATCATTATATGAACTTCCAACCGGTTTTGGACAATATATCAATACATCACCCAACCCTACTGGCAACTAACTCTTTCTTAAAAGCATGTACGTATGGTGTGTTTTTATATATACCCCCACTATGGCAAAGTTGTGCAGAATATGAATTTTTCTAGTTCATTACAGAATATTCTATAATTAATAAATCATTCCTGGTGAATCACAGGAGCTCCTGAGAACAATTTGCTCTGCCCTGGCAATGCAACGAACATCATCTCTCCCATATGCTCAAAACATACAAGCTGCTATCCTTGCTTACAGCTATGAAAGCAAGCCCCAGCAAGTCTTGGGCTTCCACATTTCTAGGGTTGCCATATTTCAAAAAGTAAAAACCAGGACACCCCGAAAGTTGTTGAGCATTTTTTTTACAAAAATGCAACCCCCCCCCAAAAAACCCTCAATTTTTCGATTGACTTGCCTAAGATCCACCTGGACTGTGGTTCATCTTAACTATGGTTAGTTGAAACAAGTGGACTTCATAGACTATGGTCTGAAGTTGGCTCATTTCCACTAACTATAGTTAGGATTATTCACGTGCCAGAGTTTGGATGCTGCTGCAAGCTGCAATTAATTTAAAATCAAAATGAAAGTTTCTGAACTCCCTTGAGGCTCGCTGAGAATTTATTTTTTAACTTGAAAAGCAACTTTGGGAAGCTGTGATTTTGAGTGTGGGTTGGCAAATGCTCCATCCTTTTTCCACTGGCCATTTACCGCACTCATAATCAAGCCCTGCAATCCTCCTCCTGCAGGTTTCTAGCTCCATAATTTAAATATACCTGGAACTGTGTGTGAGGGAGACAGCTTGTGGGGGACATTTTGCAAAGAAGAGCATTACCCTGAACTCTTCAGAGGAGAGGCAGGATAAAAATGCCATAAACTGGCAAAGCTTAATACCTGGAAAATGCCCCTCTTTTAGACAATAAAATAAAGTAAAATCCACTTCCCCCTCCTTCTAACAAAATTCTCCACTGAAAGAAGCTTGATACCGTAATGAAACAAATTTGCTGGAACTGGGAACTGGATTAACTTGAGTCGCACAAGTAACTTGGTCACCTTCATGCAGTTTCTCCTAAAAGAATTACACCCTAGGATATTTGAGTTAAAGCTATTTATAACGATCTTTTAAAAAAGAAAAAGAAAAAAAGTTATTTGAGCAAGGAAGTGAAGAGGGGAAAACCACAGAGCCAAGCCTTAAAATCCCCTCGCTCAAGCTCCATAAAATATCCTTTTCAAATGCATCCTTTGAGCCAACAAGGCAAATTACGCTTGCCAAAAATATCTCTGCTGCGCCATGCGTGCAAAATGCAAACAGGTTTTTTTTTTCTTCCTCTTTTACTGCTTTCCTCCACTTGCCACATTTTTAGAGTGTTTAACATATATATATATATATATATATATATATATATATATACACACACACACACACACTATTTGGTTTTTGTTCCTGTGCAAGGGCAAGGTGCAGTTGTGAGAGATTTGCCCAGCGTATCAGTCCAGTACAGCTGTGCAGCGTCCACGACAGCTTTCCATTGTATCCACATAGGCAAATCAAAGTGGAGTTAACCCAACCACAACCTTGGGATGCTGCCTTGCTCCGGCACAACTCATTCCGCCATCTGGTCTGTATAAAGTGTTCCATGCAAAGAGAGAAGGAAAACCAGTTCAAACGCTTTCTAAATTCAGAGCTTTCTGCCTCGCGATTTGCGGTGTATCTCCTGCGCTTCCTCTGTCTTTCCCCCCTTCTGCTCTCAGCTGTTGCCGTCTTTGATCTTTTTAAAAGAAACGGTTTTGGGGTTGTTTGTTTGTTTTACGTCCAGGAGGTGAACAACAGGTTTGACAGAGCCTGCTTTAGAGACTTCCCGTGCTGCTAATTTCCATTTATACTAATTTGTATTCCCTCCCCCCACACACACACATTGGGTAGATCCCATGTCAGCAGATGCAGTGGTGAAGATCCTTTGAATTTTGCTAGCTCTCTTAAATAATAATAAAAAAGGAGTGAAAAGTTCTTAGAAAGTAAAACAATAAACATGGCTTTTACAGTATGTTCTCCTAGAAAGTGAGGTTTTCAGATGCTATGCCCTCTTACTTTCCAGCATCATTTTGCAATATTTACAATGTGTAGATAGAAAAGCTGTTGTTTTAAAAAGCATTTAAATTAGGATGGTGTGTATAAAAAGATGAACATCTAAACACGGTAAATAAATTTGGGACAGTAGCAATTTTACAACATAGTGGTAAAAGCCTGCAGTTGAAAAGTAAAGTCAAATATATCTAAGACATCTATTTTCTCTTTCTTTAGCCTTTGAATTACTTCCATGGACAGTAATAATGCTTTTATTTCTCCAGCAGTAGATTTATTGAACTTGTCTCCTGAGTTTCCTGGTGATGACTATAGAAACTTCAGGTCTTTATAGGACTGAACAAACTAGTTAAGAGGCAGCTAAAGGCTGCTTTAATCAGAGGTGTTAAATTTAGATTGACTGAATCTATCATAATGAGCCCTTTGCCTGAAATTCACTGTGCCATCCTATATATGTCTACTCAGTAAGCCCAGTGGGGTTCAGTGGAGCTTACTCCAAGGTAGGTGTGCATGGGATTGCAGTTGTAATTATGGTTTGCCATCAATGCAGCTGTTATCACATCTCTAGTGGCTATTGCATCATAGAAATGGGAGAGCGTGCATGTGCATATATCTATTTTTAGAAAACCTGCATTATTAGTGTATATAATACATGTTCGAGCTACCACCCAATTAAAGAAATCTTAAGCTGATTCATTGCGTGAGGTTTAGCCGGTCAATCAGGTGATTAAATCTGCACAGGTTTGCAAATGGGTAAAACAATAACTGTGAAGAAAGGAACATTCTAGTCATTGCTGTTAGGTTGGATGCTTCAGACGTTGTTGGACTCTCATCAACACCAGCCAGCATGGCCAATAGTCAGGGATATTGGGAGCTTGAGTTCTACAACATCTGGAGCCATAAAGGTTCCCCACCTCTGTTTTGGAAGATGCTTATGTGCCCCAGCAATCACTGCCTTTGAATGAACTTTCCCTCTTAAGTAGAGTGGAAGGATACCTCTTTGAAAGTGGTGACAACTACAGTGGTACCTCGGGTTACAAACGCTTCAGGTTACAGACTCAGCTATCCCAGAAATATTACCTCGGGTTAAGAACTTTGCTTCAGGATGAGAACAGAAATTGTGTGGCAGCAGTGGGAGGCCCCATTAGCTAAACTGGTATCTCAGGTTAAGAACAGGTTAAGAACGAATTCAGTTCTTAACCCGAGGTACCACTGTACGTGCAATTATTATTATTATTATTATTATTATTATTATTATTATTAAAAATAAACATTTAAAAAATGGATGCCCTGCCCAATTAATTTGGGATACCTTTTTCCACCAACCAAGAGGCTTTTAAACAGATTAATACAACTGACTGAGTGTAACTCTGATGTATATTTCCCTCGTGCCCTATAACACACTGTTTTTGCTGTCTACTCCAGCCGGGGTCCCCACGGACGGAATAACGGAGCCTTGTCCTACAAGTCTGGATCTAGCCCTCCTACCACGTCCCGCGAAAAGGACTTCCTGTCAATGCTGTGCAAAAATCAGTTGAGTCCCATTAGCACCCACCCGAATTATGAGGCTTCTTCGGCCAGCAGCAGCAATTCAGGCTCATACAAGGGAAGTGATAACAGCCCCATTTTGAGGCAAGTGAGCTTCTCGCAGCTTTTTCCTCTCTCTGCCCCGCCAATCACCTAAGCCCCCCTCCGTTCTCAGCTGTCATCAGAATCTCCAATTGTAACTGAAGATTTTCTTCGTTACATGGTACATCAGGCTCGTAAATTCTCTAGGCATTTCAGTGACATCCTTTAGGCATTTGAACAGGTGTGGTGGCAGTGACGACCCGCCAAACCAATTAATTTCCCTCCGAGGGAAGAAGCTTAGCAAAAGGCTGCGTATTCCTTGCTAACTCGACAGTCTGCAATAACGTTTCTTCTATACAACCCTGTTGTGGGATACTATAGAATTTAACCCTGCTTGCCATTGCCTTGACCTGCAGCTGCTGCAAAAAGAGCCTCTGGTGTTGTCGCATCGTGTGGTGTCCTTTGATGTGTGACCCTCCTGACCTTTGTGTGGCCACTTCTTCACTTGATGTCTTTACTAGAGGCAAATGGGTGTTGCTTGCTATTTTTTCCGTCTAGAATACTTAAGTCTGCTCCAGGAAATACGATGTCCAGGAAGGGCATAGCTCAGTGGTGGAATGCCTGTTTTGCATGCACTAGGTCTCATCTTCGATCCCTGGAAGCTCCGGGAAGGGCCTGGAATGTACCCTTCCTGGAGAGCTTCTGCCAGTCATTTCTCACTCCCCCACCACTGAACCTCCTCAACCTCCCATTTTTTGTCCCTCGCAGAGCATTTCCACCACCAATGGGACACAGCACACACACCCTCCACTGTCCTGAAAAACCTCTTAATCCCAATTTTGTTTTATTTCTTGGTAGATTTTAGAAACAGGCAAGATTCAATGTGGACGCACAAAGCATTTTTTAATTAAAAGGGTCGAGACTCCTTGCACTCTATTCACCCTTTCTTCCCGCACAGGGTAGCCCTGCTCTCTGCCTGCCCCCCAGCAGCTGCTACGAGCTGCCCAAGGGAGGAGGCCAGCAATGGTGGCCATGGAAAGGTAACAGGATGCTCCCTTGCAGCTTGTCACTCAAGACAAGCGCCAGCTCATTCTCCTCCCTGAGCCCACTGGTGAGAGGAATAGGGACATTCTGGGATCAAAGCAGAAGCCAGGATGGCTTTTGTAGTTCTGAAACTGTGCATGGAAAATAGGGACACTAGAAGGGGATGAGCTGGATGGACCAATGGTCTAACCAAGCATATGGCAGCTCCTGTGTACCTAATGTGAGGGTCACAGCCATGGTTACAGTTCTTCTTGTGCCATTGGCCAATCAAAGTCCCAAGGTCCTTCTGGATTAAAACAAAAGGCATCATTTGCTCACCTTGGCAGCGCATGTGCTGCTCACCAAGCGTGCAAATGTTTTCACCCCTTCTTTCGCGACAGTGAGCAACCAGAAGACTGTACTATAGTTTCCACATTGGAGTATGACTACATTGTTGACATGCAATGGTGCGGTGGTGAATTCTGAAGTGCAGGCCCTCTTCCTGACAACCCCCAGAGCTATGCCCCCAGAGCCACTCCTTCTGAGACCTGGCAACAAAAATATAGTTTTGACCAATGCAGACCTTACAGCTTCAATACGAAGCCATTTCCCCTCATCCGCTGCTCTTGGCTTTGCTGAACATCCTGTCGGATGAAGAGTTCTGGGGGCGGGGGGAGTCAGAAGCTTGCTCTTTATATCTGGTGATAATAAAGGGACTTGAGAGTTTTTCAAAATAAAAGCAGCGCTCGGCTATGCATGCTTAGCGTGATGGGAGGGTTCTCTCTGAGAAAAGCCTATTTGTTTGGCATGCAGAGGACTGGCAAAAGCAATTGCTATCATTTAACACTGGCAAATATCAATTACTATCATTTAACACATGTCCTTTCCTTCTCTCCGCGCCGCCCGCCCAGCTGACCCATGAAATAAGTGCTGGTGGTGCTTTGTCCTGGCCTGTCCCTGCTTCACTACACCACAGGTTACATTACAGGTGGGGAGTCAGTCTGGGTACCGCAGTTGCAGGAAGCAATGTAGGGAGCCCGCTGGAAGATGCTCCAGGGAAAATGCAGAAAAGCAGCCCACTTTATTGGAAAACACTTAGCAGAATTAACTATATCTCTAGAAGGTGCTGAAAACTAATTAGCACTTGCATGCCAACAGGTTCTCACCCCCAAAAGCGTTCCAAAACCTTCTCCGACAGCATCATAGTTGTGGATCCTTCCTGATATTTGTGAAATCTGAAATTAGGCAGTTTTTGTTGCTTTGTCACTTACTTACTGGAATGGTGGATGAGACAATGTCTGCCTGCAATACAAGCAGCCAGTAAAAGGTGCATTCTGTCAACAGTCTGCCTCCAGTGTCAGACTGGTGGTTGACTCAATTACTATCATTTAACACATGTGCCTTTCCTTCTCTCCCACCCTCCAAGCCATATGTTTAAGTGGAGTTTTAAAGCCCAGTTAAACATGCAGTCAGGCGGAGGGAGAGGAAATGTGGGTCCCCTTTTCTCTCCCCACCCCCCGGTCCATATGCTTAATCTTGGGGCTTTATATCCTGATGAAATATATGATCCGAGACAGGGAGGTAGATGCAGACTGCCTGCATGTCTCAATCTCCCCTCTCTTCTCACTGCCACACTGTCCCTTGCTTTGAGAGCCCTGAATCCTTCTGATGGACCTGATCTGTTCCAAGTAGATCTGGGGCCGCCTCAGTCCTATGCACCCGAATCCCAGGTTAACCAGGATCGTCCCAATTTGGTTTGGGATCCAGTACACAGGCCTCACTAGGGCCTTTTAGGTAGGAGGGCCTTTTTGGTGATGGCACCCAGATCGTGGATGTTGCCCTCTAGGTGTTGAACTGCAGTCCCCATCATCCCTGAACATTGGGATTAACCTTGAATTTTCAGAACCTTGAACCTGGCCCAGTAACACATGGGAAGCTTTAAGTAGCTGAAATATTTGTTGATGGCATCTGTCCCCATCAACAGTTTAGCCTCAGCAATTTGCACCAACTGGCGCTTCCAAGGGTAGTCTCCCACATGTCATGATGTTGCACTGTTTATTATGAGTTAATTTATACTTTTATATTCCACCTTTCCTCAACAAGCCCAAGGTGGCCAACATCAGACATAAGCAACCTTTAAAAAACAACGTGACCACACCAATAAATAGTGACATCATCATTATCATCATTATTAAGTTTGTTGTTGTTTATTATAACCTCCCTTCACCGTAAGGTCCCAGGGTGGGTTGAATATTAAAACACAAAATTAAAAGCAGTTTAAAACAACTTGCAGTCACAAAAATACCACATTATGAAAAAAAGATTTTAAAATACATCCATCATCAGTAATGACAGTTATTTAACCTCAGCAATTTAAAACAGCTTCAAAAAGGGAACAACCATTTCAGTGCAACTTATTCCCAGGTAAGTCTGTGTAGAACTGCAACCTAAAGCACCAGTTCTTGCCTTAAGCAGAATGTAAACATAAAATTTGCAGGCACAACAACATTTTTCTGTTGTAGGCGGCCGGCAAGATACACCTCTTGTGGAGAGAACCACGGCATCAAACCACCAAGCCCAGAGCAGTATCTGACCCCTCTGCAGCAAAAGGAAGTTACAGTGAGGCACCTGAAAACAAAACTGAAGGAATCTGAGAGCAGACTGCAAGAAAGGTAAGAGTTTCTACTAATAGGGCCTTTTCAGTGATGGCACCCTGATTTCAGATGCCCTTCTCAGGGAAGCTTGCTTAACATGTACATTAAGCGGCTTTAGTGCTGGGGTAGCCAACATGGTTCCCTGCAGATACTGTTGGACTACAACTCTTATTATTCCTGACAACTAGGAGTCCATCACATTGGCTACCCTGGGTGAATGCATGGATGGCCTTCAAAACATTGCTCCCATCTTCCTGGATCATTGGCCTTGCTGGCTGGGGGCTGATGCAAGATGGATTTTACCCCCTCCAATCTGCCCCAGAGACTTGGAGAAACCCTCCAGAAGTGATTTGAAAGAAGGGGGCAGGAGATTGTGGGGGGTTGGAATTGAAGGGGACTTTCATTCACACCACATTGGGTTTCATCCACAACATTCTTGCTTAAACATGAGAACAATCAATGGCCCAAGAAACAGTTATATCATGGGTAGGCAAACTAAGGCCCAGGGGCCGGATCCAGCCCAATCGTTTTCTAAATCCAGCCCGCAGACGGTACGGGAATCAGCATGTTTTTACATGAGTAGAATGTATTATTTTATTTAAAATGCATCTCTGGTTATTTGTGCGGCATAGGAATTCGTTCATTTCCCCCCCTTCAAAATATAGTCCGGCCCCCCACAAGGTCTGAGGGACAGTGGACCGGCCCCCTGCTGAAAAGGTTTGCTGACCCCTGGTTTATATAATAGTTTTGGTGTTATAAAAGCCAATTTCTTGATATATGGGTATCTCTACTCTACCACAGGAGTAGGTAACATGGTGTGCTCTCACCATGATTGTCAGAGATGATGGGACTTGTAGTCCAATAGTATCCAGAGGAGTTAACCATGTCTATGAGCTGACCATGTCTGATTCAAGCAGAAAACCTCTACCTTCCTTCATGCATCTTGTTCACCATATCTTTTCCCTCCTAGCTTGGTAACCTCAAAAGGGCAGGTTCTCCTCGCAGGAAATGATGCCTTGTTTTGTTTTGCCCTCCATTCAGAGAAACAGAAATCAAGGAACTCAAATCTCAACTTGCCCGCATGAGGGAAGACTGGATTGAAGAAGAGTGTCATCGGGTGGAAGCCCAGCTTGCCTTGAAGGAAGCAAGGAAGGAGATCAAACAACTCAAGCAGGTTATCGAAACCATGAAGAACAGCTTGGCTGAGAAAGACAAAGGGATTCAGAAGTATTTTGTGGACATCAACATCCAGAACAAGAAGCTGGAGACCTTGCTCCAGAGCATGGAAATGGCACAGAACGGCTCTTGTCACGAGGATCACAGCCTAGATTATGTGTGTGGGTCACCTGATAAGTCTTTGACTCCAAGTGCGGCCTACTCCAAAATGGCTGACAGCATGCTCATGGAAGACCACTCTGTGGAGGATATGGCAGATAGCGGCGTATTGCTTAGTGACGACGTGGCCAATGGGAACGATGTATTTGAAGAGACAGCAATGGACGCCACACTCGAACTCTTTACACCTTCCCCCTTAAACCATTTGGATCTCGTTAAAAACCTCACAAACGCCAAAGAAGAAGACGACAGCCACAGCCATAGTTTGGCAATGGAGCAGGCAGTTCAGGCTGATGTGTTGCTGTACAGCTCAAGCATGGAGCAGCTGATTCAGAACATATTCAAGGCTCACGAGGGACGCCCCATCAGCCCTTCTTCAGCTTCGAAAGAATCCGACGGATCTGGTCTCGAAAGCATCACAGACTTGCTCGTGGACTTGACTCCATGCGATCCGAATTCCGCTATCCTTTTATCCCCGCTGGAGTCGGCACACGATGCTGTGGATTCTAGGTATTACGAAAACAGAGTCATGAAGGAACTGGACTTCACAGACTATCACGCCGAAGGCTTTGGGAATGTCATGAAGTTGTCCGAGAGGAGCGTTGTGAAAAGATACTGGAGCAGCAGCTTCTTTGTTGATGCTTTGGCCGTAGCCGCTCCCATCCTGCCAACAGTAATGTGGATGTTCAGTACCCAGCGAGGAGGGACTAACCCTGTCTACAATTTCGGAGCATTGCTTCGAGGATGCTGCTTGGTTGCCTTGAATTCTCTCCGCCACGTACCCGTCAGCGTCCGACCCTAGAGGGAATTCTTCTGTACAGTTGTGCCAAGAGCCTGAGTTGTGGTGGGTGTGGTTCTGGTTGCGTGAATATAATGTTGGGTTCTGTCCGTCCTGCTCCTAAATGTTTGATTTGCACTATATTTAGTTCAGAACATGTTCATTGTTTGAAACTGAAGAAGAAGAAGGTGGCACAGAGACTTTCTGCCGCTAAATGTAAACGCAAGTGCATTTTTATTTTTATTTTTTAAAAGAAGCATGCTAAGCACTTCTCGTTCTGTCGTCGGATGTGTGGATTGTGCTACCAAATTGTTTTCAGATGGGAGGGGAAAGTACACTCTTACAAAGGCAGCTTACATAAGCCTCGCATGTATTGTCTGTCTGTGCTTCTTCGTGGTGCTTTAATTATGTAATCGCCCCCTGCATTCCACTGATCCTGTGTACAAGGGGACCGTAAACCAAAAATTAAAAAGAGAGGGGGAAATGTTATTGCAGATGGGTGGGTGGGGAGTCTTGAATCTTGTTATTAGCCACGTTTATAAATATGATTGTGAATATATTTTATGAAGTCTGTTCAAAGTCTTAAATGAAGTCTTACTCGGAACGTACTGTTGTCACACAAGTGTATGAAGGAATATTTTAAATGTATGTGTACTAACTTATTTTTTTTTCTTGTTAAATAATCTTTTAAGGAAAAAGAAGAAGAATGCTTTATAATCACAAGCTATAAGTAAAGCACGTTGAAACTGAACTGGTGTCTTTGATTTAGCTGGGCATGGATCACTGCAAGAGATCTGGGTGCTCGCCTTAGTTAGGAAACAAGTAGGGATTACACAATGTGTAGCCAGGGGCTGAGGGCCGCAAGATGTGATTGGACTACAATTCACAGCAGCCCCGGCTGCAATGCTCAATGGAAGATATGGTAACCTTAGGCCCTCCCACTGTTGGTTTGTGTCATGAAATTTATACACAACTTGAATGCGGGGGGGGGGGACACCCCTCAAGAGGATAAAACAAGAAAACCAAGAAAAATGTACAACTGTACTTTAAAACATACAAAAGTAAAAATACTAAAACAGATTAAAATTACCTCAACTTCCTAAGCATCTGGGTAGGCTTGTCTAAAGAAGTTGGTTTTTAGCAGGTGCCGGAAAGAGCAGTGATCTCAATAGTCAGGATGCAACACTAAATCAGGTTCTTACAAATGCAAAACGGGCATTACATGGCACCTGTAGTGGTCTCAGTTCGGCTGATTGAAGCAGTCAAGTGGGCACACGTTGGGTAAGGTAGGTAAACTGGTCCCAAGTTGTTAAGGGCTTTAAATATTAATAGTAACCTCCTGAACACGGTCTCTTCCGATTCAGATATTATGGAGAAATAGAATTGAGTGTGATCAGCACCTTGCTCCGAAACGCCTAATGACCACTCTGAACAGCTTCATGTAGATATGAAATAGTGCTGGAGATGAGATAGTCCCCTGCAGCACCCCATAACATAGCGGTCAGGGGGCCGAAAAGCACTCTACCAATGCCACTGTCTGACTTGGTCTTGAAGGTAGGATTGGAATCAATGTAATAATACAGTACCCCCCCAGTTCCAGTTCCCTGCCGGTGGTATCAAATGATCAAGATCAATAAGCAGGAGCCAGTCACACTCCCCCTATCCTGCTCTCCATCAAGGCAACCAAGGGCAACTTAGCTCCATGGCCAGGACTAGACCCAGATTGGGATGGATCTAAATAATCCTTGGGGTGTCCTCCAAGATTGCCTGCAGCTGCCTGACCACAGTCCTTCTCTCAAAAGGGGGTATTTGCAATTGGCCATTAGCTATTCCAATCCAAAGGATCCAGGGATGGTGAGATTTATAGTTCAGCAACATCTGGAGGGCCAGATCCCTCACATCTGGTCAGTGGTCAGGGACAGCAGGTGACATCCAACATCTGGAGGTCCACAGACTCCACAGCCATAGTTTAGGCACTTGCCAATGTTATTGCTTTTGCTCATCTTGAAGCAAAGCAGCATACAGGTGCAGTTACTGTTCCTATTGCGACCAAAGAAGAGATAGACCTTGTTCATTACCACTTATTGCATTCAGCACCCGCCCTCGTCTTTACCACCTTCAGGTAAATTAGGTCTGGGAAGCTTGTGAGTTGTCTAGAGATGCAAGGAGTTTTGCAGCTGAGTTAAGGGCAGGAAACCAGTTTGTTTTAAACATGGATATGAAGTGGGAAATATAGGATGACCTTTCGTGCAAAGGGTAAATACATGTGTGCATTTGAACTTTCCTCCTGGTGTCATACACTGCCCTTAGTTAAGACTCAGGATACTGTAAAATGAGTCCTACTGGAGCAAACAGCGTCCGGGGTTCAGGGAAAGGTAATCAGTGAGCATGAGGACCACTTGGCATTCTTAAGTTGCTGTCTGCTCATTTCCCCATCCTCGCCCTGTAACCACCACCCTGGTTCTGGCTAGCCTAATAAAATCCTGCTAAAACCACAGGGGAAATTCCTTGCCCAGTTCTGCTTACAATGACTGCGGCAGAGAGAGCAGGTTTGTGGGGTTCTAGTCACACTGTTCAATTCATTTACTTTATATAGCTGTCCTCATAAGAGGAAGTTTCTGGACAATTCACAAAGCCAAAAGAAAACCCCACCCCACAGTAAAACAATAATATGCATGACTAACTAGGTGGGACTGTGAAAAGGAATAAATATATTGTTCAGACCAATGCACTGAAGATGTACTTTCGTATTAAAGGACAACGTCTGCCTCTCCACATCTTCCCATAAAAGCCACTTTTATAAAACTTCATTTTTTCTTTTCAGAGACTGTCTACTGAGTGGGTCAAGTAGAGAGTGTAGCCAAACAGCATTCCCTTAAAGCACGTAAGAAACAAATTCCACTGGTTTCGATTATTTTATATTCAGCAAATATTCATACACATCCTTCATGTACAAAACCCAGAGTTTAATTACCCAAGTAATATAACCACCTGGATAACAACAAAAAATAATCATTATATTAGCCAAGATATTATTCAGGGACCCTAGTCTAGACTATTTACAACTGAAATCAATTCACGCTTTTGGGAAAATCTATGTATTGGGACTGTAAGATTTAACCTATTTAGTTGGTAGGTAACTAAAGATTTGGGAACCAATTTAAATCTGAGGGCAAATTAACTGGGGGATAAACTGATTAAGGGCACGTTTCTTAGGTGTTGCAGTAATAGAAATGAAGAAAGGATTCTTTCAAAAATGGCTGTGATCCAAATAAAATTAATTGCTACTAAATCCCATTAAAGTAATTACTGACAAATGCTTACATATTTCCTGTAATGGGTGACTATCCTGCTTATAAAGAGAAAGGGAAAGGACTACTGGACAGTTAAGCCCAGTCAAAGGCGACTATGGGGTGTGGCACTCATCTCACTTTCAGGCTGAGTGAGCTGGCGTTTGTCCACAAGACAGCTTTCCGGGCCATGACTAAACTGCTTCTGGCACAACGGAACACCGTGATAGAAGCCAGATCACACAGAAATGCCATTTACCTTCCCACTGCAGTGGTACCTATTTATCTACTTGCACTGGTATGCTTTCAAACTGCTAGATTGACAGAAGCTGGGACAGAGCAACGGGAGCTCACCCCGTCATGCAGATTCGAACCACCAACCTTCTGATCAGCAAGCCCAAGAGGCTCAGTGGTTTAGGCCACAGTGCCACCCGCATCCCTGCTTATACACTCCAACACATTTGATATGGCAGCCAACCTGAAAAATAGGGCCAGTGATACACATCAAAATCTAACATAGGAATCTTACCTCCGTTTATCTACATGACAAAGGTAAAATGTAGGCTGGCCCTCAGCACAAGCACCAATGCCCCTATTTCAGAAGTGGCAAGTTAAACATGGAATGATGAGTTCCTAAGCAAGCAACCTGGGAAAACGAGTCCATATAAGTTTTTCCAGCTGCCTTCAGCTTTGACAAACAGCCCAAGGATTGGCTCAGCATGCTAAATTAAGCAATACATACTAGAGCAATTCATTCCTGTGCAATCAACTGCCCATTTTTTCCTTAGTGAGGCCAGCTTCAAGTTGATCTGACAACTCAATATTTCCATGTGACACACTCTTCAAAGTTTTGGATGTTTGGCATAGATGCAATGACCCTTCATTACCAGGAAAGGAAAGGCTTCTTTGCACTTAGGCTGGAAGAAACCTGATCGCATGCATTGGAATACAGTCCAACTTTGTAGGTAGAGGGAAAGCCCATCTGGCTGCCGGGACTTACACAATTGCCTCGCCCCTGATACTTCAGCATATCAAAGGAGTTTTGTGCCCTTAAAACTTGGATTTCAAAGTTCAGAAGCAGCCACTGATATATTAATCTGCATAAGCAATGCCTAGATCACCACCCAAGCAGTTCTGGAATTTTTCATGAAAGCAGGCAGACACCTGTTGCCTATGTTTGGGAAGTAGAAGTTGCTATCTCAGCTTAACCTTCCAGCAGGGCTTCTGTCTTGGGAGTTTAAAGATGCAAGAAAGCAAACATCATTGCAGGTACATCGAACAAAGCAAGATAATAGCAACATCTTCTTTTTTGCCTGAAGTCATGGCTGGCATTAAGCAAATTATCCTTCTATGTATGTATCCTTCTATGTAAAATTTATAATGAGGCACTTAGTACTGCAGCAAAGGCAGGGTTTTGTGAAAACAAGCAGTGAAGCAACACATTCTTTAAAATTATTTAATTACACACCTTTCTCGTAATAAGCATAATAGACAATAGATTGCCATCATTCAATTATTTACACCCTTTTTCCCTTTAGCTTCAAAACAGGCATTTGAAGAGTTTATGAAGTAGCAGCTCTTCTCGCAGTGAGTGCACGGGGATAGGGCTTCTGCAGGAAACACAGTCCCATCTTGATGGGATTCAATGGGATGATGCTGTCGTTGTTTGAACTGTCCAGTTGCTTTATGGAAGAACCAACCGTCTCTTCCAAGATGGCTTTAAAATAAGTAGTGAGCCGGAGTTCTAAAAATACTGAGATCAATACAAAATGATGAAGCTGAATTCTCTCCCCACTGCTGGCTCCGTGAGACCAAGGCAAATGTTGTTAGGACAGCTTCACACCAATTTTATTTTGTTCTTTCTTCATTAACCGCTGTGCTTCTTTCTCCATTTTCTTCCTTTGTTGCTCAGCTGCCCGTTTTTCCCTTTCTGCTATTTTCTGCTGCCTGCAATTTGACAAAAAATAGAATTGCATCAATGGATGCAAAAGATGGAAATGACTTTCCCTCTAATGGATGCAAATACTTTCCGTATACAGAAGGTGCACAAATACAGTGACACAGAATTAATGGCTGCCTGAGATGGGACCAATAGCGGCCTACCCACAGAATATAATCTACTTTCCAATACAATTTAGAGCTAAGCAGCGGAACATGTTAACCAACATAAGCTTGGTAAAACAGATGTGAGCATTGTTTCATGTAAAATTCGCCCCTTCTCATGGCAGTTTGGGTAAGATTTCAGACCATGTATTTTGACTAAGGCATGGGAAACCATCCATGGCCTTAACACTAATCCTCAAGAAAGCGAAATATAAGGAACGATGATTGTTCTTTAACCAAGAATGGGAGAGGCTTGGATGTATACTGAGCCCTCTGGTGGCTAGGGAAGGTATTATTTTAAGGATTTAGTATTTCCAACAATTTAAACTATTCTTTGCCAAGATCTCATACGTACAGTGTTGTACCTTGGTTCTCGAACGCCTTGTGACTCGAACGTTTTGGCTCCTTAACACCACAAACCCTGAAGTGTTTTGTGAACTTTTTTTGGAAGCCGAACGTCTGACGCCTTCTGATTGAGTACAGGAAGCTCCTGCAGCCAATCAGAAGCCACGCCTTGGTTTCTGAATGTTTTTGGAAGTTGAACAGACTTCCGGAATGGATTCTGCTTGAGAACCAAGGTACGACTGTATATTATAACAACAACCTTTCCTGCTCATCTTTACAGTTATACTTAAACAGCACTCATCAATGCTTCTCCAACCAGAATGAGATTTTTAATGAAGCGCTGTACCATTTTTTATCAGCAACTTAAGATGACGTGGAATCCTTAGCAAACGCTGCAGATCCCGCCTTTCTTCCATCATGAAAGAAAGATGGTGTACATGTTGCTCCAATCCAGCCTCCAATCCAGGCACAGCTTCTTGTGCCTTCAAACCACGCTATTTGGGTTCTTGTGCTGATTAAGTACGCAATAGGAAGGTATGGAGAAGCTGTCATTCATAAACTCTTAGCTGAGTTGGACCCTGGTTATGGGCTTTTCTCCACTTTTTATTGATAAATAGTATTTTTTAAAAGTAAGTAAGCAAATAAAAGGGGCTGCATTCAATATATTTCCACTGGTGTAATGAGACTTCTCCTCCTCCCTGTGCACACTGAAAAATCTGCTCTAGAAGGGCCCTCGAACATCGGGGGATGGGGGGGGGCGGAGAGAAGAGGAAGCTCCACTATATGCATGAAAGTCCATCATGCCAGCAGAACTGAAGCACTGGATATGGTCCATAATTTTTATCCTGATTTTAAACCAAATCTGCAAAAGCGGATTGCAGAAGAAAATAGAACCAAACAATAAAATGTTCAAATTAAGAGCAGAAAACAGCCTTAAACAGAAGCAATCAAATGCCTGGGTGAATAGAAAATTCTAGGCCTAGTGCCTAAAGCTCTGGATATGTGACAAGCACTGGGAAGAGCATTCCAATATTAAATTCACAAAAGTGTTGTGGCTTTTCAAATTGCAATGATTTTACTGCTATGAATCTTCACAGTAATTGTATTGCCTCTTTATACTTGGGGTTTCTGTTTACAGTGGTAATTCTAGTTACGCACAATTCATTCCGGAGGTTCGTTCTTAACCTGAACTGTTCTTAACTAGAGGCGTGCTTTCACTAATGGGGCCTCTTGCTGCCGCTGCGCCGCTGGCACACGATTTCCGTTCTCATCCTGGGGCAAAGTTCTTAACTCAAGGCAACTCTTCCAGGTTAGCGGAGTTTGTAACCTGAAGCATTTGTAACCCGAGGCGTTTGTAACTCAAGGTACCACTGTATTTTTAAATTCTCTTATATGAATGCTGTGCTCAGCACAGTGAAGACCTTGGGTGACCTTAAACGTGCACACTCCCCACTCCCTCTGGTGAGCAGCTTTCAGTTTCTACTCGCCACAAGCCAATTTCAAACCCTGGTTTATGAAGCTTGCTGGTTTCTATAAGCCACAATTAAAATTTAACTACTTGAACATGCTTCTGTTCAAAAACAAGCAACGGGTTGCATCCAGTGTTCTGTGCTAATCAGACCACTGACGCAATTGTTGCATGCACTGAAGTTCATTGTGCCAGTGAAAATGGCCCAATAGCTTCCAATAGCTCATGACTGTATCAGAAAAGGAAAAGGGGTCGGGGAGGAGCATACAAGCTGAAGGGTTCATTCATATAATATTGAACTATAGCTTAGTGTTACATGCAAACACGATTAAAAGTGCATCCTCTCTGAATCAATGCCTGCTAGTTAACAGCAAATATTTGCAGTACAGCCAATTATAAGATTGTGCAAATTTACCTAAGAACCTCTTCTGCTTGCCAGGAGGCATCTTCCTCTTCTTCCCAAGCATTTCTGTTTTCCTGCCATGTCTCCAAGTCTCCCAGTTCTGGCTGGAAAAGGACAAGAATTCAACACACATCTACAGAGAGAGACTCAACTCGCTAAATCTCAGAAAACTATTATTCCACATTAGGGGTGTGTCATCCTATTTATAGGAATGGAATCCTAGTTAGGCAACAGCAACTCTACCACTCTGCACATTACTTAATGAAGACAGCCATGTGTTGAATGAACTTCCAAAAACACAGAAGCATTTTCTGCTTTCTAGTGCTGGCCAAGACATTATTAATTCCTTAACTGTGCATACATCATTCTTCTATGTTCCTGCCATACTAGATTGTAACATTCCCATTGGGAACATCTGTCTAAAACTCCTGAAGTTTTTACTAGCAGACAAAGCAAACTATCACAGATGTCTCTGTCACGTCCTAGTTTTTACATACATGAAATCCTAAATTTATGTCAATGAAAGGATTGGATATATAGGATTGGATCCAGAAATGTTCCCAAGAAAGGGGGTTAGCACAAGGTGAGTTTTCTTGCTCCTCCTTCCTCAGCATCTTCCAAGGATTAGGGGCACCCTGCTGAATGGGGTGGGCTGCAGAACAGGGTGTAAAGGGGGAAAGGGGGAAAGGGAGAACTGCAGGAAGTCCTCAGAGAAGGTGCTTCCACCTGATTTTCCACAGTCCCCCTTTCACCCTCAGCTCCCCCGCTGAGCACAACACACCCTATTCAGCAGAGTCCCCTTGACACCCATGGGAGCCTTTTGGCAGGCTTGGGGGGGTTGACAACCACTTCCTTTTATGGACAATTAATGCATCACATCCTTTTCATGAGGGGTAGTGGAAAATCACCACATTTATCAATAGCGAGAACAAATGGATGCACTGGTTTAGTTCTTAATTTTGACAGAAATACTTGTTGCATGTAATAGGGCAGGCATGTCCAAAGTCCGTTTCAGGGGTCTAATCCAGCCCGCCGGTCAGTTTAATCAGGACTCTGTGGCAGTTTATTCCCTGGGGTAAAATCCAATAAAAAGCTCAACAACTTCAATCCTAAAAAAGGTTCCACACCTTTGGTCAGCCTTTTGGTTGGCCCTCACGCATGTTCACTTCATCAAATCTGGCCCTCTTTGAAAAAAGTTTGGACACCCCTGTAATAGGGGTTAAGGGGGGAGTGAATGAATTGAATCAATCCTACAATTTGAAAGCTGGGGGAGCAGATTGGATCAACCAATACTGCAGCTGGGCAAACATAATTATACCCAGTGCCATGGAGAATAATAAGCAGGAAAGAAAGTGTAGTGAGCCATGTCTGAAGCTACTCTACAACAAGCCACCAAAATAGCTGGCCAGTGCTTGGAAGGGGGAGGCTTTGGCAGTTCAACCATTTTTATTTTGCAATTTAGCAGGTCTTTTGTATTATGGGAGGTAGGAGTACAGGTAAGAGTGATATAATCAACAAGTTTCAAGATACACTCTTTAAAACAAAGTGCTGCCTTTGGAGATTTGGCATTGGAAAGTACCCTTAAGAGACATTCCAACAATACAACCTGCCTCTGAAAAAGCAAAAATAGTTACACAGTCTTCTGAGAGAAAACATTATCTAAACACAGAAAGGGATCAGTACAGAGAAGATACTTACAGACTGATGAATAAAAGGAGTGTCTTGTGTAGCTGCTAATCTACTAGAAAATCCTGCACTGACATCCTGGTTCCCAAAACTTAAGGGTTCGCGTTTTTTAACAATAATCTGCAATATAACATTGGAGAGGAAAGAGAAAACATCATAAATACCTCCATTATTAACAGAATGAATTGCAAGATTTTCAGATCATTAACCTACTGTGGCCACAATGAATCATGCCTCATGACAATAAGATATCTGACTACTTGACAATAAGGTACAGACTCACACCCGCACATCTGTGAATTGGAAGGAAACTCGCACACACAGGCATTCCCATACTTCCCAAACAATGAACCACTCTGCATGACCTTTAGACTTATGCTGCTCACTCTCCCTCCCAACCTCTTGCAGCCAAATGATCAGAAGCATCTGCATCCAATTTTAAAATATGGTTTCCCGTTATGTCCAAACTTTGGTAACGCTGGTTTACTTAAGCGCTAGTCAGCGAGAATTTAGCCAGGATTAAACCATGGTCTCAGATTTCAGTGTGTTTCCACTAACCAGAGTTAAACAAACTGGTGTTTCCCATGTTTGGGCAAAAACAGAGCCCCATGCCTTGTTTAAAAACAGAAAAGGTGCTTATGATTTCCTCTTTGTGCATACCAAGGAGGAGAAAAGGGACAAAACCAAAGCTTATGAAGGCTCGTATACTTCTGAACCAAGTCAATGCTGCTCTGGAGAGCTTAATTGCACCAACTCCCTTGGTATCATACTGTCACCAGTAAACATACAAGCCAGTCACCTGATTACAAATGAAGTTCTAAGCTACAGAAAGGAGTAAGCTTCCTCTGAAGTCTCCAAAATTTGATACAAGCAGCAATAATGCTGCTGTACTTGTAACAACCTAGACTAGCCAGTTAAAGAGATCAAGATGGAGTAACACCTTTAATTTTGCATGTTATCCCTCTGCCACATACAACCATGTTGTTGCAGTACAATACTAAAATGCACCAGGCCAGCTGATTCACACAAAGAAATTTCCTCTGCACCAAATACTAATAAGGACTACTTTATAAGATGTTACATAATGTTTGGTGTCACGTGTGCTTGAAACCTACTTTCTGTGTTTTCCTTATTGTTGGCGTCATGTCCTTAAAATAGTCAGGCTCCATTTCTTCCAAACCATTTTGCTGATTGGCCACATCACCATTGCCACCTTCAATCTTCACGCTTGTCGGTGCATCTTCATCCCACGAAGTCCAGTCTTCTACTTCTGACTAAAGATGAAAACAGCGAGACTTCAGCTTTCTATTTGCAGCTTGACACTCATAAAAAACAATCTATATTTGACTGAGCCACTTGGAATTACTATTGTTCAATCACTGACATTAAAATGTATTACCTGCTTTGGAACCAACGAGTAATCCACAGTAGTTGGTAAAGTTATTTGATCTCCACTAAGTTTTCGCCCTCTTCCAGTCCTGAAAAAGAAAGGCAAGGATCTTCTTAGCTCTGAAAACATGAACGCTAAAAGCTATTAGTAAGGCTAAATATGTTAAAGAAAATGATTGAAAGTAGCTAAGTGAAAATGTACTGGATTGAAAAGGTTAGTAACTTTTGTGTGAACAAGCAAAGATTAATATCTGCTTTTGAAGAAGTGCTGGTCTATATCTTTATCTTAATTTAAACCTCCCACTACTATCCTAGTTACTGTAGATGTCTCTCAGCTGATGCAAGTGATTTCCTTTGTAAGAATTAACATACCTGACTACTTCTTACCAAGGTACAGACTCCTGCTTGCACATCTGTGATTTGGAAGGGAACACATACACAGTGTGATGACATCTAGATAGTATGGACTACAATTCTCTTTGACTCCAACCATTGCACATGCTGGCTGGGGCTGATGGAGTTAGTGTCCATACCATTAGGAGAGCATCTTATTAGCTCCCCCTGCTTTACAATATATAAAAAGAAGAGGTCACTTCCTTTTCCAATTGCTCCTCCTCCTGTGGAATCTGGCCATTAAAATTCTTGTGTTGGGACATTAACTGAAGCAGTAGCCTGAATAGTTTCTCTGTACCAAAACGCAGGCACTGAAGTGTGTAAAGAACTTTGAACTTTGAAGAGAGAACTGTGCCTGGAAGACACAGCTTTGAGTGTTTAGTTCAATAAAGTCTTGCTAAATTTCTTGAATTATGCAGCCCAAATGGATGGAACAGTGTTTAACATTATTTATTGTATGCATGCTTCTCACTATTTATATTGGGGTGGTGGTGGTGGTGGTGGTGAGTGAGTATAAAGCCAGAGAGAATAATAAGCGAGGCTTGCCAGGAATGGGAACTATGCTGTAACTACCAAAATCTTCACATGGACTGTACTTTTGTTTTCTAATTTTTAAGTAAAGTGTTAATATTTTCAAGGTTCAATCTTGAACCAAATTAAAGTTCATAGAACCACTACTGAATGAAAACTACAGAAGCAACGAGCATACTTCTACTTTTTCTTTTTTTAAAAAAAAAAAAGTAGTATAGCTCAGTCGGTAGCATGAGACTCCTAATCTCAGCGCCATGGGTTCAAACCCCGCTTTGGGCGAAAGATTCCTGAATTCCAGAAAGTTGGACTAGATGATCCTTATGGTCCCTTCCAATGATATGATTCTATGATACTAACTGCATGCCTCAATTTGTCCATGGTTTTTCTTTGGCTGGGGGGGGGGGGGGATTGGGTAACAGATAAAGATTCATTGGCACCTTAGACCAGTGTAATTACTGCTGCCCAGACTTTCTTAAATTGTTTCTATTTGATGCCTATTTACAGTATTAACTAGCTATGCTTGTTCATCAAGAGGAAAAATATTGGGTATGCACATAACAAACAAACAAATATTGAGGACAGAAAACCCAATCACATGAAAACAAGATCTGGTTAGCTCTGGTAAAACCCACTCCTGAAAAGTATTGTGACACCTACTGCTCCCTGGAACTGCTTGACTTTGTCCCTAACAAAGAATGGAAGACTTTTTACTCTTCTCTCTGTACTCAGAATTTTATCTATTTAATTAATTCCTCTAAAGGAGCCCAGGGCACTAATGCAGATATGTCAGCTAATTAAAATGACCTCATCATGCATTTAAAGGTGTGGATTCTGGCCCACAAACACTAATGCCACAATAAGTGGCTTAAGGTGTCCCAGCAGTCTCTGTTGCTTTTGCAGCATAGCATTTCCTTTTTCCAAAGAAATGTTTACATTGTTAGCTTCTATGTTGCTAAAAGTGTTGTTTCAAACCAGAAAAAAAAAGTTCAACATTTCCAGGTACTCCAGAAGTTCCAGAAAAGGTTATATAGATGGCATGAAAAAGAAGAGGTGAAAGTAGATGCTTTAAAACAATTGTCATGGCTATTTCTTAGCAGTCCAAATAAGGAATAAAATGATATATATACCGTATTTTTCGCTCTATAGGACGCACTTTTCCCCCTTCAAAAGGGGGCGAAGCAGCCCCCCGCGACCCTCTCCCGGCTGGAGAGGTGACGCGCGGCTATGGCAGGAGCCTCTACAGCCCCGCGTCACCTCTCCAGCCGGGAGAGCACTCGCAGGGCTAAAGCAGCCCCCCGCGACCCTCTCCCGGCTGGAGAGGTGACGCGCAGCTTTAGAGGCTCCTGCCATAGCCGCGCGTCACCTCCCCAGCCGGGAGAGCGCGCGCGGGGCTAAAGCAGCCCCCCGCGACCCTCTCCCGGCTGGAGAGGTGACGCGCAGCTTTAGAGGCTCCTGCCATAGTGCTGCTAAAGCACTGGTGGGCTTCCCCCCCCGCCAGCCCCAAACAGCAGGTCGAAAGGAACCTGAAGCCTGGAGAGCGAGAGGGGTCAGTGCACACCGACCCCTCTCGCTCTCCAGGCTTCCAAGGTAGCCGCCTGAACGCACCTTAAACGGCACCTTGTTTTAGAGCGGGAAAACAAGAGGGGGAAAGTTCTCCCCCTCTCTGTGCAGCGCCTCCTGCCGCTTCACTGAAGGGGCGCTGGGCAGAGAGGGGGAGAATTTTTTTTTCTTGTTCTCCCCCCTCTAAAACAAAGTGCGTCCTATTGTCCGGTGCGTCCTATGGTGCGAAAAATACGGTATATTTTATAACTCTTTTCGGTACAACTCATTTAAACGTGTAACCATGCAAATTAAGGTAGAGCTTTACACAGCCTGAAATTAAATAAGAAAACAAAGTTCTTCACAAATGAAGAGGGGGGAAAACCTTACAATTAAACCCAAATCACATGCAAGAGAAGCTATTTACCTGCATATTAAGCGCTTAAAAAAAGACAGTACTGCTGCCAGGCATGTACAAATTTTAAAAAGACGGAACTGTGTAATGGCCATGGTGAAAGTCTTCACCTGCAAAAGAATTAATACAATTATGCTGACATGTATTACACAACTTTTTACTACCTTATGGATGCAGGAACAAAGCCATTCCCATTCACTAAACCACTCTTTGGCTGTAACATCAAACCTAGGTCTAGCCAGCCCTTCTCTATTTATGCTCACTGAATTCATTAGTTTACATATTTTTTTCAGACCACCTTCAAGTCTTGCTTTTTTACCAAGGAAAGCAGATATTAAGAAGCCAAACTATAAGCAGCCTCTTGAATTTATCAGGTCCAGGGGAGAGTTGGGTTCTCTAAACTTCCTTTGCACTTCACTCCCTAAGCCCCATAAAGATAATTTGGAATCAGACACTTAAATAGTCCAAATAAAAATGGAAAAACTATAATTCAAGTGTGTGGTTCTCTTCTTTATCAAGTTCCACAAATGGTTTTCAGTAACTGCAGCATCAGGGCATTCAACTTACTATTAATTTTTAAAGTCACAAAAAATTACTAGCCTGCCTGCCCATACAAACCTATGTTAATAACTTCTGACACATTAACAGCCTGAAGTGAACAAAAGAACCACCTCTCTGCCTCAACCAAATATTCCCTGCATGGAAGCAAATCTTACTTGCCATAGTTTATCAACTGAGTGACTATTTATTGAAGTGAGTTTCCACTGCACTTCAACAGGGCTTCACAAGAAGCTAATCTGAATTTTTTTTAAAAAAGTTTATACTAATTAATGAAAAGTCAATCACACACTCTGTTTTTCACTTGATTTCATTAATGCAATGAATACTATTTTGGATCTTTTTATGTCTCATTCACAGACAGACTTAAACTGGAAAATACAAATATGAACTTTCTCCTGTACTCCCACTCTGTAAACATACAGCCCATAACGCTTACCATTCTGGCACTCATCAAGAGTTTATTACAGTTCAGAACAGTCAGTGTTACTTCCACCATGAAGTCAGTTAACCCTACATTTTCTCATGATATGCAACACTAAGCCTGCAATCCTGTACATATTCACCTGGGAATAACCATCAAGGAATTCTTTCAGACATAGAAAAATAATTCTCAGACAATAACTATCACCATTTCAGCTTCAACAGTGCAATTTTGTGAAATAATTGAGAGTCCTACAACTCAAAATCTATTCTATTATACAGAAACTACTGTATAGTCCTCCCAGGAGCTTTAAAGCATATTTGGAATTTTGTTATCTAACAAGGTCTTGTCTGTATGTCATAATGCCTATGTTTTTTTTATTCTTACAAACTGTATATAGGGATTGCATTTTATGTCCACAAATAACTTTATTAAGACAGCATGAGGTTGAGGCATATCCTCATATCCCATAATATATCATAAGTGTACTGTAAATGGCAAGAAGAATAGAAGAGTAAATAGCATGATGGAAGGCAATAGTGGCAGGCGGGCAATCCTGTGCTGTTACTGCCTTGCCCTTCATTTAGGAGGGAAAGGTGCTTCATCATTAAAAAAAAAGGGGGGGGAGCTCTTAATGCTCAGCAGCAACTGATGCTCCAGTGGCAAGAGTAAGGTAAGCACAGCGGAGAGAAGAAGGGGTTACACATGCAACTCCAACTTCATCCACCAAGCTTATCTACCTGTGGAAACTTCTGGCAATGGCACAGCAACGAAGTTTCTGAAGACGTTTCAAAATATGTAAGGGTACTGTGAGATTGCCAACATCCCCCCCCCCCCCCCGCCCCGGATGGTCAACCCTCTTTTTTCAGCCAAGTGTATAAAGCTAAATTCACACAAGTTAAATAGTTGTAACTCAACTGTGTGAGGCTTTATAAAGGTCAGTAAGAAAAATGTACAAAGAAGCTGACTATGCACATATCAGATGTATCAGGACAAATAACCCTTCCAAAAAGATATCTGTAGATTCGAAGATCAAGATTCTCCTGGACTGGAATTAATGTATAAAATGAACAGAAGCCAATCAATGTCAAAAGCATTATTTCATTCACTTCAACTAAGCATGCCTAGGTTTGCAGGCAAAGATGGAGTTCTCCCTGAGAAAGAAAAAACATTTATCTTCACACTTTGGGTTGAATCCAGTGGATTTTTTTTCTAAAAAAATGTTTAGGGGTACTCTCATTGTGGCTCAAGAAAAATACCATTTTATAGTTCAAATCGGGGAAAATAAATACAGTAAATGGACAAATGGACAAAGATTCACAAAATGTTTAGGGGAATGCGTACCCTTGTGTACCCCCCAGAAAAAAAGCACTGGTTGAATTTAACAAAGTTATCCTCAGTGTAGAGCAGCTGAATTCAATGAACATGGCTAACCTAAAACTGCTGATTTCTACAGACCTACTTCAATAATGATTTAGCTGGATACAACCCACGATTCTTCCCCCACCAAAAAAAGAAAGACAAAACAATTTGACACCAACTGGGAACCGAGGTGGGGGGATATAACCCTATAGTAACACAGTTGCCTCAATAAGCAAAGGGTTCACATACACCTAAGAGGATGGAAACAGAAGGGGTAAGTTAAGTGATCTGTATTTTCTCAGGGATAAATTCAGTATCTATTAGTAACAGACGTTGAAGCAATACCCTGAAAATCACAAGGATTCAAATGCATTCTGCAGAGTTAACAAGCATGAAACTGTTAAATGCCATGAAAATAATCTCTCTCAACCAACAGCTCCAACCAGTTACAGCAACCAGATAAGAGTGGAATTATAAAATAAGAACATAAATTTAGAACAATCAGACATTCATGATGCTCCTCCCCTTTACCCGCCAACCAATGTACACTGCAATGAACTAGTAAATACTAACTTGAGTTCTGGAGCTAGCATTTCTCAGAGTATGCAAAAAAGGGCTGAAAATACAGTATCTGTCTCTGAAAATGTCCTTCTACCTTCTTCCACGACTTAAAGACTCTCCACTGCAAGGAGGTTGTCCTACCATGTACCTTAAGCATATCTCAGATTCAGTGAGTCCCTGTCATTGAATCGTAGCTCCCAAGAGAACACCTGGCTCCTACCCAGAAGGTTAATGGTTTGAGCTCACCCAGAGACGGCTGTGGGCAGAACTTCTGCATTGCAGGGGGTTGAATTGTAAGCCGAGTCTGTTCCAGCTTACAATTTTATGATTTTATGCCCACCAGTCTCATTTCTTCATCTTCTTCTTCATCATCTTCTTCTACGTTCTTAGTCTACTTTCCTGGATTGTTCTGAAGTGTAAATGGCCCATAACTCTCTGCACAAGTCCTCACAAGTCATACCTCAGGTATGTAAGAAAAGTTCATCTTGGTTGCCAAAGCAACACACAGTTAGTGCAATCTCTCCAGCCTACTCACTTTTCTCCCTTCAGTTAAAACTGAAGTCTTTGGCCTATAGTGTTTGCCATCCTTTTGGACTTCCCTTTGTCATCTCAGAAGCCATGGGTAATCCAATACAACCTCTTTAAGATTGTCTGCTGTAGGTTGTTTAGAGAGCTAGACTATATGGTGGCCAAGTTTGTTGATGACACCAAATTATATGGGGTGATTAAATGAAAAGGGATAATAAAGAGTTCCAAATAAAGAGTTGAATGGGTACTAAAAGAGAAAATGGCATTTAGTTAAGCAGGAAGTGATGCACACTGGGGAAGAAAATCCTAGTTTCATATATACAATGACGGGGCTTGATCTGGTGGCTACTACTCAGGCAAGCAATCTTGAAGTCATGTTGAATAGCTCAATGCAAACATCAATCCTGCATTATGAAAATGGCAAAATCCATGCTGGAGATGAACAGGAAAAGTATTAAAATAAAAAGACCAATACTATAATGGCCTTATACAAATCTATGATCAAACTTCACATGGCATACTGTGCACAGTTCCAGTAACTGCATCTTGCTGAGGTGGAAAAGGTACAGAGAAAGACAACCAAGATTAGCAGGGGCCTGAAGCTACTCCTCTAACAAGTGAAGGATGAAATGGTTGGAGCTTTTTCATTTAGAGCAAAGGTAAATAAAGGAAGGATATGATAAGAGGTTTGCAAGTTATGACTTTGTCCCAGTAAAAAGATAAAGGGACCCCTGACCATTAGGTCCAGTCGTGACCGACTCTGGGGTTGCGGTGCTCATCTCGCTTTACTGGCTGAGGGAGCCGGCGTACAGCTTCTGGGTCATGTGGCCAGCATGACTAAGCCGCTTCTGGCGAACCAGAGCAGTGCACGGAAACACTATTTATCTTCCCGTCGGAGCGCTACCTATTTATCTACTTGCACTTTGACGTGCTTTCAAACTGCTATGTTGGCAGGAGAGGGAACCGAGCACTGGGAGCTCACCCCGTTGAGGGGATTCAAACTGCCGACCTTCTGATCAGCAAGTCCTAGGCTCTGTGGTTTAATCCACAGTGCCACCCGCATAGGAGACCCTCAAATTATAGGCATTGCCCCTACTTTCTGCCTGTCCTTGTTATCTGGTTTACCCCATTAAGTACAGGAATTCTTCTTTAGCACTATAGTACTTAATTTGTTCAGAGCAAGGGACAGCCCTTGTCAATTAAGAGAAAATATGGTTCATAACCCCTCATTTTCATAAGGGAGTAAAGATTAAGCCCAGTCGAAATTGACTGTGGGGTGCTGTATGTGGACAACCGTATTATCCCCATTAGCCACTCTTCCAGATAGCTTGGAAATTCATCTAGGGGCCAAAACGTGTTTTGCCTTTTCAAAGTGACAAAATATATAGACTGAATATAGGAAACCCTTAATTTTTTTCAATACAAGTAGTAATCATGACTACATACTATAACGTATGCTAGGCATATGAACGTCTCTTGTGGATTTTCATGGGTGCGAAAAAACAAATTGTCACAAATGTCAACTCATACTGCTCAAAAAATGGCTATACCTCAAACAGCAACTCCCACCCATGTCCAGCATTCCTAACGTGTCACAACCAGAGTGAGTCAAATGCATAAAGTAGAAGCTTTGCCTTTTAAATGTCAACGGTGTAACGTTCAAGTTGTTCCAATTTAAAGGGAATCTAAAATATATGACCCTGTATTTAAAACAAAAAATCTGGTAGTCACAATTACCAAGACTCATGAGTAATAGCCATTTCCCTTCCAACCAACATCAAATTCCATTGAGCTCACTGGGACTTGCTTCCCAGTAAACATGCACATGTTTGGGTTGCAAATATTTCTAGAAACAAAGAGTTAAGACTTGCAACGAAGTAACTGTAATGCTTATCCTAAAATTTTAACTGCTAATATGACATGCCCATGACTTAAGAGTCAATCTCATAACTCAAACTTATTTAGAATAGAATAATAAACTAGGCAGCTCGAGGTGCTATTATGAATTAAATCTAGGGGAACAGGTATGCAGTAAAGACATCTTGACAGTTGAACATGGAGTTTTCCCCCTCAAATACTAGGTCAATACAACAGTTTACAGTGAGTGACCCCTTCCTTTACCAGCTTAAGCATGCTAGACTTGTCTGAAGTCTCATCCAGTATAACATGCATTAAATACAGCCAATGAGCTTTTCTCTGCATCTCACATGATCAATGTCATCTTTCCCTATCTCTAGATACGGTTCTCATAATTTGTGATATCAGAAGTAAGCACAGTATTTCCTTGAAGAAAAAGGCAATCTCACAAGTGATGCATGTAGGTAGGCATATTAAAAGTTCAAAAGAACAAGAGGAACTATAACTTTTATCTAGTGATGTACATCCCCTAATGATTGAAGTTTTATCTAGCTGCACATGTCAGAGGGCACCCCAAACTTTTTAAAAAGGTGGGCTTTGGTTCCAAGTGGCAAGCACTGTTTTATAAAGAACTACAAATATCACTAGTATTTATAGTACCTAGTTTAGATCTAGCAGCTTCCAACTTTTACTCAACTCGTTACAACAAAAGGAAAACCAAGCTTATCAATTGAGCTTCGAAACGAGGTTATGGCCTTTGACTTAACTACAGATGCTAATTACAGTAACTAACCGGTGCCAGGATGTTTATCATAAACACCGCTAGATTGCTGCAACTGTGTTTTCCACACGTTTACACTTTACTGCCATTATCCCTGCCTGTATTCCTTCCAGTTTCATTTCCCCACTGACCTCAGGAACTAACATATTGAATGTGTGTGTGCTTACCTGCACTATCTATCAAGAGGGTTTTAACCCAAGGTTGGATGGACATGTGTCGGGGATTCTTCAGTCGCAATTCCTGCATGGCTTTGCCTAAATTTAAACTCCACTGGCCTACTACCCTTAGCATTTCAAGATTGTCATGAGAGTGCTTGGACTAAAATTGTCAACCAAAAGCTTTACTTTTCTGGTTCATCACCACAACAGTTACTAACACTGGGCTTCAGCGAAGCAAATAATTTAATTAGACAGCACCTATATGGTATCGAGCGAGAGAATAATTTGGCCACAATAAGGAAATTTTGTCCATGGTATGATTATTTTGTCCTGGCGTGCTCTGGTCCATGGAGTCATGAAGAGTCGGACACGACCAAACGACTATACAACACAACAACATGATTATTTTCCGCCTAGTCATTTTGACACTTTGGCACCCTATTTGCAAAATTTAACAATTCCAAAATACAGATGCGCTTTCACTTTTGCAAGATTGAATACACAGTGGTACCTCGGGTTAAGTACTTAATTCGTTCCGGAGGTTTGTACTTAACCTGAAACTGTTCTTAACCTGAAGCACCACTTTAGCTAATGGGGCCTGCTGCCGCACCGCTGGAGCACGATTTCTGTTCTCATCCTGAAGCAAAGTTCTTAACCTGAAGCACTATTTCTGGGTTAGCGGAGTCTGTAACCTGAAGCGTATGTAACCCGAGGTACCACTGTACTGTCTTCAGCTGGACTTGAGGGTCGATTTCAAAAAATTCCACTGGAAAAACAGTTATGTCCATGTGGAGATGGCAGTACTGCATCAGTTACTCATGTGCTTCTGGCTTGCACTCTTTATAAAGATTTGAGGACCGAGGTTATTACCCCTGTATCATTGTCCATGCCGGGTCACTCAACTACTGCTACTGTGTTCTTCCTTTTAGCACATCGAGATGATCAGGGGACAGAAAACTGCAAGGTTTTTAGCCGGGGCAATTAGAATAAGATCTATTATTTGATTATTGATGTAAACCCCCCAAAATGTATTTTCTATAGCTAAGCTTCCACCTCTATCTTCAGTACGTTTTATTTTATTGCTATGGCTAGTGGCTGTTGCAAATAAAGATTCTTCATCTCTTCTCTCTCCCCCTCATAAAGCAAAAAGCACATGCCCGAATAAAACTCCTTTTTTCTTTTTGCAAAAGGGGTGCCGCAGAACACCTCCCGCTGGCTTTCCACAAGAAGACTGCGACTCTTACTTTACAAGGTGGGAAGGGGGAAAGAACACCTTTTGGGGCTTCCCCGGTTAGCTGAGCTCGGCAGAGGGGAAACGGGTGTCTGGCAAGTTGGAACTCCTCGCTCCGGCGGAAGATCCGCCACTGGGAAGCGTGGGGAGAACCGCGGCTGGCCAACCAGAGGCCGCCCCATCAGGGCTCGCAGGCGGGCCGAGGGAGGGACGGGGCCCACCTGCTTCCTCTCCGAGCCGGGGAAGCAGCTGCCCAGCTCACCCCCCGGGACGAGGCGGCTCCAGGGCGGGCAGCGCCTCCCCGGCGCCCGCTCACCTTGTCCAGCGCCAAGCGGGAGAAGAGGCGACACGACGGCGGCGGCGCGAGCCGAGGGGGAGCCGCTTCCCTCGGCGACCGCGGGCTCCCTTCATTCAAGGGCGGACGCGGCCTCCCGCTCAGACGTCGATGTTGCCGCTGCTGCTGCTGCTGCTGCCGCCGCTGCTGCCATCGCTTGCTTCCCTCATAGGCCGTTGCCGCCAGCCCGGCCTCGCTGTCACCTGGGAGACCCGCTCGCGAGCTCCGACCCGCCTCTTCCGGCCGCGCCCCGCCGCTCTCGGCCAACCAGGCGCAGAATAGCGAGGAAGAAGACAGGAAGCGGAAAAGGCGTTTTGCGCAAGCGCCTCAGGGTGCTTGTCGCCACCTTCCGAGGCGTCATCTCGCACTTTGGCCTGAGGAAGGCGCGCGGGGGGGAGAGGGTAGGAGAGATGGGCGGGGCTTTAAAATGACTGGCATGCATAGCCGGAAGAAAATTAACTGTCAGGCTGACAGAAAAATGCAGTATTAACATTTTATTTGTAATTCACTTCAGAAATTTAAAAACATTGGGGGGGGGGAGTCGGATGGCTTTAAAACTGACACAGATTATTACTTATATACACATAGGCATCCGTTTGGGACGTGGCACATTATTCTTTTATGATGTATTCTTTTTATATTTTTATGTTGCAAACCGCTCTGTGATCTTGAAATGAAGGACTGTACACAAACTTAAATATTTAATAATAATAATAAACAAGAAATGAGAAGTTACATGTCATTTAAATGTCCCAGTCATGTGGGTACCAGCAACCCATTCTGTTCTTAACTACTGGTGCTGTTTGAATTCCATGTATAGAAAAATAGTTTTGGCCACTCCTGCCAGAAAATACACCATAGAATTGGAAGGGACCACGATGATCCTCAGTCTAGTCCAACCCCCTGCCCCTTGTGTAATAAGGCTGTATCCAATACTAATCCTCCTCAGAGTAAACCCACTGAGATTAATGAACGTGATTTAGAGCCATTGATTTTAATGGGTAAAGCTTAGTTGGATACACCCCATAGTCTGCAATGTTACAATAGGAGTTTCTAGATAATGTAAGATTGCAATTAAAGAATGTCATTGGGTAAAATGGATTAGGATTTCAAGGTTCTCGATCAGAAGGGCGGGGGGGGGGGGCAAGACACACATCTAGCGTCTAGATTTTTTCTCCTTAGTCTGCGCCATCAGGACCTTAAAATATGAACATCAGAGGAAGATTTGATTTCTGAGATCACTTTCAAATCTCACGGTCTTACAGGCAGGCATACTACCTTATTTTGTTGTCAAAATTGCCTTTAAAATCTAGCTTCCATTGCCATGACCTCATAAACTCCCCCCCAAATCTTAATTGCTTCTTTTAGAAACATCATCTCTTTCAACTCAGCGTCACAATTAAGTGCTATAGGCAGTGTTTAGCTATAGTATAGCTATAGGCTAGGGTACCAAAAGATATTGATGCTCCCAGGTTGGGAAAGGGTAGGCTAAGAGAATACCCATCTACCCAAAATCCTACCCATCACTGTTCTGCCCCATCCTGTATCATATGGGCATCCTTCTTTTTCTCTGCAGTTAACCAAATACTTTATCTAGCGTGTGTTCTACTGTTATCATTTCTGCTACTGCAATTTTAAGAGACATTTGGAATAGTTAATAGTGATGAAAAAGATGTCAATCATGTTAAGCGACACAATAACCTTTTAATGGCAAGAAATGGCATCTCTTTCCAACATACACCCACAAGCAGTTCATTTTATTTTTTATTAAAATAGCAAGAATTAAGAAGTCAATGTAGCAAAGTACGCTTCCAGTAACTAAACATTAAAAAAAAGTGAACTTTCAACCCTAAAGCATGGAAAAACGTCTTCCAGTTTCTGGCAAGATTCACGTAATACAACATGGTAAGACTCAATGGAAGAAATCAAAGGCTGGCGTGTTGAGCGAGGAATGTTCTTATTCTTTGTAGAAGCTCTTTCTTTACACTGTCGGGTACCAAGGCTGAAAAGTAAGAATAAATAGCAAGAGATGAGAGTGGGGAAAAGATGTGAGAAATCAAGCTGTAGCCACATTACATGTGACAACAGGAGCTTACAAGTGCTGCAGTGCAAACACCATTTTTATAGAATACATACAAAGTGAAGAGCCCAATTTTATATCCCTCGATATTCATCCTGTTTAGTCCAGGTTAATAACAAACCCCATGAGATCAGAACTTTGGCTCTACAAAGCCCAACAGCCATGTATAGTTCCAGTCTACTGGGAAGTTAGTATCTCTGGGTTTGTCTGAGTTGTTGAGCATCTGGCAGGTCACAATCAATAGCCCATGGGCTGTCTTTGGATGGATGGATCATATGAACTTTTGCACAGTGGCACGTTTGTGTCATTCTCTTCCAAGAGAAATCTCCCAGCCTTAGTCTTTATGGGTTTGTAAAAAAATGCCAGGCAGTCAGGCTAGGCTGAATTCAACTTTGATGTTACCTGAAATTATTGTATCTGTTTTTGGGTTATAACTCTATTCTATGTCCTTTAATTATTGCCAGTGGTTTAATTTGCTGTGATCCACCTTGAACTCTGCTTGGACAAAACAGAAGAGGCCCTTCCAATCACTGAGAACTAATTAGGATCCAAGCCATTAATACGCATCAGGAAATACTGAACTAGCTGGATGCATTTTCCGATAATATTGAGGGTACATGTCCAGTTGTTACATGAGACTATTTGCCTGTAGCTAGAGCTGTGCTGGTGCCAGTGTTTTACTCAATTCTTTCTTTCTTCCTTTCCTAATTGCCTATGGCTGATCACATTAAACACATTCAATTCATCTCTTCGCAATTAAGTAAATGAGCACAATTAGGTACATGCCTCAAGATGACAGAGAATCTTGTTTATTGTAAACCAATTGCGGCATTCTCCTAGATCAAGGATGAAGAACCTGAATCTCTCCAGGTGTTGTTGCACTCCGACTCCCATCAGCACCAGCCAATATGGCCAATGATTAGGAATGATGGAAGCTGCAGTCCAGGAATGACTGCACAACCACAGATTCACTTTCCTAGATGCAGCAGTACATAAATCTCAGCCAGATACACATCACTGTTCTTTGCATAGGTGTCAAAGCAATGTTACTTCTCTTACCTCTGCCTTTGGGAGTAATTTCTGCCACCAAATCATCAACCGTGACATGCTCTAGGCCTTTGTCTTTGATGACATCTAAGCAAGGTTACACACAATACTTCAAATTAGAAAATGATAGGCCTAGCCAGTATGAAAAAACTCAACACATGTATTGCGGCTCATTCCAAAGCGCATTTACACATTTAACTTTAAGTGATCAGATGTGTCATGTCTGCATTGGACCTATACAGAAATAGGAAGGAAAAATATACTCGAACTAGTGACCATATAAAAGTAGGAACCTCAGTCAACCTAATTCTGAAATCATCATCAGATTTAGCTTGTTAGAAGCATAGCCTGGGTATAAATATAATAAAGAGAGAAAAAAATAAACTTTTTTTAAAATAGAAATTTTAAGCAGCTGATGATTATGTGCCAGAAGGTGGAATAAATCTTCTGGGAAATGGACATTTTGGTTCTAGAAGGAACTGGGTCTAAAATGCAGTGCTTAAAACTGCTAGAATGGAGGTGGAAAGAAACAGACAGGTGTTGTTGTTTTTTTTAAAAAAACTATCAGTTTTTAAAATGCAGATATATAGGCACTCACTTCCATATGCTTTGTACTTATGGCTTAGCTCTGTCAATACATTCACAATTACCGAGATCAACCGACAATTACCTTTGCAGTGTGCCTTCAGCTGGTCCTTCCAGCCACATTCGATTAATTTGGCTCTCAGTAACTCTTTAAGGCTGTAAAACAACATGTCGTTAGAGGACAGTAAAGTAAACCGCATTATCGAGCCACAAATATAAACTACCACACATAAGAGAGATTAGCACAAACAAATGCTTGGAATGTGGAATCTGCACTGGCCAAACCTAATCCAAGGGTGACACATCTGTAGCCCTCCAGATGTTGTTGGATTGCAGCCATGCTAGCTGGGGCAGAGGGGTCCAACAACCTGAATTAGAAAGCTAACATGGACCCAATAAGCAAAATCCCAAACCAGCTATATTTGTAGTTTTTTTTACTCCAAGTGATTAAGGGCAGCATGCATGGTCCCAACCACCCACCAATTTTATTGTCTCTACAATTGTACTTAGGCTCAGTGATACCAACTGGATACAGGTTCTCCTCTCCATCTGCAGTTCCCCCTGCATACTCCTCTCAACCGCCCCATGACCCCCAGAACCAGATTTAGAAGGGCTGCAGGGAACGGCTTTAAAAGAGCTTTAGACAAATTCATGGAGGATAAGGCAATAGGTTGCTCCAACCCATGGTGGCTATGTTCTGCCTCTATGATTGGAGGGAGTAATGCTACTGAATGCCAGCTGCTAGAAATCACAGAAAGGGAGAGTGCTCTTGTGCTTGGGTCCTGCTTGTAAATTTCCCATAGGCGTCTGGCTGGCCACTGTGAGAACAGGATGCTGGACTAGATGGGCCACTGGCCTGATCCAGCAGGACTTTTCGTATATTAACACACCTTTTTTCCCTAGTAATGAACACAGAAGTCTCCAATCCTAACCATGTGGGGTTACGACTGCAGCCATAGAGATGCAATATATTCCTACATGTGGAACAGGAAACAAAGCCCACCTACCGTTCTCGTTCTCCTGTTTCGATTAGCTTTTGGTTTATGCTTGCTCTCATTTGGGCATCTTTATTCATTTTTTTGGGAGTCTTATCTGTGAACAACCGATCTACTAAAAAAAAAAATTGCAGAGATGAATTTTACTGAGACACATCATCTACCACCCATCTAAACTGGGTGTACACAAAAAAGGTGAATATAGCCCATGAGTGGCTGCTTGCCAGAGACTTGGTAAGAAGAAGACGAAGAAGAAGAAGAGGAGGAGGAGGAGTTTGGATTTGATATCCCGCCTTTCACTCCCTTTAAGGAGTCTCAAAGCGGCTAACATTCTCCTTTTCCTTCCTCCCCCACAACAAACACTCTGTGAGGTGAGTGAGGCTGAAAGACTTCAAAGAAGTGTGACTGGCCCAAGGTCACCCAGCAGCTGCATGTGGAGGAGCGGAGACGCAAATCCGGTTCCCCAGATTACGAGACTACCGCTCTGGTAACAGGAAAGTCTCAGAAGCTGACAATGCATGGTTGGATGGGCAGGGTTTGATCAGGGGGGAATCGCAAAGTACATGGACCTGTTCTGAGATTTTCCAATGTTTTGTTAGCTGGTTCTGTTTTTATAGTCGGATACTACATAAATCCATTCTTTCCATCTGACACAAGGACCTCAGTGGCAAGACAACAACTTCCGTTGTTGATTCAAGAGCCAAGCACAATGATTTTCTTAGACCAGAACAGTGAGATCATATGCAAGTGCAATGTTTTATTAATAGATTTTACCAGTTCCAAACCACTCCCAATAAATGTGGCTCTTTGTTCCCAACATTTTGACCAGGTGCCAATATTGGGCACATTTACTGGAACTAAGTCCTATTAAATTCAAGGCAATTAATCCCAAGTAAGTGTATACAGCCACCATTGCCAGCCTGTGCCCTCCAAATGTTCTGGAATACAACTCCTATCATCCCTGGCCAGCACTAATGGGAGATGTAGTCCAAAACAACTTAGTTCAGTGCATTAAAAAGGCCCAGGGAGGAGCAAAACACCTTAAAGCTCCTCTCTGGGACCACATACATTTTTGTGGGCTCCGTAAGTCATAGTTTGGCTTACCATATTGTGAAAGTGAGCTCATTGTTTTATTTACTATGATAGTCAATTTTTTTCTGGCAAAACTAAACATGGATTTTTTTTCTTCAGTTAAGAACAGCTGGGGGCAGGGAAAATGTGTGTGGGCTTTTGGCAAGGTGATGTATCTTCCTGTCTGTGCCATCCCCTCATTTAAAATCAACCCTAAAGCAACCATTAGCCCCAAAGAGGAAGGTACACTACAGGAACCAGTCTTGCTTCTTCTTTGAAAACTGGGGGCAACTGAAATTCAGGAAATACTGTAAAAGGGAAAGGGTTAACACTCCCCCCTCCAACATCAATCTAAATCTCTCCTCCCACCCTCCAATATTTGTTCTTAATAAAAAAAAATCATTTTAGAATCCCAATAATGGATACCCCACATGTTTTGATTGATCTGCAGCTTTGGGCAAGCAGATATCAGATGCACCAGCACTGGGCGGAAAGTGCTGATTGAAGAAAGTCTCTCAGTGTCTTGATGTAGGAATGGTGCATCTCAAGTTAGATAAAGAGATGCCCCTCCCCTTATGCAGGCTACTGCCTGTGCTCCATTGGACCCTTGCTTCATGGTCTACACTGACTGTTAGTGGTCCTCCAGTTTTTTACTTAGGGATCTTTCCCAGCTCTGCCCTGAGATGCTGGGAACTTAACCTGGGACATTCTACATATAAAGCAAAAGCACCATCTATGAGCTATGACCCTTCACTTCATACACAAAGGGGTATATAAAAGTAAATGTAAATTGTGAGGGGAAAAGTAAAAGACAGGAGCCAAAAATTTGAAAATTTTGGTCTAGAGGCATGATGAGAAACTTACGTTTTAAGAAAGGAACACACACTATGCTGTTCCCAAGCGGATTTCAATCACCACGGATATCAGAGCTCCCTCTGCAAGGAAGATACAATTGATAGTTTTAAAACTGATCAGAAATAATGAAGCAAAGTCATTATGACGAGTCAAATTAAAAAGGAAAAAACAAGAACAAAGCATTTGTCCTTCAAAACCAGGCATAGGCAAACTCGGCCCTCCAGATGTTTTGGGACTACAACCCCATCATCCCTAGCTAACAGGACCAGTGGTCAGGGATGATGGGAATTGTAGTCCCAATACATCTGGAGGGCCAAGTTTGCCTATACCTGTTCAAAGCAGTAATGCTTTTAATGCAATTGATGGTCACTATTTGTGGTCACCAATGATGTCTCTCCACCCCAGTCTTTCTGCATTTGCAGAGAACATAGGAAGGCATATGGATAGAGCTCAGCACAAAGTAGAAAGCAGAAAGCAGAAGCTGGAAGCAGCAACGGGCCCTTGAATTGCACTTGGCTGCTTTAAGGATGCTACACCATCCACCCTGATATCACACGTAGAAGAAATCAGGCAAAGGAAGGAATCATCTAGTCATAACTTTGCACTAGGCTTTGGGAGAAGGAAATAAATCCTTAAACCTCCTCTTACTTCCCACCCCCTGGGATTTGGACACAATCAGCTTTCATTTCCCCAGACCATCTGCATCTGTGTGCCAACAAACTTAGGATAAAGGTTGGTCTCCTGTGTCCATTACTAAAGATCCCTTGACTGAGTTCTCATAGAAAAACAAAGCACTTGGGAGGACAAACCCACCCTGCACCACCGAGGATCAGAAAGCTCCCTATTTGAAGCCCTGTACAACTGCTGCCAATAAATCATACTGAAAACCAGGCTGATCAATTGGCAGCAAAACCAGAAGCGCAAACAGTACACTGGTGTATCATTCAGGCGTTATGTGTTCTCAGAGTGAGGGAAACTCCGGCGTGCACACGCCACAGTCACGTTTAACGTGAGAACGCACCCTGAATCACCAGCCCATTTTAAATGCGTGCAAGTTTTTAGTTGCCTGGCCAGCAAATTTCCAAAACACGCAGATGCGACCTACTGAAGTCAGGCGAATTTACGGCCACCCAGATTTCACACTGGGGAACTTGGATCTGGAAGAAAGAGCCTTCCCCGTATCTGGAAATGGGGAGGAGGAGAGAGAGAAAGAGAAAGAGAGAGTAGCCAGTTCCAAGTGGGGAGATCGGGAAAAGGGAGAAGGAGGGAGAGGAAAGGGAGCCATTCTTCAGTCTAGGCGACCAAGACGCCGCCTCCTCCGCTATCACCCCCCACACCCCTACCGCCGACAAGTCGGATTACCTGCCCCGGAGGAGACCCGATCCCTTCCCGTCCGGCTCCCGAGACCAAGACTTAACAGAAATCTCAACGCCCTGCCTAATCTTCCCCGCCGCAGGGATGCATGGGAAATGTAGTCCTTGTTAGGAACTATTCGAGCCCTGGATACGGCAAAAGAACTACAACTCCCAGAAGGCCCTCCAGCCGCTCGACGGCTTTGCTCGAGCCCCCACCCCCCGTCTCGAGATGAAACTATGTCTCCCACAATCCCTTTCGGCAGCTTCGACTCGGGCAACCCGTAGGAGGGTGTTTTTCCCACGCAGTCTTGCGCGGGTTCAATTCAGAATGGTGTAGGTATAGAAAGAAGGCGGAGGAGAAGGCTGGTTTTCGCGGGGGTCCAGGTTGCGAAACTTCACCCGGGAGTTTAGGTGTCACTCAGTTCAGTAGGAGTTAATGGATTTGCTCCCATCCAGTGTGCAGCTTTCCTTAGATGCAAATCTTTGCCGATTTCTTTCTTTTTTAAAAAGAACATTATTTATTTGGTTTTTCAAATTAAATTTTTACATATATCACACATAAATAATAAAAAACACGATTCCAAGGAATCTCCTGAACTTCCATCCTCCCCTTTGTGGGCCCTATTATTAATCCTTTCCTCCCGCATCTTTTATGATAATCCAAAACCTTTACCTCTTTTCCATTATGTCCAGAATTCAACCTTCAACTACACGTGATAATTCCGATCCTACTAACGATTTTAACTGTTTACAATGGTCTTTAAGGTAGGTTATAAATTTTCCCCATTCCTTGTTAAAGTATCGGTCTTCCTGATTTCTAACTCTTAAATCTGCTGATTTCACTCCCAGGTAAATATGCCTAGCGAAAGCTAAACAGGGTTAATTAATACGTAAGGAAAGCACGCAAGTGTATTTAGCAAACTTAATGGGCTCCTCATCAACTCTTGTCACTAGGATGCAAAAAACAACAACACACCAAAAACCCTTTGAAAGTGCAGTTTACTTCTGAGCAAGGTCGACAGGATTTGATTGCAAGACGTGCTTTCCTCCCGGCAATCATAGAGTTGGGCACCCGAGGGTCATCCAGTCCAGCCTGGAGTAGAGGGCCCCCTGAACTACATCTCCCGGCGTGCCTCAGTACCCAGGATCCTTTGCGGCCGCAAGAGGCGCTTCGTCGGCCGATCGCGACGCCTCGCCGTTTCAACAACAACTTTATTGGTTCCCGGGCGGCATGGAGGCGGCGGCGAATTGCTCCCTTCGCGTCAAGCGGCTGCTCTTGGACCCCAAGTTCGAGGGGTACAAGTTGTCGCTGGAGCCGCTGGCCTGTTACCAAGTGGGCCTGGACTCGCGTGAGTGCCATGGGGGAGAAAGCCGTGAGGGGCCTGGACGCCTCAGTGCTCCCTGTCACCACCCGGGGGGGGGGGCGGGGAAGGAAAATGAACCCCTTTCGAAACTATAGCAGTGGTTATTGGGGATGATTTGTTACTTTTTATTATCTTTACTATGCCTTTAAGACAGGCGGGGTAAAAAGTACTGGAAGTTTTCTCTTTTTAAAAAAGGTATGGGGGTTCCTGCATTGCAGTAGGGTGGGCTAGATGAAGCTCATAGCCCCTTCTCTACAATTTTATGATACTGTGATATCAGATCCTCCAAGTGTCCCTGATTTAGAGAAGCCATCCCGGTTCCTGATTTGATCCCAAAATGTCCCACTTTTCCTTAAGATATCCCTGTTTTCATTGGTGAAATGTTGGAGGGTATGGAGTTATCCAACCCCCGAGCCATCTGAAGGCAATCCTGTATAGGGAAGTTTTAAAATATATATATATTTTTAAATTATATGTTGGAAGCATATTTTTTTGATGGTACTACATTTTTATTCTGTGCCCCTGCAAACAGCATGACATTCTGTGGAGGTAGTGAGCTACTGTTTGCAATTCTGTTAAATATTTACCCTAGACCTTCCAAGTGCCCCTATTTTCCAGGGATGCCCCTGATTTAGAGAAACCATTCGGTTTCTGATTTGATCCCAGAATGTTCCACTTTTCCTTAAGGTTTCCTTATTTTCATCGAAGAAATGTTGGAGGGTATGGAGTTATCTGACTCCTGAGCTGCCTGAAGGCAATCCTGTATAGGGAAGTTTTGTTATTTAAAAAAATGTTTAATGTTTGATTATGTGTTTTTATATATGTTGGAAGCTGCCAGAGTGGCTGGGCCAACCCAGTCAGATGTGTGGAGTGTAAATAGTAAAATTATCATTATGGAATGGAATGCCCCTATTTTCCATCGGAGAAATGTTGGAGGGTATGTGATATAAGCTGTTGACAATTAAGAGTTCATGTTACAAACCCTTTCTCTGCCAGGTCTGGAGCCTAAAACGTCTTGCATGTGAGTGGGGTTTGTGGGGATTCATTATTATAATTATCACTGTAGTTTAATAGGGATAATAATAACCCCTCTAGTTTCAAATGAAGCTGAAGGTGGCTGGCAAATCCAAATTTATTATCATTATTATTATTAGTCTCTCCTTGCTTGCAGAAGAAGCTGAAAGTGGCTGGCAAATCCATATATATATCGATTATGTTGGCATTCATCTGTCTCAGGAGACTGGCCGAGTGTGCCCATGGGGATGAAGTTAAAAACTGTTAAGTGACTGGCAAATCCAAATATTTATTTATTGAATTTGTATGCCACCCTTCTTCTGAAGGTCACAGGGAATTTTACAGAATAAAAATGCAAACATGCATAACATAAAAGCAAACAAAACAATACTTGCCCCCCTCCCCCCCAGTTTAAAGGCCATAGTTTGATCAATTAGCCAAAGGCCACAATATTGAAATACTGCAATTTCTGTTTCTAGCGCTCATCTTTATATCAGAATATTGATGTAGAAAACTGAAACCTTTAATAATTCCAAAACAGCCATCTAAACTAAAGCAGCATCAGAAATAAACTGGTGGGGTGGGGTTTGGTGGATGATAAAGGGGTGTTTTTGAAGATCTTTTAACAAGGCACATTTTTGCCATCCATTTGGGACAATGGTGACGGGGCATGCCTGACATTTCTCACTGGATTTTACAGGGTGATCGCTGCTAGAAAGACTTCCAGTCATACTTCTAAGAGGCTCAAGGGATAGGAGGATCTTGATTATAGGGCCAGAAAGGGACTTTAAGATTAATGAGAGTTGGCGTTGGTGTCTGTAGATCAGATGTCTTCAACTTTTTGATACACAGGCCTTGCTTTTAACCTCACCATGCAACACTTTAAAAAAAATATAGAGCGACCCTGCACATGATTACTCAGAAGCTAGTCCCACTGTTCTTAGTTGTTCTTATTTCCTACTAGGTCTGCTTACTAGTTGCATCCTTAGGCTGCAGTTTGTTTGCTGACTTGTATGGGAGTAAATCTGACAGAGCTCAGTGCTTCTGAGAAAACATGTTTAGGATTGCACTGTAAGTTATTAAAAATATAAGCAATTTTTTAAAGTTGAAAAGCTCTCAAGTGGGCAAACTTATAATAAAAACAGTAGTTGGAATACAAATGATTAAAACAGCAAGAAAATTATAAGAACATGTCATGCAATTGTAAACAAACAGCATTGAAAATATATATATGGTTACAAATCTAGAGTTAGTGAATCTTAGAAGTTAGTAAAATGATTGCATTTAGAAAATAGTTGGAGTGTTAAAGGGAAGATTCCAAGCCAGTAGAAAAACACAGGCCAAGCTTCCTTTCCAGGCCAGGGCCTCACCTGGGATAGAGGCCGTTAACAGGACAAAAGGTGTTGATGGCCTATCACAGAGAAATCCTTGACTCTGGTTGCCAAAGTTACAATTATGTAGGTTACAGGAAAGTTGTCACCTTTTAAAACTAGGCTTGGAATAGGGGGCAAGTGGATGGATGTAGAGGAGTTGTTTGGACCATGTGTTTCCTGGGAACAGGAAATGAAGTTAGTAGGACTAGAGGCAGAGGCCTTGAGGGGCAGAACCATATTGGCGGGCTGGCTGAGGGCAGGCTGGAACAGAGGAATGGATATGTATTGGAATCTCATGCTGCACTGTTGTGGGGAACACGCCCCTCTTGAGATGCAAATGCTGTAAACTCTGTGTTCCCTCCAGCTACATCCAGGTATAAATATGTGTAAAATAAACCTTTTTTTTTTAAAGACACAATTGTCTCTGCTGTGTCTTGACTTCCAACAGAAGCATGACCCTGGGTAAGTGCCTGGATCCCCCGGAATCTTGCTACTGCTCAGCAGAGATCGGGGGTGGCACGCAACCTTCATAACAATATGTATACAATTTTAAAATTGGCTCAAAGGCATTAGGAGTGTAGGAAGCTGCCTAAGACTGAACATTGCATTGTCTACTGCACAGACTGGTAGTATTCCTTTAGAGTTTTAGGCAGGAGTCTTTCCCAGTTCTACCTGGAGATGCTGGGGTTGAACCCAGGATCTTGTGAATGCAAAGCATGCACTTTGCCATTGAGTCGTTGCCTCATTCTTAAATGCCTGGGCATTTTTATTTTATTTTTTGCTTGGTGCTGACAAGCTTCCCTTGGAGAAGGCCCTCTTTCTGGTCACCACATACTTGGATTCAGGTGTCGGAGTCCTGGACAAGGGTTTCTGACCCAGCTTTCGCAGCCACTTCTCCCCAGCTTTTGCTGCTGCTATGCTACCAGGAGCTATGCCATAGTTTGGCTTATGTCTGGACCTGGGTTTATGGTTTCTCTCTCCAAAGGAAATCATAGGCACTAAGTGCTAAGTCAAGAACAGGACTTCATTACAGCTCATGGTTTGTTTGGCAAGACACAAACCATGAATCTGAGTTAGGACGTAACACAAATCAAACCACGACTTTGCTGCTCCTCTGCTATTAAGAGTTAAGTGACCACAATTTTCTTCCTATGCACCAGCACACAGTGAATGCTCATCTTTAAACCACAGTTAGCTTTAACTATGCTTCAAAGCAGGGGTTCCTAAAGTAGTTCATGAACCATTAGTGGTCCATGAGTCTCATCCAGTTAGTCCCGGTAGCAACTCTGCAGAGCAGCATAGCTATATATATGTGAAGAACAGTGGGTGCAGAGGCTGCTCCATCCTTCTTAGAACACAGCAGTCTACCCAGAAGGTGAGCAGATGGGCTTGAAGTCATGGGGAGAGGAGAATCTGCCTTTTTCCGAAGAATAAACCCACAGCTGGCAGCAAGACAATGGAAGGTCTCCAGTGCAGAAAAGAGTCTGACAAGCCACTTGAAAGGAGTGGAGAGTTGATACATATTTTGCATCTAGCTCAGCACATTATGATTGCAAAACAACAAAAAGAAAAATCATTTTAATTGGTCTATCAAGTACCTAATTTTCAAGTGGTTTTGGGGAGAAGAGTGAAGGTTGGGAACCACTGGTTTAAAATGTGTTTGTAAGCTGTGGCAGGTTTGATCCACAGGATGGCAGTACAATGCAGAGAGTTGCCTTGGCTATCATTTCTAAAGCTTTCTGCTTAAAGATGGTGGTGAGAGAAGATTTATATATTAAGAGAGAATGTTTATATATTGGTATCTTAGTGCACAATGAATAGCCCAGAGGCTATAGAAGACCACCCAGGTGCTTACACCTTTTACTGGCAAGGTCACCTGATTGATACTTTCTAAGGAGAGGAGTTGTGGCAGTTTATAGATTGTAGATGCAGCCCAAAGCTAGCCCTGTCCAGGAGACGGAGAATGGTATGAAACTATTTACACACCAGGGCCGTGACTCAGTGGCAGGTAGGGAATATGAAGTAGAGCAATCACTGCCCTAGTCCCATAAACCTAGTGACCTTTATGGGCTCATTGTTGAATCTGACTCAAAGAGGAAGCTTGGGGTAACCAGAATAACTGAGTCTATTGTACTTGGGTAGAGGAAATATGCTCCAACAGAGCTGTGTTTATGAGTGGTGTAGAATTACTTTTTTAAATATAGTATCATCTCTCTTTAACTTTCTTTCGTCTTTAGTGTTAAGTGTATGAACCTTGGATTTGTGTGCTTTCCCACATGCAGCTTCAAGGAAGATGTTGGAAGCATCTGCTTCTTTTTTCAACTCATCGTTTGTTTTGTGTGGTCTAGGAACTGCATTTAGTAAACTGTAGTTTATTAAAACTAGTCAGAATCATTGACCGTAATTTAAGTTGGCTTGTTTAAAAAATCATAGGTAACAATAACCACACTGTGTCTAGTGTTGGCAGCAACCTGTGGTTAGCTGGAAGCTGAAACAAAGGCTTCCCATCTCCTTGTGGCCATGCTGGAGGACATGAGCCCTTTGGCTTGTGAATGTAACACAAAGCCATGATTTAGCATTCCTGAAAATATGGCCATTCCGTTACTGCCTGATGGTGATGATCACACAATACTGAATGCAATTTTCTTGCATTTCAGCTAGCAGTTCACCAAAAGTTATGTATAAATTGGGTATTGGGAAACAGGACCTGATAGCCTAGAACATTAGCAGTGGAAGCTTCACTGTTCCTGTTTGTGTGTGTGTGTTTGTCCATAATGATTGCAAACCTCATGAAAATATTATGCGAAATGACATGGTCATAGCGCTTTGAAGGTCTGCCCAGCTTGATTATGGCTTTGTTGCCACTTTCTCTCTACGTTTTTGGGACACCAAACAAATGGGAAGCTTTGATGACAATAGGGAAAAGAACCTAAACCGTTTTACAAAGTTGTCTCTTGCATATGTACAACTTAAACTAGAGGCAGCAGGTGGCACTCTGGGGTTGTTGTTTTATCAGATCTGCTTCACCGTATTTGTTAATAATAATGATAATGATAATATAATAGTTTGAGTAAAATATCTAAATTCAGTAAGTCAGAGACTTAAAGGACAATTCTATTTTTCAATGAAGTTACCATTTTGAATTATAGGTCCCAAAGAATTATTATCTATTAAATGGAACTTGAGATTTTTGTTTTAAATGGATGCAGGATCTTACATTTTCTGTGTTTGTGTTTTGTTTTTCAGCTGTAGCAGAAGTCAAACTTCGGGATGATCAGTATACCCTGGATCACATGCGTGCCTTTGGCATGTACAATTATCTACACCTGGATCCCTGGTACCAAGATAATGTTTATTATGTTGATCAACTTGGAAGAGTCATGAATTTAAGCATTACTCTGGTAAGGATGCCATGAAAAAAGAAATAAAAACTTGAGTCAGTCGCCTCAAACTGAAGTCCATTGATTTCACTGGTTTTTCTTTGAGTATGACTTAGTCAGATGCCACCAAGTAAATACAGTGGTACCTCAGGTTAAGTACTTAATTCGTTCCGGAGGTCCGTTCTTAACCTGAAACTTTTCTTAACCTGAAGCACAACTTCAGCTAATGGGACCTCCTGCTGCTGCCGCTCTGCCAGAGCACGATTTCTGTTCTCATCCTGAAGCAAAGTTCTTAACCCGAAGTACTATTTCTGGGTTAGCGGAGTCTGTAACCTGAAGCATATGTAACCTGAAGTGAATGTAACCCGAGGTACCTCTGTACTAGTATTCATAATTTGAACATACTTTTTAACATATTTTTTTCAGTAACTTATGATGCTTGAATATTATTAAGCATCTTTGTGTTTATGATTTGTAATTAAAAGAGATCAGACACTATAGAATTGATTATTATTATTTTTTAAATGCACTATTGACTTTAAATATGGGCATTTCTCAATTCCATTGTGTGATCCAATAAAGATTACACATTCTCCAATAATACTGCTATTCCACTATTCATTGCTATTAATTAAGCTACCCAACACATTTGCACGATATTAACTGCACTGTATTTCACCTTAGGTAGTCAAGTATTACACTCACAGGGTTATGCACTGTTTAATTATGTCTATTCAGTTAAATTAGTTGCACAGAGCAATACTTTGCACATTTCTTTTTTTCAAATTTGAAGTTAGAACTGAAGCTGCAGGCTTACTAATTGCTTAGATGGGGTCGTGTGACAATCTTGCCATCTCTAATGTCTGTCCAAACAGTCCCGGAAGGCAGACATGTGCTTCCATCTAATCATCACTCTGTGCTTAGGTTTCTGCATACTGAAATGATTTTGCTTCCAGAAGCTTGATTTGTGATCCCTTCCAGAGCCGGCACACACACTTATTTGTGAAATATCCCGATTCTTCTCAAAGGCAGTGATTCAGATAGAGAATGCTTTGGGTTTTACAAAGAAAGACAGGCCTCTGTAGCTATCCCTGGCCAGGCTTGGAAGGCAGTTGTCTGGAACGCAGAACACCTTTGCAGAAAGTGCTGCCGTTGTTTATAAAGATCTGAGAACAACGTACTATTAGGAAAGAGGCAGGATTGCTGAGCAGACATGGTGGATGGGAACTGAGAAACGAAGGAGACATGGCCAAAAACAGAATACGTAGTAGGCTGATATGAGTAGGAAGGATGGATGGGGGAGGCAGAGGTTAGTGGAAAGCGGTGCGGAGCAGCAAGGAAACTCAAGCAACGGGTTTGGGGTAATGCATTTGACAGAAAATGGGCAACAAAGGTATTCTGTAGGACAATGGGGAAGGAAGGTTAAAGGCAGTGGAGTGAAGGTTGGTGAACTTCCTGCTTGAGTGAACCAGTCAGCAGAATATTTTACTACAGTCTGTTGAATAATATTGCAATACAGTGGTACCTTGGGTTAAGTACTTATTTGTTCCGGAGGTCCATTCTTAACTTGAAACTGTTCTTAACCTGAAGCTCTGCTTTAGCTAATGGGGCCTCCTGCTGCCACTGCACTGCTGCTGCACGATTTCTGTTCTCATCCTGAAGCAAAGTTCTTAACCCAAGGTAATATTTCTGGGTTAGCGGGTCTGTAACCTGAAGCGTATGTAACCTGAAGCGTATGTAACCCAAAGTACCACTGTAGTACTGTATAACTTTCAAAATAGTGTGGTTAAGAAGTAAGACCAAGATGGAAATAATTGTTCCCACCCTTAAGGATTGTGAGAGATTGATAATGTGCTTCTGTGATTTGTTTGCTGAGAAATGTGCCCCTGCCTCAATAAATAATTGAGGAAACAAACATGTCGCACTTCTTACTCAGAATTAGTTATAGAAATGTACAGAGAAGTATAAAACACCATATTTCTCTGAACCTTTTGGAAGTATTGTTTTTTTAATAAAAAAATGATTGCCGTAAAAACAGTTTTCACACACACACAAATCTTTCTCCACTCTGAAAGCAAAGTTATTTCCTTTCCTTTCCTTCCAAATAATTATGCTGGTTGTGATGGGATGAGCTTTCCCTTCCTCATTTCTGCCATATCCTTAGAAATTGCAGCTCTGGGTGAGGTGCTGCCCCAGAGTTATCTGCAAACTGTTTCCAGCAAGCAGGTCATGGTGTCATTCTGTGTGGGTATGTGCCAGAAACACTGTGCTCATACTAAATGCTAACTATTGAAGAGCTGTTACCTTGGAGACCATGATGTTGAAAGACTTTTTTGGTCCCTGAAAAATGGAAGCTGACTTCAAGAGGGAACTTGATATTTAGGCGAGAGTGTAGGTTGTCTGGGAACAAATCATCTTAGTCCCATCTGTAACGGAGAGGGCATCTGAAGCATCTAGTTTCATCATTCATGTCCAAGAACATTGGGAGCGAAGCCTATGCAGCCTATTCTTCCAGTCCATTTCCAAGTGCAATACAAGGTGCTAGTTATTACCTAAATGGCTTGGGACCAAAGTACTTGAACAGCTGGTCTCTCTTAGGTACATCTGCCTATCCTTTAAGATCAGCATTTGTGCTTCTCTCGTGTGTGCCATTTCCTTCTAAGGCAAGTGGTAGCATGCAAGAGAGCTTTCGCTGGTTGCTCCAATACGTGGAAATCCCTGCCTCACAGGGTTACATTAGTTTACCCATCATTTTGTGTTGCACTGGCAATTCAAAACATTCCTTTTTGTATGCAAGCCTTCGATTCCGTTGTGCTTATAATGTGTTGAGTCTTGAGTGCTGTTCTGTATATTCCTTGGGATTCTGCAGTTTTTTGTTTGATTTGATCCATGCTTGCATTACTGTTGCGAGCCACTTTGAGCAATCCCTTTGTGTATGGGAAAGCCGGGTATGTATTTTTAAAATAAGAATAACTCACAAAACTGAACACACACACACACACACACACACTGCATTTTGCTTTGGTAAGAACCTAAGAGCCCTACTGGATTGAACCAAGATCCATCCAGTCTAACATTCAATTTCTTACTGTGGTCAGCCAAATATTTCTGGGAAGCAGAGCATGAAGGTAACATCCCTTTTCCTCTTGATGGCTAAAACAGAACTGAAAATGCATATATTGATATTTTTACCATGTTGAGATAACAATTTTTAACACTGAGTTTACAGCAAAGCCTGTTTGCTCAAAACTGCATAAAAACACCCGTTTAAATCTTAGTCTAAACTATGTATCTGAAGAGTGTACTAGAATTGTTTTGACTTTCTTTGTATACTATTTAAATGTTGCCTTAGGTCAAACACAATATCATCATCTTCTATATATGTATACATATTTTTTAAAATGACTAAGGAAAAAGAGATGTATTCAAACAGTAGCAGTTGAGAGATGAGTAGCCTTGCTTTCCTGGCTTCCAAACATTTCAGATGCTTCTGGTAACCAAGAGGGGCAAGGCAGCAGGCAGGTTGGAAGGTGCATCAGCACCACATTGGATTGACTCTGCCACTGCACCCACACCACACTGCATCCCCACGGCTTTGCCTCTCTCCCTCTTGGTTACTGGCAGCAGTGTCCTTTGCACTAGGAAGCCACACAAGTATTGCCACACCCACACTGCATTCAAAGATAAGTAGTGTTGCTAACTGTAACAAAATAGTCAACCTTCTTCCAGTGAAAATGTTTTCTCTAAGCATGCCATCTTCAGATTCATCTTGTTTTAAGATATTTATAAACTGACTCTCATTTTAACAGTAAAGGCATACAAGGTTTTGCTTACAAGGCTTACAAAAAGAAAAAGTAGAAGATAATACCAAACTCTTCCATAACTCCCTAAACTGAATAGATTAGCGCTGCATGTTACTCAACATATTTGTAGCTTTCAAGCTGGCATGACCTCTTCCCTCTGCCAAAAGATATATAGTGTGCAAAGGACAAGCGGTTGCATTCAGAATGTGGTTCAGTGGTAAGAGTGCATGCAAATTCAATCCACAGCATCTCTATTTAGGGTTGGGACAGATCCCTGCCTGAAACCCTGGAGAACTGCTGCCAATCAGTGCAGCCAATCCTGAGCGAGATGGAGCAGTGGTATAACATGGTATAAACTAAGCAACTGCCTTTGTTCCCAAAGGAATTGCCCCATAGTCAGTAATTTGCAGGCTGGCTTTGTTCCATGGGCTGCCAGGTGCCACGATTTATCAGATAACTGCAGTCTGGATCTTTTACATTCTTTTCTTCATGTTTTTATTAAGTGTATAATTTATGTAACTTGTTAAGTCATAAAAACAGTGATTCATAATAGCAGGGATGATTTAATAACACTAGTAAATTAATAAAAGTCTGTGTAATGGCAATTAGTAAGCAACTCTCAATTTCCATAGCAAAGATATATATATGATGGATGTATCTTATTAGAATAAAAAGGCAATTGTACCAACCAAGCAATATCCCATATATTTTTTTCCAGCCATTGCAAAATTGTTGGAAATTGTGAAATTAGTATTACATGGCAATACTAATGCATGCAATTGCAAGTAAGTTACTTATCTCTAGAACTGTTGCTTCTATTATAACCTTTATGTAATCCAACAAAATCTTCTTTGGGACCAGAAGAATATCATACCTGGATATATTTGAATATCATTTAACACCCCCTTCCAGAAAGGTCATACATGTGTGTGCCATGAGAAAATATGCATGAAATATGCCTTGTGTTACCTTTCCAACGCTTGTCTGTCGTATTTGGATATATCTATCTCTTTAAACCTACACAGAGTCAAATAACACTGAAACTTTTTTTATGTGATTAACTGGATCTTCAAAATTATTATTGTCATGTACCAGCTGTAGGTTTTTCTTAATATTCGCTCTCCTGGTATAAATTTCTCTAGGGCTCAGTTCATATGTCATCCTTCTAATAAGGGGATGGTGGCAGTTTGTTATCCTGAGATAAGAATGAGGTGTCTCTTCCCTTTGTATTCCAAACTATTTGCTGATAAAATATGTGAACTTGCATTCATGTTAGGCCAAAAACAAACATTTGCCATCAACATTTGTTCATCAAGGTTTGATTGTCGTTCGTCTAATTTCAACTCTGTTCTTGTTTCCTACTTACAGGACACTGCCTTAAAAAAGCCCAGAGAAGTATTCAGGCTTCCTGCAGACTTGATAGCTTGTGATAATCGCCTTTGTGCATCTGTACACTTCACATCTTCCACCTGGGTTACGCTTTCAGATGGAACAGGAAGGCTGTATCTGATTCGAACAGGAAAACGTGGCGATGGCTCATGTGAAAAGTGGGAAGTAAGTATTGTAAAGCCTAGCTTTTCTATTTCCAGATGGTTGAATGTGCTTAAGCAAAGCTAGAAGTTACTGCCTCCTGCTCTTCCTGTGTAAACCAGCTCTTTCCCCTCTTACTGCATCTTGAAGGTCTTCAGGTCTCCAGAACCTTAACTTGGATCATTCTTCATTTGTGCAAGAAACCAGCTCTTCCCCCTCTTATTGCATCTTGAAGGTCTTCTGATCTCCAGAACCTTAACTTGGGTCATCCTTCATTTGTGCAAGAACACTTGCCAGTCAGGGTTATATGGTATCCAAGCCATGCTACCTTACTTAACATGTACAAGAGCAGTCTAGGAAACCCTGCCAGCTGAAGAGGAGAATGTATGGCAGAGAAGGTAAATTTTGACTGTCGAACAGGGAATGGCGGAAGAGACACTGAGAAAGTACAGTGGTACCTCTGGTTGCGAACGCCTCTGGTTGCGCACGCTATGGGTTATGAGCGAGCTCCGATAACCCGGAAGTAGCCACTCCCAGTTGCAAACTTTGCCCCGGGATATGAGTGGAAATTGCGTGTCAGAGGTGCGCACACAATGAGAGGCACACTTTCGCTAATAGCACCTCATATTATGAGCAGTTTCCAGTTACGAACGGACCCCCGGAACAGATTCAGTTCGTAACCAGAGGTACCACTGTATGAGAGAGTGAGAAACGTCTTGCAGGATTAGTTGAAAAGTTCAGTATTTGGTTTTAAATAGTTGCCACCCAGAGATTTCTGTGAAGCTTACAAGCAGGCATGAAGGCAGCAGGTACCCATTGTGGTGCCTTCCTAGTTTCTGATACTTGGGTATACTGCCTCCAAATGTGGTGGTGTCATTTGGACAGGCAGCAAATGGCAAGTACATTTTTTATGTTTTTTATTTTATTCCAAGCCTCAGAGAAAAGTGATCTCCCTGATCTTGTACTGAGCCTCAGTACAGCCCAGAAAGCAGTGAGATGTGGGCAAGCAGGGACAAAACCTTTTCTCTCAGCATGTCCTAAGCTTGGAAGCACAGGGGAGGGTGGGGCTCACCTCTACAATCTTGCTGGACTTTGTAAGCACTTCAGATACCTCTAGTTGGAGGTGTCATGTTATAATCTGGACCCCGTAGGATAGACGGCCAGCATACCTTTTGACTGGCTACCAAAGTCAGCCAAATTTTCTGTACCCTTGCATTTTGTTACCATGCTGTATGTGTAGCCTGGGGTGTAACTTCACATCTGGATAGCACATCCAGAAAGCAATCAAAGTTACTCAGATGAATCTCTCCTGCTGATATTTCTTAAGTGAATTTGAAAACAGATGTAGAAATGCCAAGTGCTGAAGCTATGGTCTTCTTAATGTCTGAAGCTGCTTCATTCCAAGTCATTTGTTTACTGTGATTACCTGTTTAAGACCTTTCTATGCCCTGCAGCCTGAGCTTATGGGAACTCGGCTAGGCGCTGCCTATGACACACTAGTTCTGTGTTGTACTCTATGGCTTCTCCCTCTACATTCAGTGTTACCAAGTCAAGGTAACTATAGTAAAAGTACATTTGAAGTGAAGTCAAGCAAATATAAGCACATTAAGTGAAAAGGCATATGAGAAGTATGCATCTTTCAAAAGTGTCTCATGGGGACATTGCTGCCTTCGAAGTGTGCCTTTCATAGTCGCTCTGTGATTTTGTTGATACTCGAAATGTGAAATTTGATTTTGTTTGCAAGTCATAGATCTGCAACCATAATTCATCAGGAGAATTAAGTATTAATATAAACAGTGGAAGAAATTTGTGGATTGCATATTAACACTAATAGTGTTTAGATGGGCACTAATCCTAGCTTTATACCATAAGTGGTTTCATTGAGCATTGAAGAATCCACTTTGCTTGCTTTATTTCCAAGCATCCTAAATTAACTATCTGAACTGTTTTTGAGAGAGAATAATGCAGCATAGAGATTGTTTCTCCCCCTTGCTTCCTGGCAAAAAGACACAGTAGCAACAGAACATGTCATCTGTGTCCTGCTTTGAGGGTTCAAAGCACTTTGCGTATGTTGGTTCATTAACAACAGCACTACTGTAGTCAAGTCATTATTGTACCTGTTTTGAAAATGGAGGGGTCGAAATGTAAATTAAATGGTGATGTACATAAACCCACCTACTTACACATATGTATCGGAAACATATCTTACTGAGCAGGTGAAATGCTTCAAAAGAATACCCAGCACTAAAGCTACCCAGTCATCAGTAATCTGATAACACAAAGAGCCAATAGTGACCCACCTGGTCATAAAAAGCAGCAACTTCCGACTGGCTTCTCCCTCTGGGCAATCGGTATTTCAGACATGGACTGAGCCTCTCTCAGATAATCCATCCCCATTTCCCTTCACTTCACCCAACTCTGACAGCAGCTGGTTACCAATAATAAAACGTTATGCATATTAATTTCAGAATCATGTATGGGGTAACTACAGTAGGCAGGGATTGTATGACTTTTGCCTTGTTCATTTAAAAAAAAAACAATTCCTGGTTCTAAGATAATCGCACAGCAAGGGTATGAGATCTGTGCATCGTATAAAAAGTATGTGACACAAAAGCTTATATTCAGGCTTTCCACGGTCTGAAATCTCTTTCAGTGCACAGGATATCTAAGTTATTAATGCTGCTTATCATTGGGGACTGTTTAAAGAGAAAGCTGATGGAAGGAGACTTGCTTGTAATGCTTTTTCAACTTAATGGCATATATTTTCACTGTAAGGCCTTACTTATCTAGATGTACTTTATGCTGTGGGGTAAAGCTTGCTAGTTTGCAAACCAAGCTCATGCTGATTTTCCAGATGAAAGAGTAATAATCTGTTTCCTGTGAACAGTTGTGTAAAAAAGCAAAGTTGTCCTAAGCAAGTGCATATCCAAATTTTCAAGCATTAGTATAACTTGAATTTTATTTCCATGTCAGTTTGCAACAAAGGCCATACAATAAAACTTTGGGGTTAATGCAAAATCTAGAGTAGGAAAATACAGATACTGAAACCTAGGTAACAATGGTTGCAAATGCTTATTTATTGATTAAAACGTTCATATGAGAAGTCAGCAACTTCCTTCTTCCCTCTGCTTGCTCCCTGATGCTCAAAAACTGCTCAGTGAATACACTGGTGCTTACTGGTAACAAAGCATGATTGCAGTCAATTTTTCTACCCATTTTTTAAAATACTTTTGACTAAAGTTGATGACAACTCAAAACCCTTATTCAAAACCCATTTCCTTCTAATTACGGGGCTTAAAATGCAGACTCATTATCAAGTCTGTTCTTTCGGACTGTACATTGCCCACACATTTATTAGATAGTGGAAATGATCTAGTTTCCAGGGGTGGTGGCAATGTCAGATTCGTAGGCACCAGAATCAAATTATTTATATGCATGAAACAAGTAAAAATGGGAAGAAAAATCTATGCTTGAAATGAAAATGATGCTATGCTTTCAGCGAGTTTTTAAACCTCTCAAGTAATAACACTCACTGTGCCAATAAAGCTGGATAGATGTCTTGGAAAAATGAGTGTTGTATGTACCTCATCAGCATTTTCCAAAAGGTAATAACTCTTGTGGAACCAGGTACTAGAGCAGAGATGCCACCAAAACCCAGCATTCCTGTGTCATCTTCCCCCCCACCCCATTCTGCACTGTATTCTTGTCTCATCCTTGAGTTATCTGTTTGATCTGAAACATGCATTGTGCATTCAGAAGGCATGACACAGTAGCATTCACAAAGTCTGTCTCTTCTCAGATACTATTCAATGAAGAATTCGGGAGTCCCTTTGTTATAGTCCACAGCATCTCCTTTCTGCAGTCTGATGCTCATTCAGTGGGCGTACTGCTCCTTCGCGTAGAAAAAGATGAATTGGATGTACAAGGCAGTGGCTTCCATGTTTCCTTGGAATGGGTCACAATTACAAAAACAACCAAGGAGAGTAAGTATTTTACTTACTGTTGCTTTCCTTGTGTCTGAAAAAGAGACTCGTACTCCTTATATGTTTAGGAAGTTGCCATTCCAATGGCTCAGGTAGCAAGAAATAATTTTGTCATCTTGTTGATAGTTGAGTGAAGGATCTAAATCTGAAGTCATTTGGGGGACTGTTGGATCCCTGAGAGTCAAAACAGTCACTGAGGAAGGCAACAAGCATGTTGTAAATCAAATTTAAATCAATGGGGCTGACTTCTAAGTCAATGGGTGTCTTGGAAATGTGGCTGCTGTGTGCCCCTTGTTAGTATTTCCCATAATGAAAACCCAAGCTTTCAGCCAGTGCAGCACATTTGCAACTTCTCCTTTCTCCCCTGAAATCATTATGAGATACTAATTGCGACTCAGTTGTCAGAGCACTGATCCTTCTGTAGTCCAAACAGCAGCATCTGTGCACAAGAGCTGGTATCAGCAGGCTGCAGAGGGGGAACCCACATTTTGCACAGAGGACAAACAAGTCTTTACAAGGAAAAGCACTTTCAAATATTTTTAAGGTATTTTCAGACCACCTTTTAGGCCCAAACACTCAGCTTCTAAGATGCACTGGGAGGGGACCCCAAAAACAGCCCAGTGAGGACTGAGCCTTCTTAGAAGGCATTGAATGCAAGTTTACTGGAGCAAAAGTTAATGGAATAGCGGGGTTATGGAAGGAGAAGGAATGGCATGGAGCATCCTGAAGAGGAGAACTCCACATGGCATTTTGTAATACCAAATATGTGATTTGATATTGTCACAGGACAATATTTGCCTTTTCATTTAGTTGGCTGTCCCTTGCAGGGCTTGGGATAGTTGTGGCATGATGATGTTTTACCAATACCTCAGGTTACATACGCTTCAGGTTACATACGCTTCAAGTTACAGACTCCGCTAACCCAGAAATAGTGCTTCAGGTTAAGAACTTTGCTTCAGGATAAGAACGGAAATTGTGCTCCGGCAGCGCAGCAGCAGCGGGAGGCCCCATTAGCTAAAGTGGTGCTTCAGGTTAAGTACAGTTTCAGGTTAAGAACGGACCTCCGGAACGAATTAAGTACATAACCCGAGGTACCACTGTACTATTGTTCCCACCACCAAAATACTGTGTACCCTGCCTCTCTGTTAAGTATTCTGGAGGTGGCTAACAACATACGTTACAAAAAAAATCCAATGCCCACAGTAAAATCATTGTGATACTGCTCTTTCCTGCTGGTACCACTCTTCCTTCAAAAGTATTTTTCACTGCAGTGCCACTCTTTCATATAGACAAATGACTCCTGTGCATCCCACACGAAGGCTAAGCAGTAAGAAGATCAAGGCAGTATTAAGTTCTCTTTCCCCTCCCTAGCCGATCAGTACAGAAATACTCAGTGCCCTCAGGCACCAGTCATGGCTGGCTGGAACAGAAACTCCATGTTTCCTCGGAGCCATCTTTTAGAATAGCTTACCTGCTGTTGCAAAGAACCTTGTGGTAAATATTAATACGGCCTTTATTTGTATTCCTGTGTTCAACAGATCCTGCTGCCTTCTTGTAGCAGTTATTGGTATCTAATTTCATGCATTTCCTGAGGTCTTTCCAACACAGTACTGGTGGTTACTTTTAAAGGGGGGGGGCTGGGTTTTAATTACAAACCACAAAAGAGCAAATTTAGGAAAGAAAAGGCTAATGAAATAGCTAGAAGACCAATAGAGAATTGCCTCTTTTAGAGCAGCAAAATGAATTTGTTATCAGCCTGGATATTTATTATGTAGCTGCTTCAGATGAATGAAACAGGTTGCTGAAAAGTGCTGTATTTATTTAAGTGTATGTATTTAAGGAGAAAACAATTCTTAGGATAATACTGTATCAGGGTTTTCACTGTTCTCTGAAATATGCTTATTTTTCAGGTAAGCCTCTGTGTGGGGCTACCCAGTTTTGCAAGCTATGTCTGGCATAAATGGAAACACCTAGATGGGTGGGCTGGGTTTGCATACCTGCAGCCAGAATCCAAGGAAAGCCCAGTGCATGCTGGCATTTTTGTGTAACAACAGAGGAGTGAGATGCTAGTTATTAGAGGGGACATCTTAAGAACAAAACAGGCTACTAAATTAGGTTAAGACAAAGCGGAAACGGGCTCATTCTAGGGACCTATTCTTCTGTAAGGCTATACAGAGGGGCAAATCCTTAACAACTAGCAAAGCTCTCTATTTGCAATAAAAAGAAATATTAGCAAGGATGCCTCAGAGGATATGGGAAGTGGGTAGAAGAGGCTTAGGACATATTTCCATATAGGTTTTAGTCTGAATATGACAGGAGGAAGCTCGGCATATGGAAACAAAGAAATGGTCTCATCAAACTCTCCAAATTGGCTACAGATTTAATTGTCTTTGGAGAGTGGGAGGTAATGAGAGCAGAGCCAAGTGTACCCAGGAAGCTTAAAAGCAGCATGAATCCTCCAGGAAAGGGGTCAGAAATGGTTTCTGGAGACCATTTGCCTAGAAATAGTCTTCATTACAGTTCTGCAGGTGAGAGTCAACAGTACTATGCTAGAAGACTTGTCGAAGAGCAAAAACCTTGGAGATGTTTGTCTGACTTCTTTCTCACACTGTTACACTATGACGCTGCAATCAAATAGAATTGACTTTTTTCAAGTAGTGCTTTGGGGGTTACCTTGCAGTCTGTCATGCCAGGAATATTGAAAGCCTGCTAGATTGAAAAGCCTGCAGACACCTATCTCAGTGTTTCTGCATTGACTTTTTGTATGGTCAAGATCTTCCCAACTGAGGAACGTGTTGATTTCTGTTAAAGTCAACCAGCCAGCGGGTTAGATTTTTGTCCTTTAAAAACTGGGATGAGCAGGGTTGGGTGGTGTCAGCACATTCAAAGGAATTGTTTCTCTTTTAATCAGGTGATCATGGGTATGAAATCTCCAAGCGTCGAGTTCTTCAAGGAAAGTCAGTTCCGCATTATGCAGCTATAGAGCCAAGTGGCGATGGCCTGATGGTTATTTCATACAAGCCCTATGCTCTCACACAGAATGGTGAGGATAAGCACGACAAAAGTGAAAAGGAGAAAGCAGAGGAAAACAAAAAAGGTAACCTTGCATTCCTGACAATAGGTTAGACAACTAGCTCTTTATTTATTATTGCTTTATAAATGTCTATCTCACCTTTCAGGGCACACTAGGGAACAAAACATGGTCTTGTAGCTTATATTTGTATTAGAAATGCAGTGCACCGTACATTCAGCACAGTTTTAAGTGTTGGTAAAGGTAAAGGGACCCCTGACCATTAGGTCCAGTCGTGACCGACTCTGGGGTTGCGGCGCTGATCTCACTTTATTGGCCGAGGGAGCCGGCGTACAGCTTCCAGGTCATGTGGCCAGCATGACTAAGCTGCTTCTGGCGAACCAGAGCAGCACACGGAAACGCCGTTTACCTTCCCACCGGAGCTGTACCTATTTATCTACTTGCACTTTGAGGTGCTTTCGAACTGCTAGGTTGGCAGGAGCAGGGACCGAGCAACAGGAGCTCATCGCGCCACGGGGATTCGAACCGCCAACCTTCTGATCGGCAAGTCCTAGGCTCTGTGGTTTAACCCACAGCGCCACCCACGTCCCTAAGTGTTAGTAGTATGGTTTTAAAGTTTTCTGTGCAGAAACCAACCTGTCAGTTCTCCAAATGAGCAAGATGCAGCTTGTTTATTTGGAAGGGTGAATAGCTTGATGACCATTACCTGAGGATTCAGCAGACTTAACAAGTACATGCCTCAAGACAAAAGCTGATCACCTGCAGGGATTAGGAAAATTATTGCTTCCCCCCTCCACAGGCTCAGCATTTCACTTAATTGATTATGTGATGCTGCGTTGAAACAACAGGGAGCGCTTGGTATGTTGAATAGATTACAGAGGGTAATCTTAGTGTGATGTTTCTGTTTTATGCAAGGGGTCCCCTCTTAACTTCTGCTTTGTTCTGGCGCAGGTTTTCCATGTTAAGTTAAAAAGATTCAGTCAGAAAACTTCAGAAAAGAACAGGGAAGGGGAGAGAGAAACATCTTTTTCTGAAAATTTCCAGGTTTTTTCTCCCAGGCCTTCACATCTCTACCAGGTCGTAGTCCAACATTCCAACCACTACACCACCCTGCCTGTCCTACAGGTGTGCTTAGTGTTGCAGTTCACCATCAGTGATCCATTCCTTTTTGTGTTCTTGGTTTGTAGAACCTCTCTACTACTGGCAAGAGACTGAAGAGGATTTGACGGTTACTTTTCAGCTACCAGAAGACTTTGCCAAAGAGGACATTCGAGTCCGTTTTTCTCCAGGCCATCTCAGTGTCGCACTGAAAGATCCCCTCAGCCCTGTATTAGAAGGAACGCTTTTTTCATCGATTGATCACGAAAGCTCCACGTGGATAATTAAAGAAAATAATAGGTATTTCTTGCAGTACTGAGTAGTCTAGTCTGGTGTCTGTATAGCTGAATGCCTAAGTAGCTCAATAGCCCTGGGCACTAAAGTGTGTAATACTGTGAACCTGAGCTGTCTTATTAGGTGTGCTTCCTTTCCTTGCAGGCTGCTTCCTTTTCTTCACGGAAACAGAAACTGGTCACAGTTAGTCGTACGTAGACATTTTATAAAGAGAGACAATGGAATTTGAACAGAATTTGAACAAGGCCTTCCACTAGTTCCAGTACATTTGTTGCTCGATAGGAATTGCTGATAAATTATATCTTTTCTTTAATGAATGCTTGTGATTTAATACTATTACCTTTTGTGCCTCTAAGCAGGCTGCTGCAACAGCAAAGTTAGTGGGGTATATGCAGTTTGTATACCGCCCTATACCCGCAGGTCCCAAGGCGGTTCACAAGATAAAGTCGCAATATAAAAACACAAAATATATCATAAAAACAAAAGCAACCCAATAATCCCCCCACCCTAACACATTTTAAAAGTGCATTGGATGTCAATCAGCCAAAGGCCTGGTTAAAGAAGAACGTTTTTGCCTGGTGCCTAAAGGTGTATAATGAAGGCGCCAGGCGAATGTCCCTGGGGAGAGCATTCCACAAACAGGGAGCCACTGCAGAATATTATTATTAATTATGATACTTTAGAGTTCAGCATGTATGTATTCACCATTTTAGCAAGATCTATATAGATTTATTTATCTAGAGATCTATATAAATCCAGTGTGTAGTCTTAAATAAAGGAAGAGAGTAACTCAGCACTGGACGCTAATGTAACTTGTTCAGTCCATTTAATGGGAACAATCATTAAACAAATGTCTTTCATTAGGCCGGTTTCAGTATTGGATTTCTCTGAGGGGGGTTAATTTATTTTAATGAAAGCAACACTATTTTCATTCCAGTGAGGAGAACTATAGACTGAAAATTAAAATGCTTTAGCTCATCTTGGCATGGATAACTTAGAGATGTCTACTGTTGCTTCAGATTAAAGTTTTGAAATCTATCCAGTTTTCCAAGAGATTTTTGTTGTTGTTTTAACAGCCTTAATCAATCATTTTATTTGTACGCCAAAGTTAAAACTGTGCTCAAGGCCACTTACGACATATAAATAATTACGTAACTGCAAACATAACAAAAGTATTCATAAACAAAACATCAGAAAGTTCAAAACCAAACTGAACAATTTCCACATAGACTGTAAGATCCAAAATAAAGATACATGTTAAACATTCTGATTAGCTATTTGCAGAGAAGGTTAGGAATTCTGTTCAATACAAATGCATATAGCCCTCTAGTCATACATTTTGTAACCGCATGTGAAGTGAGTGGTGTTTTCTCTTGATCGTTTTGGGATTGAAAAAAGCCTTTTCTAATCATATCACATGTTGATCATGAAAGCGAAAGCTCTTTCCATCTAAATTAACTTGTTGAAAACAATGGGATTATTTCAATGCTTCTCCTATCCCCATTATCTTTCCTCCAGCTGTCAGTGTTTCGGGTTGATTTGGCTGGCTTTTCTTTCCGCAAAGCTAATTAAGACATTTGCAAGGATCATTTTTGACAACAAATGTGTTTCAAGTTTTTCCTCTGACTTAAGTGTTTGAAAACAAAGGCTTGGTATGGGCTACATTTGGCGCTCTATTTTTTAGAAATGGAGATAAGTGCAAGCTGATCCAATCTTCCAGATTCCTTTTCTTTTTCCTCCCGTAAAGCTTTTTAAAATACTGCTTTTGCTTATCTCCCTTTGCTTTTCCACCCCTACCTTCTAATAGGCAAAAAAAAAAGTTTAACAGATATTTCTGCATAGGAGAAGGGGAAGTGGAAGGGCCATATAGAGCACATGTGTTGTATGCAGCAGGTCCCAGATTCAAGCCCATCATAGCTTTGAGAACAGCGCACTTAGCCAGGTGGCCTTGGTTGAACTAGAGATCAAAACGAAGTACATATTTGAAACATATCTGCTTCAGACCATGCTCAGTGACATAATCTTTTGCATGCACTTTGGAAAGCCTCATTTAAAATCAATGGCTTTTTTTGCAGCCATAACACTCCTCTCCTGAGAAGACCTGTGTAATCCTGGTGTTTTTGGGTGAAGACAACAGCTTTGGTTGTCCACCCAAAATAGGTTGGAGTTCCTGCACCTCTTTTCCTAGGAAGAAAGCACTGGCTGTTTCCCAAATAAGCATAGTTGTGACCAGGATGCACACTCCGTTTAGAACTTGCAAGTGTTGGAAGGATAAACATGATATTTATCATTACTCATATTGCAGTAGTTAAGAGTTCTGGCTTGGATGTTAGCGTCTGTTCTGCACACAGAACAGAGCTCAGCCTCTGTTGCCCCCCAAGAATTAATCCCTGAAGACTGGGGAACTGCATGGGATGTGGCACAACACTCTTCTTGCTGCACACATAACCTGGCAGAGGAGCAGGAGTGATGGTCCCAGCAAAAACCAGACACTTCTGTGCACAGATTTGCCTCCTACTTGCCCAACAGCACCTTAGCACTGAAACAATTTTTTGGCGTGGTTATTAAAAATATATATAATTATAGTGTGGCATATACTATGACACGGTAGGCATGATAATTAGTAGTATTCTCCATTTTCCAACAGCCTCCTAGAGCAGGTAACACACCGTACTCAAATCTTCATTGTCCCCAGTTTGACAATGCCTTCTTTAAAAAATAGAAGATGCATACTACGTAAATGTTACCTTTAGACAGTACACTCTCATGGTAAAGATTGAGAGGGCATGAGTTATGAACTTCTGGATACTATAGCAGTGGCTTCCCTGCTGTTCCACATGGAAGATCAAGGTAGGTTTGACACTTGAACCTGTAATAGATCTTAGCACTCAGATCTGCAGATCATCTTAGCACAGGCATAGGCAAACTCAGCCCTCCAGATGTTTTGAGACTACAATTCCCATCATCCCTGACCACTGGTCCTGTTAGCTAGGGATGATGGGAGTTGTAGTCCCAAAACATCTGGAGGGTCAAGTTTGCCTGTGCCTATCTTAGCACCTGCTAAGTTACAAATCAGGAAAATGAGAAATGCTAACAGCACTTATAGTCATACATCTTAAGACAGAGAACTCATAAAATGTTGCAATGAAATGATACCACTTCAGCTGTGCATGTGGAGACCACGTGTTTGAAAGTGCTTCTGCATCAAAATCATGCAAACAAAGCAAGTTGGGCCATGCATATGTATGAGTGTAAACTTAATTTGCATCATCTTCCCTTTAAAAAAAGAAAAGAGAATGAAGCTGGGTTCGTTCATTTGTACACACTATGTTTGCAGCACAAATTACCTTCTACATTATATATCTACTAATTTAAGAATCTGTGTACCGCCCTTCACCACATGGTCACTGGATAGATTATAACTTGTCAGAATATACACATACAATGAGATACAGCGAAAGTGGATGTACTTAAGTGGATGTAATTAAAAACTCAATTTAAAATCTTGACCTTCCAGGTTCAGATTGTAAGCCGGCACATTTTGCCTCCTGACGCAGAGCCGTCCATCTGTGTGGCATCTGGAGGCAAACCCATTACTTTGCCAGTTCAGTTAAGGGAGTATGTTGTTTGAGGGAGGATATTGATGAAGAGCACCCTAGTGGTAGGCCAAATATTAGTGACCTCTGGCCCCACTATGTTAATTGATCAGAGTGTTTTTGCAAGAGAGAGTGTGTGTATTTATCATTTTGATATTTCATATGTACAGTGGTACCTCAGGTTACAGACGCTTCAGGTTACAGATGCTTCAGGTTATAGACTCAACTAACCCAGAAATAGTACCTCGGGTTAATAACTTTACCTCAGGATGAGAACAGAAATTGCGCGGCGGCGCAGCAGCAGGAGGCCCCATTAGCTAAAGTGGTACCTCAGGTTAAGAACAGTTTCAGGTTAAGAACAGACATCCAGAACAAATTAAGTTCTTAACCCAAGGTACCACTGTATTTTAAACTGTTGAACTAGCCCAGTTGCATATGCCTGGTGGTCTTCCAAGGAGCGTACACTTCACTTTTCTGTGTCTTGATTAATCTTTATTAATGTTAGCGCTTATGGAAGGCTTGGATGTCTGGTGGTATGTACAACTGCATGCTTAAGTAACAGACGTTACACTGCCCTTCAAAACTAATAGCCTTCCGAATATGGCTTCCATTGGTAGCAAATATGCATTGCTTTATGTTAATAACCAATATATGTTTAGAAACATGCATACAATTGAAATCATAATACAAGAACCTGTTGATATATGTCTGATGCAATAAAATTAAGACACCAACCAAAAAACCAGTAACTCAGCAATAGCAGCCTATACAAGAAAAGCTTTCAGTTATAAGCCAAGGAGAAGAAATGGTTTAGTGACACTAACTTGTTAGGATACCTTGTTCAGAGACATCATCTCTGAATACCAGTTAATGGAGGCAAACAGCAAAGGAAGTCTATTGCTTTGGGGCCTGCTAGAATCATCAGGGTGGCCACTAATGGAAACGAGGCGCCTGATTTGATAGCTTGTCTTCATTTCTCATATTTAGTAATTCGTCTAGAATGCAGATACAACCAATAAGGGACTGGAAAGCGTTTTTAGTGGGGAGGATCTGATGGTGTAAGGAATTCAACTTGGGGGCAGTTTGGCAGCTAACTCCACCTGAGAGAGGTCAATTTGATTATCTGTTTTCATCTTGTTTTCATAATTGGTTTGGAATTGCTCCGGAATATCTCAGTAATAGTACCAGTCGTGCCACATCTGTGTCTTACCCATTTGAATTTTCCCCCCTTCAGTGCAGCTTTCACTGGATAGTTAATGAAATATTTAGAAGAAGAGTGACCTTTTAATAATGGGTATGGGGAAGGGAGGAATGAGTGGCTAATCTAAATTATGAATTTATAAAGCCAGAGTGGCTTAGTAATTATTAGCTTGTGATCAAGTGCCAAAGTGAAGTATTAATTCTTCAGCCCTAAACAAGTTACTTCCCTGCGAGTTCCACAATATGAATTTATCATGTAAGATTTGGAGTACATTTAGAGAGGCAAACTCTCTAAATGGGAGATTTGTTATGTTTATATGGCTCCTCTTCTTTGCTGAATTCAATCTAGAGAATATTTCCTCCCCCATTTTTATAAATTAAAAGGCTACTTGCTGCATTGAGCCCTGGATTTCAGCAACTTTGGCAAGGTCCAAGGGGCAGCCATATGGCATTCTGACAGAGGACGGTATAATATCAAGCTAACTTATATGTACAATTTGGAAACAGATCTACAAGTATTGCCGGAAGTAGGTCAGAATAGAATGGAGAGAACTGCCTTTAACTCTTTCATTATGCGTGGTTCCAAGTGTCAATTTAAAAGCTTTCCTACAATTTTCTAACTAGCTAGTACATGAGCCTCTTGCAGGTTTCCTGTTAAAGTCAAACTGCTTTGGCATCTTGGGGACAAAATCATTTTACTATGGAAGTAATAAAGCCATCGTGCATAAATTCCAAATTCTCCCATGTAAATCAGGAACCTTGTGCAAGTAGTGCAGTGTTGCTCTGCTTTATTTCAGGTGAATCTCCCTTTCACTGCAGCCCACAAAGTTCCCTATCTAGATTTTGATGAAGATTTTGGGGGCATAGGTGGGGGAAGTACATGTGCGTAGGTGGGGAGGGACAGGGAAATATAGTATGAGCTGCTTTTCCACTCCTTCAATTCTGGATACTACCTGATACTGATAATTTTGTCCCACTCATCAAATTTACCAATATTCGTCTCTTCATCTCTTTGCAGCTTGGAGATTTTCCTGATTAAGAAGGAAGTGGGACCTTCGTGGCCAGAACTGATTGTTGGTGACTCTCGGGGAGAATATGTCATGGATCCAGCCAAGAGTGCCGCAATAGCTGAACGTCTGACGCATCTAACCTCTGATGAAATGGTAAAGTGCTGATCAAAGAGAACTCTTTTGATTCTAAGAGGGAAATCAGTCTTATCATATTGCAGCAGAATCTTTAAGTCAATCTCACTGAAGCGAGTCCCGTAAGTCAATGTAACTTACTACCTAGCACACATGTGGATGGACAACCTGCAGCCCTCTGCTGGTGCCCCTGACCGCTGCTAAATTTCACTAGCTGAAGGCTGAGAGGACTGCAGCTGCAACGGGGATCGGGGGGAGGCACACAGGAAGAGTCACCCCTTTCTGCCTTTTCTCTGCTGTAAAGTCGGGGTCCGCAAGGGCCCTGTGGGAGGTTTGGCTTGGGGCATTTCCCCCTTCCTAGCTGGAATCTCTGCCCCTGGTTGCCCAGTGGGACCCTAGGCATTCAAAATTGACTGACACTCATGGTGGGCGTTTGTTTAGCAGTTGTGTGGTTTGTCCTGAAAGCTCTGAACAACTGTTTGGCGGGTTGGGAGGAGTGCTTCTCTCTCTCTCGGGTCTGTCCTTCAGTCCAGTGGGGAGAGATTGTGTGTGTGTGTGAGAGAGAGAGACAGAGAGAGAAAGTTTGTATGCATGTGTATACGTTCACGAGATGTGGCCCTTGAACACCCATCTACTGTTGACCTTGACGCTTGGAGCAAACCAGGACAAGGTTGTTATGATGAACAGTTAAACTGCTAAAAACACCAATGCTACATTGAGTTCCCACTCCTTGGGTGGGTATCATAGTTGTGCTTCCCACCCCAATCTCCAGTGGCAGATCAACAATGTGGGGTGCTGGTGGGAACACTTGACAGCATCCATTTGCATAATTATATGTTACGGCCAAAGCTGGGGTAGCTTTCAGTTTTCAGCAACCCCAACACATTTCTTATCGCATCTAGTTCGACCCACAAACGCTTGGTAAAGCGGGGCTCACTTCTGCCTGTATCTGAATTGGTGATAGGGTGGTATGGTACAGCAATGGATGCATAGACGTATTTAGCTCTGAGAAGCCTGCACTGATTTCACTGTTGAAAGACTCGTGTATAGGCAGGTGGTTGGGCTGTGTGGTGGCTGACCATATTATGGCTCAGTTGTTACCTTGATGATGGTACTTTCTTCAGTAGTTTATTTACTTCCTCAAAAGAGAGAGAGAGAGATGACAACAGTAATTTAAAGCATCCGTTTCCAAGGCTCTAGGCTCTGCTATCACAGCCATTAGAGTAGCGTCCCAGGGCACCTTTCAAAGGCTAACAAATGCCTTGTGACGCTAAGCTTTTGTGGGTTGAAGCTCTTTTCAACAGCTTCAGATGGTACTGAGATAGCCTGCCTTCCGATATTTCACAGCTGATAATAGGGGCATTTTTTGTCCAAGATCCTTATTTCCATGCACTACTTGTCTCTTCCACATCCAGGGAGGCACAGGAGGAGTCAGGTACACATAGCTTATCTATGAACATGAGTCTAGGAAGTACATCAGGAACAGAAATCTGTACATGGTGTTACTTGAACAAGAAAAGCCAACACCCATGTTTTCAAATCTATTCCTTCTTCACACACAGGCATGCATATAAAGGGAAGTTTTTTTTAAAAAAAAATCTTTATTTATTTTGACTGAAAGTTTGATAATGTGCTACAAATTCATAGGAAGTGATATTGAGTATGCTTTTTGTGTGAGATGTATCTTCATATATGTTATAATGTTTCAACTTAATCTTCTAGGATTCAAAATATTCTTGGAAACAACTGAGATGCTGTAGTGCGTTATTTGTGCTACAATAATGTGCAAACTTTTGAGCCAGTCTTGAGCTAGACCTCTTCATAATAGCCAGTGTTTCATGAATGAGCTTTTATGTGGCAGCACCTGTAGTGGGCACACTCTCCCCACTGATATGTGTTGTCTATCTTACGTTTTCAACGCATGCTAAAGACTTTCAGCTAAACCTTCCTAGAGTAGCTGTTGGTCATGCATTTTATTCTATCTTATGAGTCACTGGAAGATTCGAATAATTGTGGGATCTTTTGCCTCAACCCCAAGGCCTGTCTAAAAGTCAGGTAGTTGTTTATTTCCTTGACATCTGATGGGAGGGCGTTCCACAGGGCAGGTGCCACTGCCGAGAAGGCCTTCTGCCTGGTTCCCTGTAACCTCACATCTTGCAGTGAGGGAACTGCCAGAAGGCCCTCAGTGCTGGACCTCAGTGTCTGGGCTGAATGATGAGAGTGGAGATGTTCCTTCACGTATACTGAGGCAACACTTTTGAGCAGGCATAGGCAAACTTGGCCCTTCAGATGTTTTGGGACTACAACTCCCATCATCCCTAGCTAACAGGACCAGCGGTCAGGGATGATGGGAATTGTAGTCTCAAAACAACTCGAGGGCCGAGTTTGCTTTTGAGGCAACACTTGCCTGCCTTCCCCTTCTGTGCTGCCTTTTCCTTCTCTGTCTGTTTCTCTCTGCTGCCTTCACTTTCCCTCTGTATCCAATCTCCCTCACCTGCTTGTTTCTATGTTTCACTGGGCTGCTCCACTTAACCTGTTCTCCAAAATTTCCTTTCTTGGTACCTGTTATTGATGCTCCACTAGCTGCCCTTTGGTCCTCTGGCTGGTTGAATGTTTCTTCCTTCACCGCCACATTGCCCTGACACTTCTGATCCTCCCAGTTCTCCTTCTGGGCAGATCACGGAGCTGATACCATTACAATGCCTCCAGCAGCAGTTTTTATTTTGGTTGTTGTCATTGTATATATATATGATCCTTTTGTACACCGCTTCAAGGTTTTTTGGATGTTAGGCTGTCTACAGAGATTTTTAATAATAATCTAAAAAAAGCAAACTGTTGTACCTGCAAAAAAAATTCTTGGTAAAGAAGATATATTACCTTTATTATATTTTTAAAGAGTGGAAAATTTGCCTAGTTCATTCACAAATCAAATGCATGGCAAGAAACGTACCTCATTAGGTTGCACAAAGCAACTTTTCATACCCGTCAGCAAGGGAATAATTAGACAAGCCACTTTTTTCTTAAAATACTCTTTCGTATAATTGTATCACATAAGTGGCAGGCATTATCATACTGGAGGAATCTGTACAGGCCTTGATTTTGTAACAAATAGACTGATTAAGAATTACGTGTTTAAAACTGGGTCCAGTCAGCTGAAATTAGCCAGCCATTACTGTCTCCATCACCAATGCCATCCCCACACGTACTAACTACCTACCAAGAAGATAGGGGTGGGAAGGGGAATTTCACACGGTAGTCTTTGGGCTTTGAAATCTCAGCCCCACCAAAAGAAAAGAAGAAGCCGGATGAAACAATAAATGGTATGAGAAAATGTTCTCTTGAGGATGATTTGTACCTGAAAAAATTATTTGGACTGTTACTGTTTAAGTAGCTTACTGGGAAATTTTAAAACTTTAAATCCTAGAAATATTTCTGTATATTGCCTGCTGGAACACAATGTTAGTACCAGTAAACACCACAGGAATTGTGTGTGTGTGTGTGTGTGTGTGTGTGTGTGTGTTTTCAGAACAAAAAGCATACTGTACAGTGGTACCTCGGGTTAAGAACTTAATTCATTCTGGAGGTCCGTTCTTAACCTGAAATTGTTCTTAACCTGAGGTACCACTTTAGCTAGTGGGGTCTCCCGCTGCCCCCGCCTCATCCTGAACAAAGTTCTTAACCTGAGGTACTATTTCTGGGTTAGTGGAGTCTGTAACCTGAGGCGTCTGCAACCCAAGGTACCACTGTAATTAAAATTGTTTTGTTTGTGAGAATGGTACAGAACGGCCATCAATTAAATATGTGTTAACTTTTTAGAAACAAATTAATAGTGAATCATATTTTTAAATGCAGTGCACCATTTATTTCATTTTGTGCTGCACATACTGTGCCTGGAGAACAATTAAACAGTTCACAATAGTAAGACCATTAAACAGCTAAAATGTGAAATGTCAGATCTATGCTTTTGTTCACTCTCTTAACTTATAATATGCATTTGTTTCAGTATCCCTCCACCCAAAAAAACCACTCCCAAACCCCAAGTCTATATATGCAAGGCTATAATAACTTTGCTGCAATTCTATTCAAGATTTGTTTGTGTTTTAGGAAATCCCAATAACTTTGTATGACCTATTTAGGACCAAGCATGTTTTGACTTGGATTGCAGAACCCCCTGCACCTGAAGAATCATTTAAAAGTTACCAAGAGAAAATACAGAGAAGATGCTGCTGCGATGCCGCTGTTGAGAAGGTGTCATTGCCTCATTGCGGCAGCTGCTCCTGAAGTCAGATGTTCATAGCTCAAATTATAATCAATAGGATTAAATGCTGCTCCCTGTGCTCAAGTCACTCAAATCCCCTTCATTTTCAGCCCTAACCTTCATAATCATTTCCTAAGCACCCCACCTTGCTCTGGATTTTACAGAGTGAACTTTCCTAATCCCAGGTTTTGAGTGTGTAATTCTGTTAGGGCGGGAGGCAGCATCCTCTCAAGGTTCCATGCATCGTGGTGCGTTATCTCAGGTTTCAGTACAGCGGTGGAACTACGATAAAATTCTGTTTCTTATCTTGGTTATGAAAGAATCTCTCATCCCAGCTCTGAAGAAGCCTGTGATGATTGACATCCACTATGGCGATAATCCTTGAAAGCAAGAATCTTTAAATAGATTGATTAGCCCGGTGGAAAAACAAATGCACCTTTCAGAGTAATTATTCAGACATGGTGCAGGCATAATACTTAACAAGCCATGGTTAGTTTTTAACCTTGTTTACCAACCCTATTATAGGGACGCGGGTGGCGCTGTGCGTTAAACCACAGAGCCTAGGACTTGCCGATCAGAAGGTTGGCGGTTCGAATCCCCGCAACGGCGTGAGCTCCCATTGCTCGGTCCCTGCTCCTGCCAACCTAGCAGTTTGAAAGCACAGTGCAAGTAGATAGATAGGTACCTGTTATGCCTATCAGCTTGGTTGCTCGAGAGCGAACAGGCAAGAGCCCCAGTGGTCTTTTCAAAGGCTTTATTATTGGTGCAAAAACATTTACAGTGCAGAACGCCTCAATTCCATGTCTTGCTCAGTCACTAGCAGAATCTGAGAGTGGGCGGTCCTTAAACTTTCCCCAGCAGAGTAGTCTCTTGACCCCCATCTGACGCCTCCCCTCTCTGCGCGAAAACCTACTGTGCAAGGAGGGCTTGGGTAAAGGGGGACCTGCCCCCCCCCCGCTTTGCTCATGCACGGTGTCTTGGCTCTTCCTTGCATCCTCCGAGCCCTGCATCTCTTCCCCACTAGAGGCGGGGCTTCCCTCCTCAGCTGAGGAAGTGCTGCTTTCCACGATCTTTGGAGGCTCCCTGTAATCCAGCTGCCCTTCCACCTCTCGTCTCTGAGCTGATGGCAGTTCCCTGACAGTACCGCTCCTGTGGGAAGGTAAACGGCTTTTCTGTGCACTGCTCTGGTTCGCCAGAAGCGGCTTAGTCATGCTGGCAACATTACCCGGAAGCTGTATGCCGGCTCCCTTGGCCAGTAAAGCGAGATGAGCACCGCAACCCCAGAGTCGGCCACGACTGGACCTAATGGTCAGGGGTCCCTTTACCTTTACCTTACCAACGCTATTTAAGATCCCAAGCATACTATGGAGATAAAGTTTAGCTCAGCCTTTGCCAACCTGGCGCCCTCCAGATGTTTGAGATGACAGGGTCGTGCCTGCTAGGGTTGATAGGAATTGTCACCCAAAACTTCTGGATAGCAATAGATCGGTAAAAGCTGATTAGCTTGTCAAGCTAAGTCTATTGGAATTTGACCTTTAATCTAGTCGTGCTGCTTTAGTGACAATGGAATCTGCTGCTTTCCTTTTCTGGTTTCTTTTTCTTCTTTTTTTAAAGAGCGTTTCCCCTAACAAATGAGTCATTTAAATTTCAAAGATTTTAATATTAAAAACATTTCAGAAGTCTCAATGTAAGAACCTCAGATTCATATTTTTTTGCCTTTATAACTATAGTGGTACCTCGGGTTACATATGCTTCAGGTTACATACGCTTCAAGTTACAGACTCCGCTAACCCAGAAATAGTTCTTCAGGTTAAGAACTTTGCTTCAGGATGAGAACAGAAATCGTTCTCCGGCGGCGCAGCAGCAGGAGGAGGCCCCATTAGCTAACGTGGTGCTTCAGGTTAAGAACAGTTTCAGGTTAAGTACGGACCTCCGGAACGAATTAAGTACTTAACCCGAGGTACCACTGTATCTAGGAAACCGTGGTTGAAATCTGTTACATATCCTTCACATTGTTTCACTCGGGGGCGGGGGGAGGAGAGAAAAACCTAATGTTGGATTCATAATACCTTTGACCAAGGTTTCACTTCTGTGAACCATAAAAATTTAGACATGGAAAATGTTTGGTCTTGTGAATTAAAAGCAATGAATCTAGGGCAAATGGTTTCTGCGCTGCTGAGCATTATTTCTCAGCAGAGGCCCTGCATCCCAGTAGCTAGTCTAGTGTATTAAAATAATAAGGAAAATGGTATAGTGTTGCTTTTCCTAAGCATATCTTCCAAATTCTGTTTAAACTGTCAAACACATCCTGAAAAAAATTCTATTCCACCAGGCTTATGCCTGCAATTAAAAATACATCTTTCCATGATAGTTGATGAACTCTGATTTTATACACACACACACACACAAAATCGCTTTCATATTTTTAAATGATATATATATAAAATATTCATATATGGATAAAAGTAAATTCTGCTCTCAGCTTTTGATTTGCTCTTTCTAGTCTCAGTCAAGTGTTTATCCCCTTTAAGAGAAATCAGTTTTCATTTGGGAGTAACTGAGAATGGTGCAGCAAGCCCTCTTCCAGTAAATGCAAGTTTCTCAGTAAGTCAATATCCTCTTTTATCTCTTTGTATTTCTTTAGAATACTTCTTGTTGTTGTTGTTTAGTCATTTAGTCATGTCCGACTCTTCGTGAGCCCATGGACCAGAGCACGCCAGGCACTTCTGTCTTCCACTGCCTCCCGCAGTTTGGTCAGGCTCATGTTTGTAGCTTCGAGAACACTGTCCAACCATCTCGTCCTCTGTCGTCCCCTTCTCCTTGTGCCCTCAATCTTTCCCAACATCAGGGTCTTTTCCAGGGAGTCTTCTCTCTCATGAGGTGGCCAAAGTATTGGAGTCTCAGCTTCACGATCTGTCCTTCCAGTGAGCACTCAGGGCTAATTTCCTTCAGAATGGAGAGGTTTGATCTTCTTGCAGTCCATGGGACTCTCAAGAGTCTCCTCCAGCACCATAATTCAAAAGCATCAATTCTTCGGCGATCAGCCTTCTTTATGGTCCAGCTCTCACTTCCATACATCACTACTGCGAAAACCATGGCTTTATACGGACCTTTGTTGGCAAGGTGATGTCTCTGCTTTTTAAGATGCTGTCTAGGTTTGCCATCGCCTTTCTCCCAAGGAGCAGGCGTCTTTTAATTTCGTGACTGCTGTCACCATCTGCAGCGATCATGGAGCCCAAGAAAGTAAAATCTCTCACTGCCTCCATTTCTTCCCCTTCTATTTGCCAGGAGGTGATAGGCCCAGTGGCCATGATCTTCGGTTTTTTGATGTTGAGCTTCAGACCGTATTTTGCACTCTCCTCTTTCACCCTCATTAAAAGGTTCTTTAATTCCTCCTCACTTTCTGCCATCAAGGTTGTGTCATCTGCATATCTGAGGTTGTTGATATTTCTTCCGGCGATCTTAATTCTGGCTTAGGATTCATCCAGCCCAGCCTTTCGCATGATGAATTCTGCATATAAGTTAAATAAGCAGGGAGACAATATACAGCCTTGCCGTACTCCTTTCCCAATTTTGAACCAATCAGTTGTTCCATAGCCAGTTCTAACTGTAGTTTCTTGTCCCACATAGAGATTTCTCAGGAGACAGATGAGGTGATCAGGCACTCCCATTTCTTTGAGAACTTGCCATAGTTTGCTGTGGTCGACACAGTCAAAGGCTTTTGCATAGTCAATGAAGCAGAAGTAGATGTCTTTCTGGAACTCTCTAGCTTTCTCAGTAATCCAGCGCATGTTTGCAATTTGGTCTCTGGTTCCTCTGCCCCTTCGAAATCCAGCTTACACTTCTGGGACTCGGTCCACATACTGCTTAAGCCTGCCTTGTAGAATTTTAAGCATAACCTACATCCTGCTTTATACGCCCAAGAAGCTCTCCAATGCTATTTAGCAAAAAAACAAAATTCAAAAATCAAAATTGCACTCAAATTGAGTTCAGGAACAAAGAATATATGGTGTCCATATGGAACCTGGATAGTTTTCCTTCTGGCATTCCTGTGCTTAAAGATCAAGATTCCTGGCTTGTTTACATGACCCTTGAATATTCAGTCAAGGGTAGCATGGCAACTGGCAAATTGCAAACAACTCCAGGGAACTAATTTTTATTCATCTTGCCTGTTCATGAACAAGCTAAAATGTCGGCTTTTCTTGTTACCCATTTTTGTCAGCTTCCAAAGTGAATGCATTGCTGGAGCATATAAACGCCAACCCAACTTAAAATTCTCAAGCCGATTTGTTATATTCCTCATTCATTTTACAGTTGATTTGACCTCTGCCTGTGGCAGTATTGCTCATTTACACAATGCAATATTTGTTCCCGGTTCACAAATTGCTTTATCGTCTTACTTGTCCTTGCGTCGGGCCTGTGCGTGTGGTTTTTCCGTTGTACGCCCTAGAAGTCATAGAAGCCTCCCACTCTGAGCAGTTGTGATTTCAAAGATTCACTGGGAGCACTGGGTAATTTGTGTTCAGTGCCTCCATAGTGAAAATAGTGTCCTTGAAACTTGTGATAGAATCATAGAATTGTAGAGTTCGAAGGGACCATGAGGATCATCTAGTCCAACCCCCTGTAATGTAGGAATATGCAGCTGTCCCTTATGGGAATTGAACCTGCAACCTTGGCATTCTTAGCACCATGCTTTTGTTAGAATTCCTAATCTATAATTGCAGTCATAGGATTGTTGTCTTTCACATGACGGTATATGTTTTGACTCCACAAAGTGGGAAGTGACGGAGACAGGATGTTTGTGTTACTGTGTTCCGTGAAGTGGGACTATTGTCCTTTGTTCCTTTTCTCTTTGCTGTCTGATGCTAGAGAGAGAGGGAGCCATGTTGCAGTACTCCGTGTGTGTTTATATGTAAATAAAGTAGATTAGCCAATATGCTGGGTTGCTGACGTCTGTTACGCGCATGATGCGCAAACTCTGCGGATCTATAAGTGTGCCGGTGTCAGTTGGCATCAGTCGCTGCGATGTTCGGGCTGAAGAAAGCTGATGAAGCTCCCAAATGATCGACCAGGAGGGAGAGAACATGCCAGTCGGGCATGTGTCTCTTCCAGGGTCCTACTTGAGTGTAGGCTGAACTCCTAACAGCTCTAACCAACTGAGCTATCCAGGCAGCATAGCTGTTACATTTTCTTGTGCTAAAGGCACATTCAAATATGTACAGCTAGCATGTTATGTGAAGAATTAATTGCTGTTTCAGCTGCGGTACGCACTATTCCAACAGTTCAAGAAGACCTTGTTTGAACTACGTTTGAAATATTTTATACAGTACATATTGTATTGCATTCGTGGGTATTTGCGCTTCAAGACCCCCCAAGCCACCCCAGAAGAATAAAGACACAAGGACACAGAATTTAGGTTAATGTTAATGGGCAAAATTTAGGCCACAACTTTATTGGTTACAAAATGTGTGTGGTATTGGCTTAGGCACTGGCATCAACAGACTACAGTGGCACCTCGGGTTACATACACTTCAGATTACAGACGCTTGAGGTTACAGACTCCGCTAACCCAAAAATAGTACCTCAGGTTAAGATCTTTGCTTCAGGATGAGAACAGAAATCGTGCTCTGGCGGCATGGCAGCAGCAGGAGGCCCCCATTAGCTAAAGTGGTGCTTCAGGTTAAGAACAGTTTCAGGTTAAGAACGGACCTCCGGAACGAATGAAGTGCCATATTTTTCGCCCTATAAGACGCACCAGACCACAAGATGCACCTAGTTTTTGGAGGAGGAAAACAAGAAAAAAAAATTGTGAATCTTAGAAGCCAGAACAACAAGAGGGATCGCTGCGCAGTGAAAGCAGCAATCCCTCTTGCTGTTCTGGCTTCTGGGATAGCTGCGCAGCCTGCATTCGCTCCATAAGACGCACACGCATTTCCCCTTACTTTTTAGGAAGGAAAAAGTGAGTCTTATAGAGCAAAAAATACGGTACTTAGCCCGAGGTACCACTGTATATCTGACTCCTGCCCGCCTTGCAGGAAGTCTGGAAGGGTAAACCACCAGCAGGGGGAGCCCCGTTGATGCAGATCAAGTCGAGCCCCCCTGGGTTCCTCCTGGGGTCGTGGCATGGCCCTAGCTTGTTTGAACTACCTTTGAAATATTTGATACAGTACATATTGTATTGCATTAGTGGCTATTTATCATATTAGTTTTACTGTGTGGCTATTTTCTCCACTCACCCATTTTTCAGTATGCCCTTGGAATGCCTAAAAATCTAAATAATATTATTTTTTCATTTAGAATCCAGACCCTAACAAAGAGAACCCTCCGTGCAATGCCCAGGAGCTGGAAGAATGCGACATTTTCCTCGAAGACAGCACAAGTCTGTGCAGATTTGATGGTAACACCTTCAATGTCACCCATGTGGTAAGCATAAGATAATAATCTTGATAATAAGCATTTCTTAATTGCTTGCCTACCGGCAGAGAACTGGATTGCATTGTCTGATATTATTAGTCCTCCACCACCTACCTGCCAGGCCTGGACTCCGCTCATCAGGAAAGATGATCTTCGAACAGGCTCAACACGTAGTTTGGTCTGTGTTGTAGAATAACGTAATGTACATGCAAGTTGTGTAAGGGATACTAAAAGGCAGATTGTCCTTGAATATAAAGACACTGCTTGCGGCATTGTCCTCTCTTAGCTACTATGTTTTGTTCCGTTGTAAAGCATATTGGTAAGTTTCTCCTTATTTCTGTGTACAAGATTTGAAAAACTTACCATTCTGAAAATTTATTTATTTGCATAGTTTATATACTGCACATTCCGTGTAGGTTTATGGTCTCAGGGGCCTGAAAGTGGTTGGTGCTGTTTGTGGCAGGGAGGTGAATGGGAGAGAGAGAGAGAGAGAGAAAGAGAGGCCAAGCCTTTCATCCCTCTGCAAAGGGGAGAGAAGGGCGAAAAAGCTTATTCCTAGCTTTACTGCTACGCAAGTCGTATTGATGCATCTGGCAGCTTCTCTGCTACAATTGTTTTAACTGTTTATAATGGATGTGTGTGTGTGTGTGTGTGTGTGTGTGTGTGTGGTGGTGATGATGATGATCGGGGGCGAGATGTGCCTGGGAGGGGAGGAGCTGGAGAGAGCAGGGGGGTCATTTGCCGTGGTTTAGGGTAGGGCAGGCTTCCTCAACCTCGGCCCTCCAGATGTTTTTGGCCTACAACTCCCATGATCCCTAGCTACCAGGGCCAGTGGTCAGGGATGCTGGGAATTTTAGTCTCAAAACATCTGGAGGCCTGAGATTGAGGAAGCCTGGGATAGGGGCAGGTAGGGAAGGCCAGGTAAAGGGCATATGACACAGGCACTTAATGGCTGTGCCATGTGCCAACCCAACCACCTGGGGAATTGTGGTTGTCCTATCAGCCAGCCGTGGGGCCTGCAGCTGCTGCTGTTGAATGTCAGGTCAGCTCTGAATAAGATCTCCCTCATCCATGATCCTGATTGTGGATGAGTTTGCTGATCTGGTCTATATTACTGAAACCTGGGTGAGTGAGCAGAGTGAAAAATATATAGAAGAAGTCAAAGCAGCTGTAGAATTGGGGGCTGGCATAACCTGTTTTACCTGTCCCTTCTCGCTATAGGCTCCCCCATTCAGCCTGATTTGGTGGAGCATTTGGGGCATCCTAATGGAGATGGATGATAGGGGAATTAGCTTAACCTTCCATCCAACCCTTTATGTTTATTTCATTGGTTGAATTTATGGCACAGGTTTCCACACTGGACTTCTTAAAACAGCTTTTGCATCAAGTCTTTGTAGGAAGCATTCAGAATGGCTATTAGCTGATCTTTGAGTTTTAGCAGTGATTTAGCATTTGAAGTCGCCGATGACGAGATCCCATTTCCAGATGCTAGATATACAAATCTGTTTTTTTAAAAAAATATGTATATATCATGTATCAGTTCTTCTGTTATCACTTCAAACACTAACTTAAGGAGAGACAAAGTCATATTTTTGATCTCATTGGCAAACTTACTATCTCCTACATCATGCCAAGATATGGCATATGCCCCCCCTGCTTCCTCCAAGATTGAAAATTCTCAGAGATAGTAAGGCAATTCTTTATTTTTATGGGCTGTTACTTTTCTGGGATTTGCTACTTTATGCCTTGGCCAATGGAGCCATGCATCTTCCCTTTATTAGCATTATTTATCTGCTTACCGCCAGTCTCAAGATATGAGCTCAACCCGTCAAGTTATCTGTCTTTCATTCACTTTAGCTGCTCTTGAAGAGGATTTTCTTTTCCTTCTCTTTCTTGACTCCTTTTGTCCAGGGCAAGTAGTGCACCTTTACACCCCAGTACTTTAGAGATGTACCGCTTTCAGGAAATTAATCAGTCTTTTGTGCACTATTAGGTTCGAAGTTTTCTAAATAAAGTAGATTTGATAAATAAAGTAGATTTGATGTCCGCAGTTCTTTGTATAATAGTCCATTGTAATATCGTTCTTCTAATTTTGATTTTTCAGTGCACTTTCTCTCCTCCTTTATTAAATAGTCGCGTGTGAAGATAACAGCTCATCTTGTTTGCATCTAAGCCAAAAGGTTGCTGCCATTCATTATTTAAAAAACAAAAAAACTCGTAGAAATCACTTCACTGTGACAGCAAAAGAGGAGTGCTAGCATAGATAACAAGCAGTGAATACATGTTCATGAGAAAGGCAAACTCCCCTTTATGCAGTTGTATCAAATAATTACCAGTTGGCAACCAAAGAAGACAGTTCAATGCAAATGGTTTTGTACTTAATGCCTGTTTGTCACATTTGCTCCTTTTGAGCAGGATGCATACAGTTGGTTACTACTGAAACTAGATGGGCAAGACACTGGTATGTAATTATGCCATTTTCTGTGGGGAGAGTAGGAACAAAACTAGAAAACTGCTAGCACATTTGCAAAGCTAAGCAGGGTCTGGTATGGTTTCAAAATGCACATTTTCCTTCCAGAAATAATCCCTAGGAATAGAAAAGCATGCACTACAGTGTTAGCCTGAACAATTTGCATTCTTCAAGCTGATCTATCTTCCACCCAAAGACATGGCAGAACTTAAACTTCTTTCACTAGTATGGGGTGATAAATGCATATGAGAAATAAGCACAATGTTTGTCTTGCTAGATCAGACCAGAGATGATTTAATCCAGCACTCTGTTGGCCAGCCAGACACTGATGAGCAACATACAATGAATATAACTTCCTGTTTGTCTGTATCATCTAGCAACTGGAAGTAATGCTCTGCTAAATCATGCTGTTTCATTTTGTAGTCATTGTGGCCAATAGGTGCTGGAAATGTGCTTCTTGAATTTTTCTAGCCCTTGTATGTTTTTGTGTCGTCATTTCCCCCCACCCCCAAAGCTCAACCCCACAACATGGTTCTTTTACTTTTTCTTGCTTCTATGATTGGGGTGGTGTGCTTTTTTTCTTTCAATTTCATTTGCTTTTGTTTCTGTGTGTCCATTTGCCACTTGGAGGGCGTATATAGTATTTGGAACAACATCCCCATAGAGATTGGTTGTCTGAGATCAGGTGCCACTCAGCTCCTTTTGCCTCCCTCTATAGAGCAGGCATATTCAACAGGTAGATCATGATCTACTGGTAGATCACTGGACATCTGCGGTAGATCACTGGTAGATCATTGGCTCCCCCCAAAGAAGCTGAACAATTGTGGCTCCCCTAAAAAAAGCTCAACATTTTACGTCCTCCCTGAAAAACTCAACAACTTTGACCCGACCCCCAAAATGGGCCTTCCTCCTTCCTAAAAAAAAAACCTCAAAAACTTTGACCTCAACTTCAAAAAAGGGAGTAGATCACTGCCAGTTTTTAACTCTGCGAGTAGCTTGCAGTCTTTTGGGAGTTGGTCACCGCTGCTCTAGAGCATTGCTTTAAAATAAGCTTTCACATATTGCAACTTGCCAGTCATCTATGGAAGCCCAGGAAAGGGTCAATTAGACCCTGTGTCTGCTGTCTGCCTGGGCCTGCAAAACCAAGGGCATTCTCAAGCACCTGAGAAGCCAAACCAAGCAGCTGATAGCTCATCAATCACAAACTGCCAGAAGCTTGACAATGCAGCTTATCTTGGTGGGCTTCGTTTCAACGTTCCTCTGTACCATCTCCCCGCCTCACTTGTGTGTTTTTCCATTTTAAGCATCAGCAGCCAGGTCTTGTTGCGGGCCCCAGCTCTTCATTGCAGTCGCCCCTTGCCTCAATTTTTCTAGGTGTCCACGCAGCTCATTCTGCCCGATAAAAGTTGACCTTTGGAAGCAGCAATACAAATAGACAACTTTAGCAGATAGACGTGCTGCATGAAGATTTGCCACCCCAAGGCTTATCCAAGCTCGGATCGTCTGCATTAGCTGCCCATGCTTTGAATGCTGCTTGAATCCAAGAACAGCCCTGAATGTCGGGCATTATGCATAGTTGCACAGAGGCAGCCACTGCTCAAAGCAGTCTGCATTTTACTTTGAAATTAACTGCTCTCGAGAGTATCAGTGAATTTGGAAACTTCTAATGTGATTCAGACAGGGATTCTTGGTGCAGGGTTCCTGCACAGACAGAAAAGTGCAGTTAGCTGTTGCCAGCTACTATTGATGTTAATTAACAATTAAATGTATTCTTTCTATATAAAAACAGAGATGCACATTATTTTTGCCTCTAGAATATAGGCGTGGCTGAATCTAATCAACATGCCAAATAGCATTATCTTGTTTGGGTGTGTTTAATCTTTGCATGTAAGGTAATGTAACTAGTGTTTTTTTGAGGCACAGGACTACTGTAATGTGAATTCATCTTGTCTGGCCAAAAAAAAATCCACAACCGATACATCTCTTTTGTCAGAGATGAAGGGAAATAGCTGCCATTAGTGTCTCTTTATCTTCTTTTCTGCTTCTCCTAGTAATCAATGGGTTGGTATCGACTGCTTCTATTTTCTTTTTGTGCCTCAAAAATAATTGCCATCTTGCAAACTGTAATTATTTTTTTGCAGACTAGTTTAGAATATCAGTAAGCTTGTCCTCTCTGCCTTGCGGGGGTTTTCTGTATTTTAAAATTACTGGGTAAACTAGGTGCCTTTAGCTAATTTTTGGCTGATAAATTTCAAAGCGAGCAACTCTTCTCTCCTGTCTGTTGATGAGAGAGAGGGATCTCTTTTTCTACTATCCCTTGATGCAGATTCTCTTCCCACTCCACAATATTCTGCAATCTCTTGCCCATTTGGGTCCAAGTTCTTACCTCCATAATGTACATTGAACACATGAACCAAGGCAGTCATTGACTACGCTCAGTAGTATGGTGCTGTTACTTGTGCAAAAAATTGCTTGGGCAGTCATGGTTGTGGAGAAGGACCTGGCTTTCAATCTGTTGCACGATAAGGTGAGGAGAGGTGGTCAAGAATGGTGTGTCTTGTAATCCACCAACAACTGGAGGGTCACAGTTGCTCGCTTACAGTACAGAACAAATTTCAGTTTCATAATAATAACAACAACAATATATTTATACCCCGCCCATCCGGTTGGGTTTCCCCAGCCACTCTGGGCAGCTCCCAGCGGAATACTAATAATAATGATGATGATGATGATGATGATGATAATAAAGCTATAAAACATCAAACATTAAAAACTTTCCTAAACAGAGCTGCCTTCAGATGTCTTCTAAAAGTCAGATAGTTGTTTATTTCCTTGACACAATGGAAGGGCATTCCACAGGGCGGGCGTCACCACCAAGAAGGCCCGCTGCCTGGTTCCCTGTAACTTCACTTCTCGCAGTGAGGGAACCACCAGAAGGCCTTCGGAGCTGGACCTCAGTGTCCAGGCTCAACAATGGGGGTGGAGACGCTCCTTCAGGTATACAGGGCCGAGGCCGTTTAGGGCTTTAAAGCTCATCACCAACACTTTGAATTGTGCTTGGAAATGTACTGGGAGCCAATGTAGGTACAGTGGTACCTCAGTTTAAGAACAGCTCTGTTTACAAACTATTTGGTATATGAACTCCACAAAACCAGAAGTAGTGTTCCAGTTTGTGAACTTTACCTCAGTCTACGAACGGAAGCCGAATGGTGAAAGCGCACCGGCGGCGGGAGGCCTCATTAGGGAAAGCATGCCTTGGTTTAAGAATGGACTTCCGGAACAGATTAATTTTGTAAACCGAGGTACCACTGTATTTCATTGTAGATACCCCTCCAAATGTCCAGGTCTCGGAAGTCAACAACTGCAAGATTCTATGGTTGCCTAATTCCTGACAAAAGTTATTCCATTTTAGAAACAAGAAGTTACCCACCAGTGAGAAAATATTGCTAATCTCGTGCAGTTTCCTCTCTTGTTACTCCTTAAGCCTAAAACTGATACTGCAGGGAGTGAGTTGTGTGAAGGGGGCATCACACAGTTACCAGGAGTAGCACCGTGTTGCCTGCCCTGACTTGGACATCCATGTAGACTGCTTGCCAGGAAGAAGCCTTTGCACAAATAGCTGTTCACTCAGACTTCTTCACTGCATGCAGTTGGCGTTAACTTGTGCATGCCCAGACCCTCCCAGTGTCCATTTTGAATGACAAAGAATAATCCTTGGGACCAACCTGCAGCTGCCCGGGAAAGCTAGCCGCTCTCTAACCCTCTTGTGAGCACCAGGGTGAGTGGGTAGGTGCATGTTTCAGAGGCAGCCTCATTATGGAATTTTCTCAAAAGAAGCTTGGCAGGTTGCCTCTGGTTTTATCTTTAAGTAGCAAAAAGCTTTCTGTTCCAGTAGGTGCCGGGGAGAGTAAGTGGAATTGATTTTGGAGGCTCTGTCATGTGCTGCTAGTATGCTGTTTTATGCTTTTCTGATCAGGGGCTTTTCATCTCTCTTTAGATACTGTGTTGGGCTTTTTCTTCTTCTTTTTTCTTGTGAGGTTCCCAGAAGGTTCAGGGAACCATATGGTAGTAAACAAATCTCAAAACAAATTGAATGCATGCACAAGAAACATGTCAATCCTTAAGGCTGTCTAGCAGAGAAGCATCTTTGTGTCCCGCCTCCCATCTATCCCGGGTTAATTTAATGTTTATTAGTAAGTAGCATATTTTAGCCAACCACCTCTCTGGATTGCACTTCATGACCCCTTCATATGGGCTCCAGTTGGGTAGCTTAAGGTTCCCACGTACACACAATAGAATCAGGGAAGCCAAGTTACAGGGAACCAAGCAGAGGGCCTTCTCGGTAGTGACACCCGCCCTGTGGAACGCCCTCCCACCAGATGTCAAAGAGAAAAACAATTACCAGACTTTTAGAAGACATCTGAAAGCAGCCCTGTTTAGGGAAGCTTTTAATGTTTGACGGACTATTGCATTTTAATATTTTGTTGCTCTTGTTCCCAGAGTGGCTGGGAAAACCCAGCCAGATGGGCAGGGTATAAATAAATTAATATTATTATTATTATTATTACTAAAGTAATGTATGCACTAGGTTTGCCTTATTTCATTAGGAACTATAATGAACCATGAGAATCCCAGTAAGAGAGACATCTTTTTGATCTTAACTTGTGTGGGGAGTGTGTACATTCAAAGATACTGGGTAGAAGGAGAAAAGGGCGGGGGGAGAGGGAAATAATATTAATAACAGTAATCTGTTTTGAATTAATCTATAGAGAAGCTTACGTTTCTCTACGGCCTTCCTTTCTGGTGTTCCTAACGCAGAGTTGGATTAGAAGTAATGTGGATTCAGGCATTATTTATTTAAGGGAGTCAGCATATGATATTAGAATCTGCCAGCAACGTTATTACTGCGGACAGTGCATGATGTATAGTCAAAGGGACTCTCAGAATCGTAGTAGAAATACTGATTCCCTGACCTAGAAAATCATTTCTCTGAAAACATTACCTTTCTCACTCTCTGCTGTTCATCCGTGCGGGGGTGGGGTGGGGGTGTCATCCAGCGACTGGTGGTGCTGAGATTGGGAATACAAATGTAAATGTGTAAAACGGGCAAGTCCTGATATCGGTGGCCTCACAGTTTTGCCTCTTTGCAACCAATAACGTCCAGAGAGCCTGCTTTAGAGGAGAAAACAGATGGGTCATAGTCGTGTGGCAGAGATGCTTCCGTGTGCAGAAAGATTTCTGCATGAAACCACGGAATGCTGTTGCCAGCCAGTGCATACATTACTAAGCTGGATCTGACATGGTCTAAGACAGCTTCCTCTGTTCTTAAACTAAGAAAATATTTTAAAAGGGAAAAGCAACAACCCTGAAGTAGATACTGAATTTAACAAACTAGCCCAAGAGCAGACGGGTGCTTATGCCCCCAGTTCTCTGGACTTCAGATGTTGGCTAGCCCTGCCTTTGGTTACAAGTTGTCGTCTTGGCTGAAACACCCAGATTGTTCTTTTTCTGAAAAAACAGCTGCTGGCGACGTAGCCTTTGCATCTAACGGATCTGCTTCGATCCTTCTCGGCGTGCAAAGCAGAGCAGTTTATTTTCATGCCATTAGACGCCTGAGAAGTAGGTGCTTAAATTGGCTTAAACATTATCTTTACAAAATGGGGCTGTCATGGTCCCAGACCACTCAGAGATCTAGACAGCCGTCCTTGCTGGTTTCAGGCACAGGCTGTCCTCTCTTGGCAGATCAGAGAAACCTGCTTGTCATGGGGGAATAAATAAGCCCTCTTATCTCCCGGCACCCACTGCAACATCCTCCTTCCAGAGGTAGCCTTTGCCTTCCTCTGGCTTCTCTCTTCCTCCCTGGCTCCTTCTGAGACTTAGAAGCCATCACCCCCCACCCTTGCTTAGCTGCTGCCCATCCTGACTGGTTGCTGGTTGGACTGCTTGTGAGCAAGCAGCCATTTCTTCCCCCCACATTCTCTTTTGGAAGACGTGGCACTTGTAGGTTGGTGGTTTCATTTACCGTTATAATTGTAGCTGTTGTTCAATGTATATAACAAGCCCTGGTAATTCACCAGTGGGTTTTGAGAAAAGTAGATGTCGCTGGCAGTGTTTCTAAAGGAATTTTTGAATTTCTGTTTCTTTATTTTTATTGTTGAGTAACAAACACTACATAAATATTACGATTAAGGGGGAGAAACAGGAAGCAGAGAGGTGCAAGTCATTGCTTAGATACTTAGATACTTAAACAGTAATGTCTAGCAATAGCCTTAAGTTCTACATTGATACTTGTTTTACTTCCCCGTCCTGAACGTGCCCAGTAATCTCATAGTTTAAATGGGTTCAGTCTGTCTGAAACTTAAGAATCTGAACAAATTTAAAAAGTGAAGATTATATTCAGACTGAAATGATAAATTTATTCAGCTGTGCTGTATGGTCCATTTGTTGCCTATTTAAGAGTGCAAGGCAGCGTGCATTTTGACCTCATGATGGCACAGGGAGGTAGATTATACAGTACTGTGAAATAGCCATTTGCTCATAGTCAGCCAGCAAGTTTCATGGCCGAGTGGAGATCTGAACTTCAGTGTTCCAGCTTCTAAGCCAACATGCCCCCCTGGCTGTTAGGAATAGAATTTAAGGTAATCTTTGAACCATGTGGAAGCGGTTTTGAATGGATCTAATATTGCACTAAAACATTCCTTGGTATAAGTAAACCGCCTTTCATATCTATGTCAGGGCAAGGGGATGTCACGGTCCGGTTCACGGGCGATCGAAGTCCCGGCTGGGGACTTCAGGACTGGGGGCAAGATGGTGGGGTGGGAGCAGGAACAGGGGTCCAGAAGCCAGGAGTCAGGAAGCAGAGGGTCAGAGAGCCAGGAGCCAAGGGTCTGAGGGTCAGGAAGCAAGGAGTCATGAAGTCAGGGGATCAAGGAGTCAAGGGTCCGAGGATGAAGAAGCAGGGAGTCAAGAAGCCGAGGTTCAAGGATCAGGAAGCAAGAAGCCAAACGCAGCAAGGCAGGAAGCGTGTTGCTGTGGCAAAGAGCCAAAGAGAAATGCTGACTTTATATCCCTTCCCAGCTCTTGCCATCAGGTGCTGTGAGTTACCAATCGGCCTCACCTGTGAGGCCATGCCTTGCCCCCTTCAGAACAAACCTAGGAAGGCCCCAGTCCTGCAAAGTCCTATTGGTCACAGTGCCTGGCTCCTGTATGCACACCTGAAAGGGGGGAACCAAAACTGACTAAAGCTATCCTGGTCCTCCACAGTGCATGGATATCTGCTCTATCAATTTTCTTTCGCCCCCCCTTCCCCCAGCTGCTGTGAAGCTGTTAATGCTGCATATAATCAAGCAGATAAGCTTTACATTTGTACTAAAAGAATCCCCCCCTTTTTTTTGTCTGCAGGTGAATCTTGGAAGCAACCAGTACCTCTTCTCAACGGTGGTGGATCCCAAGGAAATGCCATGCTTCTGCTTACGCCATGATGTCGATGCTCTTCTCTGGCAGCCACGCCCAGATCAGCAGGACAAATGGGAGCACATTTCAACTTTCAATGCCTTAGGTATGGGAGGGAGGCTTTTTGAAATGGCATTTCTCTTCCTTATAAAGCTGTGGTCCATAACTCTTCCAACACTGCCATGCAGTATCTCTGATCTCATCCATAACAGAGCTCTCTGTCTTTCAAAACTCGGTTGATAAATCGCAGCATCTTGGAAAGTAACTAAACGCTAAGCTGACTTCCGTAATGACTTAAAAGGGAATAAGCAACCAACTGACAATGGGGAAAAAATCAGTATAATCTTAATTACTGCCTCCTCATCATAGCCAACTAATTGAGAATGGAGATCTCTAAAATCTTAATTACTATCTCATCAGCAAGCCAAGTTTCTTCAGAATTAAATAGAAATTAGTTTTATGGATGAAGGGTTCTACAGTGCCATCTGGAGAACACAAATAGATTCTATGTCCACAGATAAAAAACATATTTCAGGATTGTGTGCAGTTAAGTTGTAGGTAGACCCAATGGGTCTAAGTTAGTCATGGCCATTAATTTCTGTGGGCCTGCTCTCAGGAGAACTTAGTTCGAGACAACTCCCAGAACAAATTTGAGGATCAATTCCAAGTTAATTGCTCCAGAGTGGGGGGAAATCCATAAAAAAATTCCAGGCATGCACTGACTTGAGTGGATTTCACTGAGCACACTACTGGCAAAAGGAGTGCTGTAGTATTGCCCATCTTACATCCTTTAGAAGATTCCAATTCAGGATTGTGTTGATGTAAAAAATACAACAACACTTTAGGGTTTGAGTTTTTTTAGCTGGCAGTCCCATGTTTTTATTCTTCAGTGTGGAAAATAACAGGGAATTCTAAAGCATTTTGGCTTTAATCATCCCATAATTTTTAATGAATAACACTTTGTGGCGAATTTCCACATCTTTGGGCCACTTCATACACTGAATTTTTCAGAGACCGGTATATTTCCCATTTCTACACATATGACTGACTGTATTTAAAAGTGTCCCTTTCTGTTCCAAAAGAGGTTGGCTCTAACTTTGGGATTTGTTTGCTTTGCGTTGAACAGCAATGTGCTGTGTTATACCACAGTCTGTGGGAGGGATTCACCTTAGGAGTCCCTTGCTCAGGGACAATGACATATTCTCATCCCCCCGTTGCCCCCCAGATTGGCTGAGGCAGGGTCAAAAGAACCCTCAGATCAGCGCATGGGAAGAAGGGGGGGGTAGTTCCATCTGGCAAGCTAAAACATTTATCCAGACAGAGCATTTGTAATGGAGCAAGACTGAATTCCACCCTGTGTTTTGAAAGTTTCAGCTATGGCGTTTAGTATAGAGGTTGGGTGGTCCCAAAACAAGTCCAGGCCTGTCTCACACACTCCACTGTCTCTCAAGGCAGACGGATGTCAACAGCAGCAGCAGCAGCACAAGCTCCCATCAACCCTAACTGGCATGCCCAATGGTCAGGGATGATGGGAGTCAGGCCTCCCATATCAGGAAAACACATTTGCCCCAGCTGCAATTCTGAACAGTTTCAAAGGAGCCACACCCAAATGGAGGGCAATCCAGTAGTCTATTCCTGAGGATACAGGGCATAGAAGATGCTTGCATCCGAAAGAAATACTTGCCAATATATATTTTTGCATCTTCTTTCTTTAAAAGAAAAGAAAACTCTGTGGTTGACCTCTATTTGAGACCTCTATTTGAGAGAGGATGTAGCATATCTAAAATACAGTGGTACCTCGGGTTAAGTACTTAATTCATTCTGGAGGTCCGTTCTTAACCTGAAACTGTTCTTAACCTGAAGCACCACTTTAGCTAATGGGGCCTCCTGCTGCTGCCATGCCGCCAGAGCATGATTTCTGTTCTCATCCTGAAGCAAAGTTCTTAACCCGAGGTACTATTTCTGGGTTAGCAGAGTCTGTAACCTGAAGCGTATGTAATCTGGAGCGTATGTAACCTGAAGTGTATGTAACCCAAGGTACCACTGTAGCCCTATCTTCTTTTTATTGTCTGTGTGTGCTTCAGGTTATGTGCAAGCATCAAAGCAAGACAAGAAGTTTATGGCGTGTGCCCCAAATCACTCCTATTCTGCCCTTTGCGAGTGCCTGCGACGCGTGTTCATCTATCGGCAACCGACTCCTCTGTCTACTGTTCTCTACAACAGGAAGGAAGGAAGGCAAGTGGGGCAAGTTGCAAAGCAGTTGGTAGCGACTCTTGAAACCCATGACCCCGTTTTGGGGTTCCAGGCAACAAACGAGAGATTGTTCGTTCTGACGACGAAAGTGCTCTTCATAATAAAAGTGAACACTGAGAACTAATGACCAAACGTATTGCGTTATCGTTGCATTCAAAATTGGCTCAAATAGTGACTGCATAAAAAAAAATTAGGAAAATACAGAGGTATGCTGTAAGTTCAAAAGCAACATTTATCGCACCATGACCAAAATGTATCTTCGCATTTGCCTTGTATTTAATAGAGAAAAGTTTCCGGCTTTATTTTTTAATAAACAGTTCATTATTTGTGCAAGGTTGCAGTTCTGTTAAGGAAGTGCAAGGAATTCATTTGTTTTTCTCTTTCCAGCAGGTGCTTCCATGAAATGGTTAATTTGCTGTTTTTCCAAATAGTTTCCAGTCACATCTTTTTTAATAATAGCTGGTTGAAAGTACAGTGTTCATTTTTCTTCATTTTTTTTTTATTACAGCAATGTCTTATCTGGCATGCTAAGTCAAATCACTCCATATATATGTGTGTGGAAATCTACCAAAATAATTAAAATGTAATTTGCAGCCTTAGTTAAAAAGGCGGGGTTATTTGTTTTCATTTTTGTTTTGTTTGCTTTTTCATCTCTATAAATGTCTCCATGCTTAGCACTTTGCATTGGCTCATCGGATAAACGATAGTGAGCACGAACATCTTACTTTCCTCTGCTGTTACTTTTTTTTAATTGACTCTGAAACTTCTCATTATGTGTAAACTTTTATTGTGTTTGGGTTCCAGATGAAAATCTTCAACCTTTTTAGAAATAAAGTGGGTTTTTAAAGAGCAAGCAAATAAATAAATACATAAATAATACTGATGTTCTTGTCTTCTTTCCCCTGACGTTGAGGTAGGAGCTCTGATTTGAGGGAGAATAACTAGGGGTTTGTGGGCACTCAGTTCTACAGCTGCTATTACTGTCTGAAGGTAAGAGATAATGAATTTAAACAATGCTGTAGGTAAGCCTCTTATGAGAAGAGGTGGTTCAGCACTGTTGCAGAAACAGGAAGATAGCTGCTCTGCAACTGTTCAAAGGCACACATAAAATCCTCTTCAGTATGATCATGACGAGGGTGAGATCTTTGAAAAATTAAACCAGTTTGTGGACATGATACAAGCAAGATGCACTTACCTATTTTTCCTTTCGTCAGCCAGCCCTGCTGCGAAGCTAAATTTTACTGTTGGAGAAAAAGCTCCTTTATAAAATAACAATTCATTAGTTATATAATACTTCCTCTCCTGCACACAACAGCATATTTATTTATATGCTTCATAAAATTTATCGTTTGATGGTTAAAAAAACACCCACCCTCAAAGCTGTTTACAAAAAGTTAAAACAATATGATTAAGAAGAATTTGCAATACTTTAAAACAAACGAAAAGTTAAATACTAAAACATTAAGATTCATGTCAGTATTTATGAAGCTAAGAGTTGTGGGAAGCTCGTTTTCTCTGTCTCTTGTGGCAGAGAAAGAAAAACAAATAGCTCCCTACTCATTTTTTCACATAGTCTTCATTATAGAAGACAAAAAAAGGCAAGCATGGGAAATGTAGCTTAACTTCCAAAGGTTACCAACGGAGCAAATCTAACCATAAAAAGGTTTTATTTCCCTCTTAATGATACTTCTGTACACTTTTTGGAAATAGAATAGTACTTGCAATGAATCAAAGTTTTGCAGCACACATCTAAATCTTGTTCGACCCAAGCATACAAAGATTGATCTCGACATCTCGTAGTGTATCCCCAGCAAAGATAGAGAAGTATCCTAATTCCAAATATGGTTGGATCTCCCATTTCATACACTGTATTCCACAGCAGGAGGGAAGAAATGGAATGACCCACTTCTGTTCCCACTGTTAAGGAACACAGAGATTATTGTGGGTCTAATTTAAACAGATCCCTCCATAGCAGCAGGGCATAGCTTATCATTTGATAATAGCAATGGGTAAAATAATTGACTTTGGCAAGTTATTCTTGGCTGTTAGGCGCAGCCAGTGCTTAACCTGCCATGTAAAATTATTTGCATCCTAAATACGGTGTTATCCATTAATTGACTCCTAAAGCAGGATGGAGCAAAGTCTTCAATCTGAGTGTGTTACATGTGCTGTAATGCAGTTTTGGGATTAAAAGGCCTATCCTTGGGTTTATATTCTTATTAATAATAATATTAATTAATTAATTAATTTTTGTGCTGCCCTTCATTTGAAGATCACAGGGCAGTTTACAGCATAAAAACACAAAAATACACGACATAATAACAAATTAACCAATACCAACCAAGGTTTGTTGCTCCAAGCCACATGACCAACCACTGCTAGCCAAAAGCTTCCAAACGTCTCCTCCCAGCCACGTGGGAGGAAATGGGCCAAGATGGGAAGCATACAAATCCAAGATTGTCGGTGGTGTCTTTCTGGTTTAGCGTGATTTGTGAACATCACCACTGTGAGAAGCAACCTCATGGAAATCAGACTTCTATATCCACCTTGTCCTGTCAAATGATAAGGAGAATAGCTCTACAGATCAGATACAGGTATGTAGCAAACTTGTTTTCTGCATGCATCGGAAGCCATAACAGAAAAGGCAACAAGGCAGCATCAGAAGAAGGAAAGGGTGCCATTTTAAAAAAATATTTTTTTAAAAAAGAAAAAACCATAACAACTTAATTCGAGGAGCAGGTTTGGTTAGGCTGGTGACTGGGACCAGCTTAGTATGGGTAGCACAACATCTACAGTTTTGCTTAAATGGATTGTGCCTGATTTACAAGCAAAATATCCCAGTCAAACCCTCACAACCCAGAACGACCCACATTTCTCTCCAGAGGCATTTTGGCTAGCTGGACACCTCCAGGAATTTAGGGGGACTTCGGATAGCACATACTCCATTTGTCAATTTCAGCACTGAGTATGACTGGGGCATCTGAGGTTAATATGGACATATCAAACTTCCATATACCCAGTGCCAACTGTACATATTTTAACTTTGTGAAGTAATGTGTTTGTTCTTTTTAAAAACTTCAAATAAATTGTATTACGGCAGAGCCGTATGAATTGTTGATGTCATTAAAACTTCCTTTCCAGAGACTGCCACTGACTAGGAGCAATAGCTCAAAATGCGTAGGACATTTTAATTTACAAGGAAATAATTTACAGCAGCAGCAGCTGCTTTGTACAGAGATGGAAAAAATGCAATCCATTTCCTGCCACTGTGAAATTTGGTTAGCTACGATGCATCGAATGAATATCCATTCAAGCCGTAGCTTCTTCCTGCCAAAGAGAGTTTCTGAAAGTTATTGGGAAAGTTCAAGAGACATCTCTTGGTAAAGTTTTTCTGGAAATAGCATCTGGCAAGAAACATACTACAGAATGAGTTGGGCACCTGTGACCCTCCAGATCCCATGCAGCTCCCATCAGTGAAGGTTGATCCATTAGGATGAGTGAAGCACTGTCACAGCAACCTCAATCTGCCCCCAGCCAACCCTCACTTGCCTGCCTTTTACTGTTGGTCTCCTTACCGTCTACCCTACCAGTCCTCATGGGCACAAGCTCTGGAGGGTTAGGAGAACCCAAAAAACATCACCAGAGAGGAGGGGAGATTGTTCCAGCAGGCAGGCAGAAAGGATCGCACTGGCAGAGAACAATCATGTTGGTGCACCATTGAATTCCCCCCACGCAGCGAAGGTTCATGGTTAATTGGGGGAGCAAAAGGGCGTCATCCTATTGAGTGATTTGAGAGAAACAGAGTATTAAGAATTGGTGTCTTGAGTTTGCCAGTGTGGTGTAGCGGTTAAGAGCGGTAGTCTCGTAATCTGGTGAACAGGGTTCGCATCTCCGCTCCTCCACATGCAGCTGCTGGGTGACCTTGGGCTAGTCACACTTCTTTGAAGTCTCTCAGCCCCACTCACCTCACAGACTGTTTGTTGTGGGGGAGGAAGGGAAAGGAGAATGTTAGCCGCTTTGAGACTCCTTAGGGTAGTGATAAAGTGGGATACCAAATCTAAACTCTTCTTCTCTTCTTCTTTATTCCCTATTGTGTTATTTTTGGATGGTAACCATACCCACAGATCCACAGAAAACCATGGTCCAGGAAGTCTACTCATAGCCTTCCTTTGCTGGATGCCACCCTTAGATTGTAATGCTGTGGGGAAGGAACGGCTTGTTTTTATTGATTGCTGTGTGCACAACTCTGAGAGTCTTTGGGGAAGGAAAACATTTCAAATAAATATACTAAATGGAATCCCCATGGAATCATGCATGCTGGTGACTTCTGGAGTTATGTTTTGTAACACTTTCAGGAAGTCACGGTTTGGGGACAGGGGCTAGGAAAATTGTCAAAAGCTATTTCCATTGCAGCATTTATATGCATTCTGGCCATAGCTGGACTCAGCTCAATATTTATGAACTGTCCACCAAGGCACCCTCCCTGTTTGTTTTCTACAGAATTTTTACCCTGAAGTTGGCTGGGCTATTATTCATTGTGAAAGGTGTCATACTGAGTTTTTTTCAAAGTCTGCTCATTTAACTTTGCTGATGGCAAGACACGGACTTCCTGCTCGAAAACCAAATGCTACGCTACACAATCTCAGAGTCTGCATTTCTTTTTTTCCCTGCAGCACATTAAATGAATGGATAGTGGGACTCAGAAGATCAGCCACTTTGGCTAACCCCTCTTTCCACCTGTACACAACCAGATTCCAAAAAGCAATCTAGGCTTAATAATAGAGCAGGAATGGGGAATCTGTGAGCCTGCAGATGCTGCTGGACTACAGCTCCCATCACCCCTGACTGTTGGTCATGCTAGCTGGGGCTGATGGGACTTTGAATGCAATAATATCAGAATATAATAACGGGTTCCCCATCTCTGCAGTAA